AAAGTCAGTGGTGGTGTAGTAGAGTCACTGGTGGTGTAGTAGAGTCACTGGTGGTGTAGTAGAGTCACTGGTGGTGTAGTAGAGTCACTGGTGGTGTAGTAGAGTCACTGGTGATGTAGTAGAGTCAGTGGTGGTGTAGTAGAGTCACTGGTGGTGTAGTAGAGTCACTGGTGATGTAGTAGAGTCACTGCTGGTGTAGTAGAGTCACTGGTGATGTAGTAGAGTCACTGGTGGTGTAGTAGAGTCACTGGTGGTGTAGTAGAGTCAGTGGTGGTGTAGTAGAGTCACTGGTGATGTAGTAAAGTCAGTGGTGGTGTAGTAGAGTCACTGGTGGTGTAGTAGAGTCACTGGTGATGTAGTAGAGTCAGTGGTGGTGTAGTAGAGTCACTGGTGGTGTAGTAGAGTCACTGGTGATGTAGTAGAGTCACTGGTGGTGTAGTAGAGTCACTGGTGATGTAGTAGAGTCACTGGTGGTGCAGTAGAGTCACTGGTGGTGTAGTAAAGTCAGTGGTGGTGTAGTAGAGTCACTGGTGGTGTAGTAGAGTCACTGGTGGTGTAGTAGAGTCACTGGTGGTGTAGTAGAGTCACTGGTGGTGTAGTAGAGTCACTGGTGATGTAGTAGAGTCAGTGGTGGTGTAGTAGAGTCACTGGTGGTGTAGTAGAGTCACTGGTGATGTAGTAGAGTCACTGCTGGTGTAGTAGAGTCACTGGTGATGTAGTAGAGTCACTGGTGGTGTAGTAGAGTCACTGGTGGTGTAGTAGAGTCACTGGTGATGTAGTAGAGTCACTGCGGGTGTAGTAGAGTCACTGGTGATGTAGTAGAGTCACTGGTGGTGTAGTAGAGTCACTGGTGGTGTAGTAGAGTCAGTGGTGGTGTAGTAGAGTCACTGGTGATGTAGTAGAGTCAGTGGTGGTGTAGTAGAGTCACTGGTGGTGTAGTAGAGTCACTGGTGGTGTAGTAGAGTCACTGGTGGTGTAATAGAGTCACTGGTGGTGTAGTAGAGTCACTGGTGATGTAGTAGAGTCACTGGTGGTGTAGTAGAGTCACTGGTGATGTAGTAGAGTCACTGGTGGTGTAGTAGAGTCACTGGTGGTGTAGTAGAGTCACTGGTGGTGTAGTAGAGTCACTGGTGGTGTAGTAGAGTCACTGGTGGTGTAGTAAAGTCAGTGGTGGTGTAGTAGAGTCACTGGTGGTGTAGTAAAGTCAGTGGTGGTGTAGTAGAGTCACTGGTGGTGTAGTAAAGTCACTGGTGGTGTAGTAGAGTCACTGGTGGTGTAGTAAAGTCACTGGTGGTGTAGTAGAGTCACTGGTGATGTAGTAGAGTCACTGGTGGTGTAGTAGAGTCACTGGTGGTGTAGTAAAGTCAGTGGTGGTGTAGTAGAGTCACTGGTGGTGTAGTAGAGTCACTGGTGGTGTAGTAGAGTCACTGGTGGTGTAGTAGAGTCACTGGTGGTGTAGTAGAATCACTGGTGGTGTAGTAGAGTCACTGGTGGTGTAGTAGAGTCACTGGTGGTGTAGTAGAGTCACTGGTGGTGTAGTAAAGTCAGTGGTGGTGGTGTAGTAGAGTCACTGGTGGTGTAGTAGAGTCACTGGTGATGTAGTAGAGTCACTGGTGGTGATGGAGTAGAGTCACTGGTGGTGATGTAGTAGAGTCACTGGTGGTGATGTAGAGTCACTGGTGGTGTAGTAGAGTCACTGGTGGTGGTGTAGTAAAGTCAGTGGTGGTGATGTAGTAAAGTCAGTGGTGGTGATGTAGTAAATTCAGTGGTGCTGATCTACTAAAGTCAATGGTGGTGGTGTACTCAAGTCATTCGTGGTGGTGGTGGTCTATTGTCATTGGTGGTGGTCTACTAAAGTCATTGGTGGTGGTGTCCTAAACTCATTGGTGGTGATCTACTAAAGTCATTGGTGGTGGTGGTCTAAAGTCATTGGTGGTGGTGGTCTAAAGTAATTGGTGGTGGTGTAATAAAAATCTATGGTGGTGGTGTACTAAAGTCATTGGTGGTGGTGTACTAAAGTCATTGTCGGTGGTGGATCTAAAGCCACTGGTGGTGATGTACTAAAGCCACGAGTGATGTTCTAAAGCCGCTGGCGATGTTCTAAAGCCAACATTGCCACTATTGTCTAAATAAATAAGGGCTTCATGCTGAGGCTTGCAAGGACCAATTTTTGCCTCGAAACAATGCGCCTGATATGGGTGATGCTGAGCAATAGGCGACCGCGTGTCCATGTGGGCGGCAAAGGCAGCCGAGGTCCTCAACAATGGATTGCCTGGTATACAGGAGGGCGTGGGTTTGATCCATGACGCCTGCTGTATATTTGAGGTTTGCGATGTCTCTCTCTCCATGTGATCGCGTGGATATTTTTCTCCGGGTCCTCCAGTTTTTCACCTCCACATTTAGAATCAAAGTACGTTTAGAGTATTTTGGCTGCTGTACATTTCTACGCGATAAGCCACTTCGATGAGCTGTAATTTGTGGCCAGGTCGCTTCTGAAAAAGTTCTATGTAGCTTAGTGGGCCTTACCTTGTTAAATAAATATTTATAAGGTTCTGTGCTCGCACCAACTTCGCTCTTCAATGTCTATGCCGCTAACCATGTCACCCAAATTTTGTACATGCGGATGACATTGCCCTGGCAACGCAAGCGGCCACTTACAAAGACATCGAATCCACTCTGAACCATGACCTAAGCACCATGGAGGAATATTTCCAGAGATGGAGGCTCCAAGCCAGATCTCCACAAGACTACAACAGCCACTGCATTTCAGCTTGACAACAGCAGCGCCAAGCACAATCTCCCGCAATGCTGTGCGACACGATCCCACTCCGGCCCGCCTCGGAGTGAAGCTGTGACCGTAACAATTAATTTAAACCTTCCACGACCGCCTGAAAAATGTAGCCACCAAGATCCAAACAAGGGCTCGAACCTGGTCCAGAAACTGGCAAGCCACAAGCTTGCGAGCATCAGCACCCTGAGTGCTACGGACGTCAACGATGGCCCTTGTGTACTCTGTAGCCGAGTACTGTGTACCAGCATGGACCAGACGTAGTCACCACTCCACTTGTTGATGCCTACCTGAACACTGCAATGCGGCGGTGTACCACTGGAACTCTCAAGCCGACGCCAACAACCTGGCTGCCCGCGCTGTCACCAAATCTCTCCCCCACAGTGCTGCGGGAAGTCCTGAGAATCGAGGAAGACAGTCGTCCATTTCCATTCATCAGAACCTTAATAACATCCCTCGGCATCGCTTGAAGTCACGCAAGCCATTTTGGTCCCATGTGCTTAACCTTAAACAATGCGAGTTCAACCCCGATGAAGCCTGGAGAGCTGAATGGAGTTCAAAGGAACTCGCAAACGCCACCTTGTTGTGAAAGATCCAACGCAGAAGATCCCTGGGTTTGATATTCCACGAAGCTCACGGTCCACCCTAAATGAGACCCACTGCACAAACCATGTCAGCAGATGCAGATACTTGATGCACAAATCGAAAATGAAACTCTCTCCAGTAGTAGCAGCATGCGACTGTGGTCGTCCAGAACAGACCGTACACAATGTGTAACGACGCAATGCCCGAGACAAATACAAAGGAAACGTCACGGCGATGATGATGATGAAGCACTACTCCTCTACTCTTGAGGCGGTTGTCTGGCCTTGACCACCTGACATGTGATATTGTAGTCATTGCTCTGCATCTACATCAGCCATGCAAAATAAGAAGACCACCCAATTATTGAGCCATTCAAGTCAAGTTGTCACGTGAGCAAATATGCGAATTGATCACCGCAGCCGCTGCCTGCCAGAGGAGCTCACTGATGAGAATGTGTCCAGATCTTTCACAGATTTGTGAGCTTCTCACACAATCCAGCCTGGTTAAAGCCAGTATGGATCGTAGGCATGCCAGCCTGAACGTTTCTATCCAGCGAAGATGTCTCATTGGAGGGGCCCACGTTTTACAAGCGAAGGGAGGGGCATGACTGTGGCCGAGAAGATTCGGAGCTTTGTCTGGAGCGACAGACCAGATAGTTTCCGCACAGCGTTACACAGCTGACGAAAATATAATGCCGTTCGACTGATTCAGAGTGAGACCTCTGCAGCCACACCGGAGTTGGTCATAAGCGCACTGCCCAGGTACGGAAACTTCTCCACTCTCTCCACAACTTTCCCATCTTTCGTGGTGAGTTTAGGGGGTGGAATATTGGATGATTCAAAATAGCCAGGCAGGTGCTTAGTTTTGCTGGGGCCGATATTAAGGTCCCACCTCTTAGTGGCATGCTTCAGGTTCAGTAGCAGAACCTCCAGAATGCATCGCTCCCTGTCACCTGTTGTCTTGGAGAGGCCGGTCCACGCTTTTCTGTTATCCCGACTCGACCACTGGTTGGGATACCGAGCAAATTACCGGGACCAGACTCCAGCTTGTTCACAATGCAGCTGCTAGAGTGCTGACACCGCGTACACCATTCTGTGAGCACATTACACCCAGGTCCTCTTATCTCTTCATTGGCTTACCAGTCAAATTTTGAGTGGATTTTAAGATACTACGATTGACCTATCAGGCTTTAACAGCGCTCAACCCCCGCATTACTTGCAGGAACTAAAACATTTATAGATTCCATCAAGGTCTTTAAGCGGATTAAATAAACTGCTATTAATCTATACGGCATTAAAAGGACTCACCCCGCATTACCTGCAGGAACTAATACATTTATAGATTCCATCAAGGTCCTTAAGATCTTCCCGATCTCCAACTGTTCGGCACTCCCACAGGTCTCGGTGGTTGTGCTCTTTTGGCGATCGGTGCTTTGTTAGCATAGCACCCACAGGCTATGGAACGCCTTGCCACTTGACAAGGCGTTCCATAACTATTTTCAATGAGAATTCCAGATAGATTCAGTGCTCAGTAAAGTTGGAGTAACTTCTGGAACATTCTAGAACTTTTCAGCAATATAAATAGGAGTATAAATACAGGGTCCCTCAGCCCACCAGTTCAGTTTAATTCCAGCTGCCTAAGTGGATACATATATATTTTCTACCTACCACGTCACTCCTACCACGTGACTTTAAAACCAGAGAGTCTGGTTTCGGCCATTTTCGATTAGGCTCCTCCCCCGCCCCACTCTCGCAGCCCCGCCCTCCTGCTCTTTAACCTGTCGTGACGTCATGGGGCATATCAAGTGAGGGGGGTTCCAGGTGAGGTTTGTGCGGCCGACGCGGAGCGCCATCCCCCGCCCAAATAAACGAAGGCGACCGTCAGCGGCGTCGTTTCACCCATTACCCTCCGCGCGGGCGAAAGAAAAAAAACACATTTTAGTTTCTTTAAATCGTTTTAAAAAAAAAAAAATTTTAACTTGAACATCATCGCGATTTTGGGCGAGTCCACGTTAGCCACCCTCGTCCCCTCGTCCACCTGCCGAAACCACCGCCACCGCCACACTCGCGCCATTTTCAATGTTCGACGTTTCCGGAGACATGGCTATCTGTGACGCTCCCGCGGACCGCAGCTTGACTCCAGGTAGCGTCTCTCTCCAACAACTTTGAACGACTTCCTCGTGTTCATTATGACCGTAGTAGTAATATTAATAACAAGAGGAGGAGGTTGTTTTTTGTTTCGTTTTGGTGGTGGTGGCGGTGGTGGTGTTAGTGGTGAGATGGCGTGAATGTGGTGTGTGTCGTCAAACCCGCCACCACCCGACACGGCCAGCGAGTGAGGGTTTGTGTCGGGGTACTTTTACAGCTTCACACCTCCCCAGACACGACAACACAACACGCACGGAAACTACATGGGTGGTGGTGGTGGTGTTGGGGGCGAAAGCCTACCACGTCTTAAACTGTTGTTGTTGATGTTGTTGATGATGTTATATTCTTAGTTTTTTCGGTAAAGTCACGTTGAAGAGAAACAACAAAATATATATAAAACAATAAAAAATTCTCACGACGTTTCGACCATAACTCAAACGGTCATCATCAGGTGTGTGAAAACCCTCCCCGTAGAGGCGATTAAATTTTGATTTAAAGCTTTCGTGACTGCAGTAATTCATATTCTTAGTTTTTTCGGTAAAGTCACGTTGAAGAGAAACAACAAAATAACAAAATATATATATGATGACCGTTTGAGTTATGGTCGAAACGTCGTGAGAATTTTTTTTATTGTTTTATATATATTTTGTTGTTTCTCTTCAACGTGACTTTACCGAAAAAACTAAGAATATGAATTACTGCAGTCACGAAAGCTTTAAATCAAAAGATGTTGATGTTGTTAATGTTGTTGATGTTGTTACTTGATTTGAAGGTTTTCGTGATTGCAGGAAATGCTCTTTGGTTTTTTTCAGTAAAGCCGAGTAGAAATATTTATTTAATTAAATTTTCTTTTCTACGTGACTTTACCGAAAGCACCACATAGATGTTGTCCTTGTTGATGTTGTTCTTGTTGTTGTTCTTGTTGTTAATGTTCTTGTTGTTAATGTTGTTGATGATGTTGTTGATGTTGTTGTTGATCGGCGGCCCAAGCGAAGTCGGCGGCCCTGTTGTAGGCCCCGGGGGACTTTCACCAGACGCCGTGGCCTGGTGAGGCCTCGTGGTGAGGCCTCGTGGTGAGGCCTCGTGGTGAGGCCTCGTGGTGAGGCCTCGTGGTGAGGACTGGTGGTGAGGACTGGTGGTGAGGACTGGTGGTGAGGACTGGTGGTGAGGACTGGTGAGGACTGGTGGTGAGGACTGGTGGTGAGGCCTCGTGGTGAGGCCTCGTGGTGAGGACTGGTGGTGAGGACTGGTGGTGAGGCCTGGTGAGGTCTGGTGGTGAGGACTGGTGGTGAGGACTGGTGAGGACTGGTGGTGAGGACTGGTGGTGAGGACTGGTGGTGAGGACTGGTGGTGAGGTCTGGTGGTGAGGACTGGTGAGGACTGGTGGTGAGGATTGGTGGTGAGGTCTGGTGGTGAGGTCTGGTGGTGAGGTCTGGTGGTGAGGACTGGTGGTGAGGACTGGTGGTGTGGCCTGGTGGTGAGGACTGGTGGTGAGACCTGGTGGTGAGGACTGGTGGTGAGGACTGGTGGTGAGGACTGGTGGTGAGGACTGGTGGTGAGGACTGGTGAGGACTGGTGGTGAGGCCTGGTGGTGAGGACTGGTGGTGAGACCTGGTGGTGAGGACTGGTGGTGAGGACTGGTGGTGAGGACTGGTGGTGAGGACTGGTGGTGAGGCCTGGTGGTGTGGCCTGGTGGTGAGACCTGGTGGTGAGGACTGGTGGTGAGGACTGGTGGTGAGGACTGGTGGTGAGGACTGGTGGTGAGGACTGGTGGTGAGACCTGGTGGTGAGGACTGGTGGTGAGGACTGGTGGTGAGGACTGGTGGTGAGGACTGGTGGTGAGGACTGGTGGTGAGGTCTGGTGGTGAGGACTGGTGAGGACTGGTGGTGAGGACTGGTGGTGAGGTCTGGTGATGAGACCTGGTGGTGAGGACTGGTGGTGAGGACTGGTGGTGAGGACTGGTGGTGTGGCCTGGTGGTGAGGACTGTTGGTGAGGACTGGTGGTGAGGACTGGTGGTGAGGACTGGTGGTGTGGCCTGGTGGTGAGGACTGGTGGTGAGGACTGGTGGTGTGGCCTGGTGGTGAGGACTGGTGGTGAGGACTGGTGGTGAGGACTGGTGGTGAGGACTGGTGGTGAGGCCTGGTGGTGAGGACTGTGGGGAGCGGTAGTGTAGCGCTAACAGCACTTGCCCCTACAGTCTGTTAAGGCTATACGGGGGATCTTTGTCTGTGTGTGTGTAAACACGTGTATGTGTGTGTACACATACACGTGTGTATGTGTGTGTACACACCTGTATGTGTGTACGTACACATACACGTGTGTATGTGTGTGTACACACCTGTATGTGTATGTGTGTGTAAACACCTGTATGTGTGTACGTGTGTGTACACACGTGTATGTGTGTGTGTAAACACGTGTATGTGTGTGTACACACGTGTATGTGTGTGTACACGTGTTTGTGTGTACACGTGTATGTGTGTGTAAACACGTGTACACACACGTGTTTGTGTGTAGACACGTGTATGTATGTGTACACACACGTCTATGTGTGTGTACACGTGTATGTGTGTGTACACGTGTGTGCACGTGTACGTACGTGTGCGTGTGTACGTGTGTGTGCGTGTACGTGTGTGCGCGTGTGTGTACGTGTGCGTGTACGTGTGTGCGCGTGTGTGTACGTGTGTGTACATGTGTGTGTGTGTTTGTGGGGAGCGGTGGTGCAGCGGTTAGCGCGCTGTGCTACGAACCCGGTGACCCGAGTTCGATTCCCGCTCATGGCCAACACCGGTGACGATTGTCTGAACCGGTTCTGGGCCTCCCCTAGGTCGACTCAGCCTCAAATGAGTCCCTGGTGCGGTGCGTAGTAAACATCGCCACTGGGGAGACAAAGGCGGCCGGGCGTGGTGCTGGCCAGCCACACCCGCTCGTGTGCCGTTCCGGCCTTCACAGGTGCTGCTCGCTAACAGCACTTGCCCCTACAGTCTGTCACAGGCTACACGGGGGATCTTTGAGACAAGAGAAGATTGAGGAGGAGGGAGGTTTGTCATGCGAGGAGGAAGACCAGCATTGCACAGCTGTAGAATTCGTGTACGACACAAGCTCCAACCGCGATTGTAAGAAATGCACCTTCACGAAATGAACACCCGAACACACAGACACAGCAACAACAACAACCGCTGCTGCTGCTCCTCTCCACCGAGTTGCTGTGACGTCGCCACGGCGCCCGTGCCAGGCTGGGTGCTGCACGTTGAAGCTACCACGTGAAGTGTCGAAGGCTCAGCTGCTGGGAGGAGGAGGCCACGAGACAGGCCCAGCTGGTGCTCTGGGGATGCCTTGACGGAGATGGCTGGCAGATTCACCACCTGCTGTGATTCTCCCTACTCCGCCTACTCTCGCTGAGCTTTAGCCGCTCCGCTCGTTGTTGTGAGCATCGCTCCTCTGCCCTCCGTTGTTGCTGGAGGGCGACTGCCTCCAGCTGCCCAGCAGCGGCAGCAGCAGCGTCCTTCACGAGCCTCCTCCTCCGCAGAGGCCGATCTCGAGACCACTGATACCGCATCCTTCTGTACCACACAAACAAACGCACAAACAGACACAAATAAATATCCTGCCTGTAAAAAGTGACTGTATCTACCGTAACCGTACTGAACCACTCCAATCTCTGCATCACGGGGTGATGTATATAGGTGCCGTACTTTCATTGTTTACGTTGTATGTAGTGTATAAAGTACCCTACACAATATTTGACGCTTAAGTCAAGCTGCATGGTGCTGCCGATCAGCGGACCTTTGGAACGGTGTTGCCGGATCGGCCCGAGACCGCCGGATAATGTTGGAAGCAGCCGAATAATCGACGATCTACTGTATACGCGCATGTTAATAATGGACAATGTCTTTATGGACGCACGATACTGTTGAGAGTGAGATGAGAGTGCAGTGTGTGAGGGTGCCACCTGACCTACTGATTGTCATCCACAGATTCCACATTTGAGGATCAGCCTCCTGCACTGCCGTTGACGGTAAGCCACCGCTCTTACACCTCTCAACTTTAAACTATTGAATTATAACAAGTTAACATCAATCTAGCCACCGCGGGGCGCTGCGGTGGCTAGGTTGATGTTAACTACCTCGCCGGGTATGCGTGAGGTCCGTGGGTTCGATCCCAACCCTGATGACGCCTGCTGCTGTATATTTAGAGTTCTCCCGGTGGTCGTGTTGATTTTTCTCCGGGTCTTCCGGCTTTTCCCTCCACATTTAGAAACACGCGTTTAGAGTATTTGGCTACTGCTATACATTGATTGTCACATGATGATGATGATGACACTAAGACACTTGGTTGAGCTATCATTTGTGATGGCCAGGTCGCTTCTGAAAAATAGCTACATAGCTCAGTGGGACCTTACACCTGGTAAAATAACATAGAACAAAAACAATAATGGCTGTGTCTTCCTTTATGGCACAAATACAGGAGTTGTGTTAAGATGTTCAAACACCAACTAGACCAATACCAATACCCACCATTCGCCACTAAGTAACAGAGGCGTCACCACTGCGCCTGTGACAGGCCAGGTGCACTTTGAGGCCACGTGAAGTGTCGAAGGCCTGCTGACAGGAGGTCACGTGACAAACGTAGGTGTCCTGGGTTGTCCGACTGAGATTACCGGTAGATGCACCACCTGTACCCCTGCTGTGCCAACTTGCTGCATTTCAGCCGCCCGGTGCTCCACTCGTTGTTGTGAGCTTCGCTCCTCCGCCCTCCACTGCCCAGTAGCAGCAGCGTCCTTCACGAGCCTCCTCCACAGAGTTCCACTCAGCTCCACATCCTCCCGCATCAGTCCATCTCTTCTACAGCCCATGTCCTGCCCGTTTATAATTCTCTGTGGCCAAACAAAAGTTGCTTGGGCATGCGGTAACTGGGCATGCGGTAGCTGGGCATGCGGTAGCTGGGCATGCGGGCTACATGACCCAGCCAAATAGACACACACACACACACCCTATTGCAGGACACACACACCCGTGGTACTTGTGGTATACGCGTTGATACTGTAACAGGCTGTGACTGTAACGCTGACATACTGGATCACGGTGATTCCTCACTTTTTGAGCTCTGTGTTAATACCCTTTCCCGTTCCGATGGCATACACGTACGTCGCGAGCGGCTCATCGTTAATTCTATTTAGAGAGAGGCGTAGCAGCAGCAGTAGCAGCAGTAGCAGCAGCAGCGGCATTTAATTTATAAAGACGTCCTCACTCGCCGCAGAGAGCCATAGCAACACGACCGCTGCCACTCCGCGATAGCCAGCGCTGAAATCTGTGCCACACGCCCCCTCCTGCGCACGGACTTTTGCTTCGGGTTCAGTGCTGATGATCTATGGTACATACGCGTATGGTGAGTACCAACGCCTTTTAAAAATTAAACCAACGGCGTCGCTGCTGCTGCTGCCGTCTCTCTTATTAAAATTAACGACGAGCCGCTTTGCACGTTCCGAGATTCGGTGAACGGGACACCACCCACCCACCCATTCACCCATCCACCCACCCATCCTTCACCCTTCACCCACCCTTCACCCATCCACCACCCACCCATTCATCCACCCACCCATTCACCAACCTCCCCACCCTTCACCCACCCACCCTTCACCCACCCACCCTTCACCCACCCACCCACCCTTCACCCACCCACCCTCCACCCATTCACCCACCCATTCATCCACCCACCCATTCACCAACCTCCCCACCCACCCTCTACCCATCCACCCACCCACCCACCTTCCCCCCCACCTACCCAAAACTATATGAGCACGTGGTGTTTCTTTTAAAGGTGGAGGTCAAAACCGGAGGGCCCGGAGAAAAATCCACGTGGCCACTGCGGGCGAAGAGATCGCGCGCCCTCCGTAAGGGTCCGAGATCGAAGCCACGACCTCGTGCGCACCTCCAGGTGAGGAAGATAACGTCACCGGGGTGCCCCCCGAGCGGAGGGACTTCGTGCAAACGCCGCCACCGTTGCCAGCCGCGCTAATCGGAGGTGCCAGGTTGAAGGACACCAGCGGACGTGTGGTGCGCATTACGAGTTGAAATTACTTGCGAAAATTATGCTACGTAAAGGTCTTCGTCTGATAATGACATAAAACTGGTGGCATCACAATGAACATTGAACAAGCAACGTGTACGATTCATAAAGTCGAAAAATTGCGCATTCTGTTTACCCTGTGCCATGTTTAGGACTATCTGAAGATCGTCATTTTCTTTCTCTGCCCGATTCTCTTCTTCCAGCTTGGCAAGTAAAACTGCGCACACAGAGACCCACAGACTAACCACGTAGAGACCCACAGACTCGCCACACAGAGACCCACAGGCTTCCCACACAGACCCAGTGATTCTCAGAGCTACTTGTCCTGGCGTCTTGTGCTCCAGGTAGGGCCTCCCCTGGTGAACTGGCCTAGAGGGAAGGTTCCAGACAAATAACGGTCCAAAACAAAAGGCCCCTATGAATGTTTCAGAAGTATAAAAACAAATGGGAGAACCTCACCCGGACCAGGCAAACCGGGACACGCCCCTCCCCCCCCCCCCCCCCCCAGGAGCCAGGCCTGGGGGCGGTGTTTGCCTGCAAGTGGCTGGCGGAGCCACGTAACTCAGTCGGGCCCAGCCCGAAATGGCTACGTGATGCCATCCTGTTGTTATATATATTGTGATAAAAAAATGAATGAAAAATGTGAAATCATTAAATTAAAATAAAATTGTGAACATTTATGTTAAATGTGTTAATCATTCATCCATAATACAGGTTTTTTTGGGTTAGATCGCGTAAATATATAAATGTGTCGTTAAACCTGCCACCACACCAACACAGCAAATCAGTAAGGTTTGTCACGTAAACAATTCGTTACTAGTACAACACACCAGTGTGCTGGAGAGCAAAGCCACGACATTTACAATCTGAGTACGACGCTTTGCGAGTAATTACAACTAGCTTCATCAGGCGACAAGCCAGATTTGTGGAGAAGTCCACCTGTTTCGTTCCTTAAATAGAGGCGTAGTAGATGTGATGAAAACACTTGTGCGCTATTCTTGTGCGAAGTGGTGGTGGGGGGGGGATTAATGAATCATCCTACAAAATTATGCGAGCCCATTGTTCTTATGCTTCATGTCTTGTCTCTTTGCCCTGTATTTGTCCTCGGGTGGGCAGTGAGTTTATAGTGTTTTGCTATGGGTCCTCCCGTAAATTTCTCTCTCAGAAATGTCCCCTGGGTCACTCCTTGACCATGCAAGAGTTCTTCCTCTATGGCCTGTCATGAACGTGTTCCTCCTTTGCTACGCAAGTTAGGTTAATTCCTGGGGAAGCAAAATACAGTACGGCTTCAAGGCCCTCCTCAGCTCTGGTTATTCTCATCACGCCCATCTGATCGATGTCTCTTGCGTTCTGTTAACCGCTTCTCATTCTGGTGCTGGTTTGGCTTTGTCATCTGGTTTTCACGACTTTCGGCATACAGGGGACCCATATTTGTCTACCAGGAGCCATTACTGTTCCGTGGAAGTGAAGCGAGAACAAAGCTCTCGGCTTACAGGTCGATCTACGTTCCCACCCTCGCCTATGGTCATGAGCTTTGGGTAATGACCGAAAGGATGAGATTGCAGCTACGAGTGGCCAAAATGAGGTTTCTCCGCAGGGTTGCCGGGCTCACTACTCTCCGTGATTGGGTGAAGAGCTTGGTAATCTGGGAGAGCCTCAGAGTTGAGCCACTGTTCCTCTGGATCGAGAGGAGGCAGTTGAGGTGGTTTGGGCACCCGGTAAGAATGCCCCTTGGTAGTCTCCCCCTGGAACTCTACTGGGCAGCACGTCCCACTGGGAGAAAACCCCTGGGCCGGCCCAGGACACACTGGTAGGACTATGTCGCTTGGCTGGCCTGGGAGCGCCTGTGAATTTCCCAGGAAGAGCTAGAGTCTGTAGACAGGGAAAGGGAGGTCTGTACCGCCCTACTCAAACATGCTGCCGCCATAACCCTCACCAGGGCAAGCGGATTGAGAAACAAACAAACGAATGAACATTTATATTAATGCGATCTAAACCCAACAAAACAAAATCCCCTTTATTATGGATAGATGCCCTTTTAGGCTACCACGTGAAGCTTCAAAGGCTCGCCGCTGGCAGGAGGAGGTCACAGGACAGACCTCCTGCAGGTGCCGTGGGTTTGGCCGACCGAGACGAATACTGGCAGATGCACCAGCTGCGATTCCCACTGTGTTGACTACCCACACATACAAAGGTTCCCCCATGTGGCTGGAGGGTGACTGCCTCCAACTTTCTAGTAGCGTTCATCACGAGCCTCCTCCGCAGAGGCCGATCTTGACAACGCTGGTACCAGTCATTAGCAAGTCCACTCAGCTCCACATCTTCCCGTACTGCATCAGCCCATCTCTTCTCCAGCCCATGTCCTGTCTGTTTATATCCCTCTGTGGCCAAACAAAAGTTGCTTTGGCATGCGGTAGCTGGGCATGCGGACGCTGGGCATGCGGGCTACATAACCCAGCCAAATAGACACACACACCCTATTGCAGGACATCATGATGGTCTGCATTAACCACACACACACACGTGGTACTTGTGGTTAATTAATGAATAACAATATTACGTTGTGTAGTTTCTGTGAGCGTTGGCGAGGCCTTGGTCCACCAGTGGATAAAGATCATGGCTCTTGATGATCATGTCGGTGACATCTTTTAAATAAAAAAAAACATTCCTAATGAAATATCTTTCCAGTTGGCGACACTGCTGCCAACGCCACCGAACCTTCGCCGTTGCAACATCTTCTAGCCCAAGGACAAGTTGATGGCATCAACTGGAGCTGTCCCAACGATGAGACGAGCACGATCCTCGTCCGCAGAGACGACAAATTGCTGGTAAGTCGCACAAACAGGGGCCGTCTGGGAGACGCTGACCCAGTATCCGTACTCTGCTCCCCCTGGCTCTCTTTCTCTCTGTCTCTCTCCATTCACAATCCCCAGCTGTCTCTCTGTCTGTCTCTCTCAGTCTCTCTCTGTGTATGCCACTTTGTTTCTCTGTCTCTGTCTGACTCTCTGTCTTTCTCTGTCTCTCTGTCTCTCTCAGTCTCTCTCTGTGTATGCCACTCTTTGTTTCTCTCTCTATCTGTCTCTGTCTGACTCTCTCTGTCTTTCTCTCTCTGTCTTTCTCTCTCTGTCTGTCTCTCTCAGTCTCTCTGTGTATGCCACTTTGTTTCTCTGTCTCTGTCTGACTCTCTCTGTCTTTCTCTGTCTCTCTGTCTCTCTCAGTCTCTCTCTGTGTATGCCACTCTTTGTTTCTCTCTCTATCTGTCTCTGTCTGACTCTCTCTGTCTTTCTCTCTCTGGCTGTCTGTCTGTCTGTCTCTCTCAGTCTCTCTCTGTGTATGCCACTCTTTGTTTCTCTCTCTATCTGTCTCTGTCTGACTCTCTCTGTCTTTCTCTCTCTGTCTGTCTGTCTCTCTCAGTCTCTCTCTGTGTATGCCACTCTTTGTTTCTCTCTCTATCTGTCTCTGTCTGACTCTCTCTGTCTTTCTCTCTCTGGCTGTCTGTCTGTCTCTCTCAGTCTCTCTCTCTGTGTATGCCACTCTCTGTTTCTCTCTCTATCTCTCTGTCTGACTCTCTCTGTCTTTCTCTGTCTGTCTCTCTCTGTGTCTGTCTGTCTCTCTCTGTCTCTTTCTCTGTCTCTCCTTGTCTCCTTGTCTCTCTCCGTCTGTCTCCTTGCCTCTCTCTGTCTCTCTGTGCCTTTGCATCTCCTAGTTTAATAATGGGAGTAGCCTGATGAAATGAAATAATCGTGGGAGAAGTGCAGGACGTATGGACAGCAATACGATGCAGGCAACGACAGAAAACGAGCAACAGTGCGATACGGCACTGAGAGAAAATGGTAGTGGAGGCTACAACTATTTACGGCAATGGGATTTTCTAAATTGATTTGATAGTTGATTTTATCATTGATTTGATCGTTTATTTTATCGTTGATTTTTTTTTGGGGGGGGGGGGGGAATTGTTCACACGGAAAACGGAAAACCGGGGGTCACGGATCGTTCTGGGGAACCTAACCCTTAACCCGGGGACTGCTCGTATTGGTTTTCCACGTCACGTGTCTCTCCGTTGTTGCGTGCGGACGCGTTTCCTCCCATTGCCGCCTTGCAGGTGGAATATTGGACTTCGGGTGAAACGTTCAACTTGTCGTACAATGACACCTCGTTGAAAATCGTGGACTGGGACTGGTCTGTGCCAAGCGGCACGTTGTTGTGGATACGGAGCCCGGAGGACGGCGTTTACTCGGTAGAGGCTCGAGGACTGAATGAAGACCGCAACACCTGCATCATCGCCATCTTTACAGGTGTGCGTGCGAGTGTCATTGTGCGTGCGACTGTCATTGTGCGTGCGAGTGTCAATGTGTGTGAGACTGTCATTGTGTGTGCGACTGTCATTGTGTGTTCGAGTGTCAATGTGTGTGAGACTGTCATTGTGCGTGCGAGTGTCATTGTGCGTGCGAGTGTCATTGTGCGTGCGAGTGTCATTGTGTGTGCGAGTGTCATTGTGTGTGCGAGTGTCATTGTGTGTGTGAGTGTCATTGTGTGACTGTCATTGTGTGTGTGACTGTCAATGTGCGTGCGAGTGTCATTGTGTGTGTGAGTGTCATTGTGTGACTGTCATTGTGTGTGTGACTGTCATTGTGTGTGCGAGTGTCAATGTGCGTGCGAGTGTCAATGTGTGTGCGAGTGTCATTGTGCGTGCGAGTGTCATTGTGTGTGCGAGTCATTGTGTGTGCGACTGTCATTGTATGTGCGAGTGTCATTGTGTGTGCGAGTGTCAATGTGCGTGCGAGTGTCATTGTGCGTGCGAGTGTCATTGTGCGTGCGAGTGTCATTGTGCGTGCGAGTGTCATTGTGTGTGCGAGTGTCATTGTGCGTGCGAGTGTCATTGTGTGTGCGAGTGTCATTGTGCGTGCGACTGTCATTGTGCGTGCGAGTGTCATTGTGTGTGTGACTGTCATTGTGTGTGCGAGTGTCATTGTATGTGTGACTGTCATTGTGCGTGCGAGTGTCATTGTGTGTGCGAGTGTCATTGTGTGTGCGAGTGTCAATGTGTGTGCGAGTGTCATTGTGTGTGAGACTGTCATTGTGTGTGCGAGTGTCATTGTGAGTGCGAGTGTCATTGTGTGTGCGAGTGTCATTGTGTGTGCGAGTGTCATTGTGTGTGCGAGTGTCAATGTGTGTGCGAGTGTCATTGTGTGTGAGACTGTCATTGTGTGTGCGAGTGTCATTGTGCGTGCGAGTGTCATTGTGTGTGCGAGTGTCATTGTGCGTGCGAGTGTCATTGTGTGTGCGAGTGTCATTGTGCGTGCGACTGTCATTGTGCGTGCGAGTGTCATTGTGTGTGTGACTGTCATTGTGTGTGCGAGTGTCATTGTATGTGTGACTGTCATTGTGCGTGCGAGTGTCATTGTGTGTGCGAGTGTCATTGTGTGTGCGAGTGTCAATGTGTGTGCGAGTGTCATTGTGTGTGAGACTGTCATTGTGTGTGCGAGTGTCATTGTGTATGCGAGTGTCATTGTGCGTGCGAGTGTCATTGTGCGTGCGAGTGTCATTGTGTGTGCGAGTGTCATTGTGTGTGCGACTGTCATTGTGTGTGCGAGTGTCATTGTGCGTGCGAGTGTCAATGTGCGTGCGAGTGTCAATGTGTGTGAGACTGTCATTGTGCGTGCGAGTGTCATTGTGTGTGCGAGTGTCATTGTGTGTGCGAGTGTCATTGTGTGTGCGACTGTCATTGTGCGTGCGAGTGTCATTGTGTGTGCGAGTGTCATTGTGCGTGCGAGTGTCAATGTGCGTGCGAGTGTCAATGTGTGTGCGAGTGTCAATGTGTGTGCGAGTGTCATTGTGAGTGCGAGTGTCATTGTGCGTGCGAGTGTCATTGTGCGTGCGAGTGTCAATGTGCGTGCGAGTGTCAATGTGTGTGAGACTGTCATTGTGCGTGCGAGTGTCATTGTGTGTGAGACTGTCATTGTGTGTGAGACTGTCATTGTGCGTGCGAGTGTCATTGTGTGTGCGAGTGTCATTGTGTGTGCGAGTGTCATTGTGTGTGCGACTGTCATTGTGTGTGTGAGTGTCATTGTGTGTGCGAGTGTCATTGTGCGTACGAGTGTCATTGTGCGTGCGACTGTCATTGTGTGTGTGACTGTCATTGTGCGTGCGAGTGTCATTGTGTGTGTGAGTGTCATTGTGTGTGAGACTGTCATTGTGTGTGCGAGTGTCATTGTGTGTGCGAGTGTCATTGTGCGTGTGAGTGTCATTGTGTGTGCGAGTGTCATTGTGTGTGCGAGTGTCATTGTGTGTGCGAGTGTCATTGTGTGTGCGAGTGTCATTGTGTGTGCGAGTGTCAATGTGCGTGCGAGTGTCAATGTGTGTGTGAGTGTCATTGTGTGTGCGAGTGTCATTGTGTGTGCGAGTGTCATTGTGTGTGCGAGTGTCATTGTGTGTGCGAGTGTCAATGTGCGTGCGAGTGTCAATGTGTGTGTGAGTGTCATTGTGCGTGCGAGTGTCATTGTGTGGGGAGCGGCATTGTGTGGGGAGCGTCAATGTGTGGGGAGCGTCAATGTGTGGGGAGCGTCAATGTGTGGGGAGCGTCAATGTGTGGGGAGTGTCAATGTGTGGGGAGCGTCAATGTGTGGGGAGTGTCATTGTGTGTGTGACTGTCATTGTGTGTGTGACTGTCATTGTGCGTGCGAGTGTCATTGTGTGTGTGAGTGTCATTGTGTGTGTGACTGTCATTGTGTGTGTGAGTGTCATTGTGTGTGCGAGTGTCATTGTGTGTGTGAGTGTCATTGTGTGTGTGAGTGTCATTGTGTGGGGAGCGTCAATGTGTGGGGAGCGTCAATGTGTGGGGAGCGTCAATGTGTGGGGAGTGTCAATGTGTGGGGAGTGTCAATGTGTGGGGAGCGTCAATGTGTGGGGAGCGGTAGTGATGGCGGTGAGCGCTGCGCTACGAGCCCGGCAGAGACCCCAGTTGGATTCCCGCTTGCGGCCAACATCAACACCGGTGACGATTATCTGAACCGGTCCCGGGCCTCCCCGAGGTCGACTCAGCCTCAAATGAGTACCTGGTGCGGTGTGTAAACATCGCCACTGGGGAGACAAAGGCGGTCAGGCGTGGTGCTGGCCACCCACCCTATCGCGTGCCATTCCGGCCTTCATAGGTGCTCGCAAACAGCATTTACCCAAACAGTCTGTTTAGGCTACACGGGGTATCTTTGTCTTTTATACGTATGCGTGCGCGTACATTGACACAAGCCTGGTGTTAATCTTCCTGTGTTCACAGCTGCAGCAGAGGCGCCTACAATGCCAGGACCCGTGCAGATTTCATATCCATCAAATGAGACCACCTCCCGTAATGAAACACTGTCGCACGGCGGTTCCCGGTTTGTGCTATTGGTGCCATTGGTGCTATTGGTGCTATTGGTGCCATTGGTGCTATTGGGACTGCTCGTGGGGTACGTCGTGAAGAAGCGTTTATGCTGCAAGCCGGAAACCCAGCGTGAGATTGATGACGATTCGTGCACAACCAATGGCTGTCTGTGGAAAAGCATCGTCGCGTGCATCTGCCCGCGTCACGAATACCAGCAGCCACAGGCCTGAAGTGACGAGCGGAGCGGAATGTTCCACTCCCCCGCCCTCCACCAAACCCCCTCTTTTCACGTCTCAAAATTGCCCTCCTCGTTTTAACATGCGACGCAAACATCGATGCCGTGAAATCGCCTTTCGCCAGTTGCCACAGTTTATTGCTCCCTGGACTGAGGTGCTCCCCCTTCTTCTTCGCTCTGCTGTCCGGATGTGGAGCTGCCTCCCCGATGAGCACATTGTCGGCAAGATCACCGATTCCAGTCTTGAGGCCCTCAAACGCCGAGCTCGCACACACGGGGCACCCCCCCCCCATAACGTTGCCAACCCGCCTTGTAGGGCGACCGAGTCTTTGAGCCGCACTGAACCAATGGCCGCGCCGATTAGACGTACTCATGTCTGAAATGGCTGTGCACCCAATAAAAAAAACGTGCTCGCTATAACAGCACTTGCCCCAACAGTCTGTTTAGTTCTAGATTTAAAGCTTTCGTGACTGCTAGGATTCATACTCTTTGGTTCTATTGGGTAAAGTCACGTAGGTGAAAATAAAATAACAGTCTGCTTAGACTATACGGGGGGATCTTTTGTCTTTTTGTCTAGAAAAAAGAACCGCTACCTCCTTTACGGTTCGTGTATGTAATGTGTGCCGTTGAACGTCTGTCGTGCCGTACGGAGCTAACCGTGCTAAAATCGTAGGTGCGGTGTCGGGCGCTGTCACATCGCTTGGAACGCCATTTTGGAGGGAAGGCGTGACGGGCCGATGCTAATCCGTCGTTTTATCCTCGTGGCGTGCTCGGCCACCAGCAGTGGCTCACGGACGCGCTTGTAAGGGGACCAGCGCGACCCCCCCACATCGTCAAAGAATTGTCCAAAAAGCCACGGAGAAAACACGAGGACAGCCGCCAATTACGTACTCTGGGCCACGAAAACTTCCGTTGGTGGAGCCAACACAGATAACGACTGCGGTTGGCCGTGTGGAATGTCCCAAATGCTCGCTGGGGAGGAGAGGCTGCCATTCCTCTGTCGAGAGCTGGACTGGTACCACCTGGATCTCTGGAATATGTATAGGGCCTGGTGGGCTGACTGGGTCCTGTCACTACGAGGGGGTGGACAGTCTTCCATGCTGGGCACGTGTGGAAAGGCGCTTCAAGGCTCATCGGATTTCTCCTGCTGTCTAAATAAAGATTCTGATTCTAAACTGTGTATCTTTCTGTAACTAGGGAGTCTCTATGCAAGGCTTTATATCTCTGTAACTTTATACATCTTTAAATAACTATGCCACCGTATGTAACTATGGCTATGAAAATAAACTTTTTGAATCTCTGTAACTGTGTGGATTTCTCTAACCCCATTTACCACTGTATTGATCTCCGTTGCACTCTGGATTATTTTTTTTACGTAGCTCGGTAGATCTCTCTGTGACTGTAGATAATCCCCGTGACTATCGCTCTGCGTAATCCTACGGCTGTCGATGTAACTCTATGGATCTCTATGGAACTAACTCTATGCGCATCTATCTAACTCTGAGTCTATGTACCTATAACGCCCTATATGTAACTATGTGGGTCTCTGTGTAACTCTATGGGTCTCTGTGTAACTTTATGGGTCTCTGTGTATCTCTATGGGTCTCTGTGTAACTCTATGGGTGTCTGTGTATCTCTATGGGTGTCTGTGTAACTCTATGGGTCTCTGTGTATCTCTATGGGTCTCTGTGTAACTCTATGGGTCTCTGTGTATCTCTATGGGTCTCTGTGTATCTCTATGGGTCTCTGTGTATCTCTATGGGTCTCTAACTCTATGGGTCTCTAACTCTATGGGTCTCTGTGTATCTCTATGGGTCTCTGTGTATCTCTATGGGTCTCTGTGTATCTCTATGGGTCTGTGTAACTCTATGGGTCTCTGTGTAACTCTATGGGTCTATGTGTATCTCTATGGGTCTCTGTGTATCTCTATGGGTCTCTAACTCTATGGGTCTCTGTGTATCTCTGTGTATCTCTATGGGTCTCTGTGTATCTCTATGGGTCTCTGTGTATCTCTATGGGTCTCTAACTCTATGGGTCTCTGTGTAACTCTATGGGTCTCTGTGTATCTCTATGCGTCTCTGTGTATCTCTATGGGTCTCTGTGTATCTCTATGGGTCTCTGTATCTCTATGGGTCTGTGTATCTCTATGGGTCTCTGTGTAACTCTATGGGTCTCTGTGTAACTCTATGGGCCTCTGTGTATCTCTATGGGTCTCTAACTCTATGGGTCTCTGTGTAACTCTGTGTATCTCTATGGGTCTCTGTGTATCTCTGGGTCTGTGTATCTCTATGGGTCTCTGTGTAACTCTATGGGTCTATGTGTATCTCTATGGGTCTCTGTGTATCTCTATGGGTCTCTAACTCTATGGGTCTCTGTGTAACTCTATGGGTCTCTGTGTATCTCTATGCGTCTCTGTGTATCTCTATGGGTCTCTGTGTATCTCTATGGGTCTGTGTATCTCTATGGGTCTCTGTGTAACTCTATGGGTCTCTGTGTAACTCTATGGGTCTCTGTGTATCTCTATGCGTCTCTGTGTATCTCTATGGGTCTCTGTGTATCTCTATGGGTCTCTGTGTATCTCTATGGGTCTCTGTGTATCTCTATGGGTCTCTAACTCTATGGGTCCCTGTGTAACTCTATGGGTCTCTGTGTATCTCTATGCGTCTGTGTATCTCTATGGGTCTCTGTGTATCTCTATGGGTCTCTGTGTATCTCTATGGCTCTCTGTGTATCTCTATGGCTCTCTGTGTATCTCTATGGGTCTCTAACTCTATGGGTCTCTGTGTAACTCTATGGGTATCTGTGTATCTCTATGGGTCTCTGTGTATCTCTATGGGTCTCTGTGTATCTCTATGGGTCTCTGTGTATCTCTATGGGTCTCTGTGTAACTGTTAAAGTGCGCACGCTTCCGCAGCATCCAGGCCCCCACGCGGCCCTCCCCTCGCCCGGGTAGCCACGTTCCGGGGCCCCGCTCATCCTCGGGCCCCGGAACGTCGAGTGGCGACGGGGCGCGCGCGCCACTCACGGTTTTTGGAGACCCCCACCCACCCCACCCACCCCACCCCCCACCCCCCGCCGCCCCAGACAAAAAAATGTTTTGCTCCAAATCTTTAGCCGCCCGTTCGGCGCGGGGTGTTTGTTGTCGCCCCATTTAGCAGCCGATCGGCGGCCTTCCCACGGATGCAAATCGCCAGCGAGCCCCTCCGTCGCCTTACCCACGGCAAGACCGCGACGACTTCAAGAGCCGCCCGTGGTGGACTCGTCATTCACGATCGATACCGGTGCGGCGAACGAGACATCAACGGGAGGAGGAGGCGAAGGAGGCCCTCCCCTCTCACCCCACCCCTCACCCCACCCCTCACCCCTCACCCCACCCCTCACCCCTCACCCCACCCCTCACCCCTCACCCCACCCCTCACCCCTCACCCCACCCCTCACCCCTCACCCCACCCCTCACCCCTCACCCCTCACCCCACCCCTCACCCCCCACCCCTCACCCCCCACCCCACCCCTCACCCCTCACCCCCCCCACCCCCACCCCTCACCCCCCACCCCTCACCCCCCCCACCCCCACCCCACCCCCCACCCCTCACCCCACACCTCACCCCTCACCCCCCACCCCCCACCCCTCACCCCCCACCCCCCACCCCTCACCCCCCACCCCCCACCCCTCACCCCCCACCCCTCACCCCCCACCCCCACCCCTCACCCCCACCCCACACCCCACCCCCACCCCACACCCCACCCCTCACCCCACCCCTCACCCCCACTCCTCCTGCTGGCTCAGGCACCACGCTCCGGGTTTTTGTGTTCGCTGTCGCGGGCGGCCGGGCCGGGTTTTGGGCTCTCGGCTGGGGGCCTCGGGCGAGGCGGCCCGAGGCGGCCCGAGGCAGTACAGAAAGTTGGTTGCTGGGGGGCGCTGTTGGCCGACGTGGATTTGGTGAGAATTATATTTGTGTTTTTTTTAGTCGATGAGAAACCGGGAGAGCCTCCCTCCCGCCGCCCTACTGCCTCCTTTATAATAAACCCCCCTGGGTCGGAATTCCTGCCACACGAAGCGGCCACATTTTCTAGCGTTTCAAGCCCCACGGCGTTTTTGTCTTCAGTGTAGCAGCAGCAAGCAAGCAGAGAGCGAGAGGGGCCCTGAGTGAGTGGAATTCAGCCAGCTCTCCTTACCAAGTGTCTCGCAGTTAAAGGCTTGCGTGTGTGTGTGTGGCTGTTTTTTTTTTTAACTCGCCACGTTTGCAGGGAGTTGTGTCCGTGTGTGTGTGTGGCTGTGGTGGTTGTTGCTGTAAAGGAATCTGAATGCCTTCGGGCGCGTTGCAGTGGCGAGAGCAAAGCAACTGTGGAGCCTTTTTTTAAAAAGCAGTGCCGGTTGAATGCAAAGAGAGGCGTGTGTCTGTGTGTGTTGGCGTTCTGTGGCTTCGGTGGTGGTGGTGATGATTCAGGCGGGGATCTGTGGGGGTGTAATTATCCACCTCCAGCGATTCTGGGCGCTGCTGTGTTTGATAACCGTGGCGGGCGACTTGCAGCGTCTGCCTCTAAAGGCATTGGCCAGGGACCCCAGGAGATCCGTTCTGGTGTACACGGTTAACACACACGAAGAGAGACACGGCCAACACACACGAAGAGAGACACGGCCAACACACGGCCAACACACACGAAGAGAGACACGGTCAACACACGGCCAACACACACGAAGAGAGACACGGCCAACACACACGGCCAACACACACGAAGAGAGACACGGTCAACACACGGGCAACACACACGAACATCTCCCGTGGAGTCGGGCCAGGCTGCGGTGGGCAAGTGCTGTTTGCGAGCACCTATAGAAGAGGCCTGCACGGCACACGGGTGGTTCAACACCACGCCCGGCCGCCTTTGTCTCCCCAGTGGCGATTTTTACTACACACCACGCCGGGTATTCATTTCAGGCTGAGCCGACCTAGGGGACGCCCATGACCGGTTAAGATAATCGTCACTGGTGTTGGCCACACACACACACGGAGAATTTGCATTTTAATCCACAGTTTAGCTACGATTATGTAGCAATGTCTTATAATTACTGACCATTGACAATTGACAATTCAAGAATTAATGATTGCAATCGTAACATTCCAATAGACGGAGACTGGGTCTGTCTGTCACTGTCTAGAGACCCATCAGAGACCAGTCTGTCTTTGTCTAGAGACTCCATCAGAGACCAGTCTGTCACTGTCTAGAGACCCATCAGAGACCAGTCTGTCACTGTCTAGAGACCCATCAGAGACCAGTCTGTCTGTCACTGTCTAGAGACCCATCAGAGACCAGTCAGTCTGTCTTTGTCTAGAGACCCATCAGAGACCAGTCTGTCTGTCTTTGTCTAGAGACTCCATCAGAGACCAGTCTGTCACTGTCTAGAGACCCATCAGAGACCAGTCTGTCTGTCACTGTCTAGAGACCCATCAGAGACCAGTCTGTCTGTCACTGTCTAGAGACCCATCAGAGACCAGTCAGTCTGTCTTTGTCTAGAGACCCATCAGAGACCAGTCTGTCTGTCTTTGTCTAGAGACCCATCAGAGACCAGTCTGTCTTTGTCTAGAGACCCATCAGAGACCAGTCTGTCTGTCTGTCTTTGTCTAGAGACTCCATCAGAGACCAGTCTGTCACTGTCTAGAGACCCATCAGAGACCAGTCTGTCTGTCACTGTCTAGAGATCCATCAGAGACCAGTCTGTCTTTGTCTAGAGACCCATCAGAGACCAGTCTGTCTGTCTTTGTCTAGAGACCCATCAGAGACCAGTCTGTCTGTCTTTGTCTAGAGACCCATCAGAGACCAGTCTCTGTCTTTGTCTAGAGACCCATCAGAGACCAGTCTGTCTGTCTTTGTCTAGAGACCCATCAGAGACCAGTCTGTCTGTCTTTGTCTAGAGACCCATCAGAGACCAGTCTCTGTCTTTGTCTAGAGACCCATCAGAGACCAGTCTGTCTGTCACTGTCTAGAGATCCATCAGAGACCAGTCTGTCTGTCATTGTCTAGAGACCCATCAGAGACCAGTCTGTCTGTCTTCGTCTAGAGACCCATCAGAGACCAGTCTGTCACTGTCTAGAGACCCATCAGAGACCAGTCTGTCTTTGTCTAGAGATCCATCAGAGACCAGTCTGTCTGTCACTGTCTAGAGATCCATCAGAGACCAGTCTGTCTGTCATTGTCTAGAGACCCATCAGAGACCAGTCTGTCTGTCTTTGTCTAGAGACCCATCAGAGACCAGTCTGTCTTTGTCTAGAGACTCCATCAGAGACCAGTCTGTCTGTCTTTGTCTAGAGACCCATCAGAGACCAGTCTGTCTGTCACTGTCTAGAGACCCATCAGAGACCAGTCTGTCACTGTCTAGAGACCCATCAGAGACCAGTCTCTCTGTCTTTATCTAGAGACCCATCAGAGACCAGTCTGTCTGTTTTTGTCTAGAGACCCATCAGAGACCAGTCTGTCACTGTCTAGAGACCCATCAGAGACCAGTCTGTCTGTATTTGTCTAGAGATTCCATCAGAGACCAGTCTGTCTATCACTGTCTAGAGACCCATCAGAGACCAGTCTGTCACTGTCTAGAGACCCATCAGGGACCAGTCTGTCTGTCTTTGTCTAGAGACCCATCAGAGACCAGTCTGTCTGTCTTTGTCTACAGACCCATCAGAGACCAGTCTGTCTGTCTTTGTCTAGAGACCCATCAGAGACCAGTCTGTATTTGTCTAGAGACTCCATCAGAGACCAGTCTGTCACTGTCTAGAGACCCATCAGGGACCAGTCTGTCACTGTCTAGAGACCCATCAGGGACCAGTCTGTCTTTGTCTAGAGACCCATCAGAGACCAGTCTGTCTGTCTTTGTCTAGAGACTCCATCAGAGACCAGTCTGTATTTGTCTAGAGACTCCATCAGAGACCAGTCTGTCACTGTCTAGAGACCCATCAGGGACCAGTCTGTCACTGTCTAGAGACCCATCAGGGACCAGTCTGTCTGTCTTTGTCTAGAGACCCATCAGAGACCAGTCTGTCTGTCTTTGTCTAGAGACCCATCAGAGACCAGTCTGTCTTTGTCTAGAGACCCATCAGAGACCAGTCTGTCTTTGTCTAGAGACCCATCAGAGACCAGTCTCTCACTCCCTACAAACGCCCCACCACGTAAGGACTCTGAACGGTGACCCCTGACCCCCCCCCCCCCCCCCACGTAGAGATGGAGGCCGGAGGGTCGCAGGCTGTCTCTGGAGGGCCCCAGGCTCTGTCCGCCCCGCGGGCCACGCTGCTCAAGCGGGAGGCCGCCGAGCGGCCCTGGCCGGGCGTCATCGTGAAGCGTGAGGTGGTGGATGGTGAGCGCTGCCCCCCCCCCCCCCCCTCCAGATGTCGTCTCCCTCGCCTGGTGTGCAGGAGGTCGTGCGTTTTCAATGCAGACCCTACCGGCGTATACGGAGTTTACACCTTAGACTGCAGTAGGACTCTACATGATCGGCGCCGATGACGGGGGAGGATGGCCGCGGGTAATTCGACATCGCGGATAACCCAGAAATATCAAAAATATCCACGGATCTCTATGCCGAACACCGCTAATATTAGGTGTTAATAAAAGTTGACAAAATAAGTTATCGATATAAAAATCACTCAAAGTGAAGCACACCTGACGATTCCGATTGTTACTCTTTCGATTAAGAACGAATACCAACAGCGATCGAGGATGCGCGTGCTCAGTGACGATGAAACTTTCCTGGCTCCCGCACAGCAGAAGACTCGGCCCACTAAGCCGATGACGGCAGCAGACCCACAGCCAATCAACATCAGCCAAACGCCGCCACCCACCGTCGTAAAGATGTGACAACTACTGCGCTGTAGAGGCGATCCAGCGGATTTCGGCTTAACTGGAGCAAACATCTTCTTTGGTTCTTTCGGTAAAGTCACGTAGAATGAGAATAAAATAATAAAATTAATAAAATAACACTATAAAATTCTCACGACGTTTCGGCCACAACACAAGTGGCCTTCTTCAGGTGAAAGGAACAAACCTGTCGGACGGCCTTCTTCAGGTGAAAGGAACAGACCTGTCGTCCCGAGGAACAGACCTGTCTTCCCGACAGGTTTGTTCCTTTCACCTGAAGAAGGCCACTTGTGTTGTGGCCGAAACGTCGTGAAAATTTTATAGTGTTATTTTATTAATTTTATTATTTTATTCTCATTCTACGTGACTTTACCGAAAGAACCAAAGAAGATGAATCCTTGCAGTCACGAAAGCTTTAAATCGAAATTTGGAGCAAACATATTTGTTCGGTTTAAGGACGCGATCTGTGATGAACATTTCCAGGAATAACAATGTCGTAAAACTGTTTTTAGATGATAAGCATTTTGGGCTTAAGGGAATATCAGGTGCACGGTTAAACTATTTAAACTATTTGTATTTTACCCGGTAAGGCCCCAATGAGCTGCCACGTAGCTCTTTCTCAGAAGCGACCTGACCATCACAAATGACAGCTCAAACGAATTGGCTTATCAGCATCACGTGGAAACGTAGAGCAGCGGCCAAATACCCTGACGCCTGATGTACAGGGTGCTTCAAACAAATGTGAACACTTCTCAGAATTCGCGACAATGACCACGAGAAAATGTGCCATCTCCGGGCTCTGGAGACCACTTGGAGAAGATTCCAGGCACACGTTGTTGACAACGATGGCGAACAAGTGGAGACTCTTTCCCTTTCTTTTTGAAGCTATTTACATTTGTTGTCATGCTACAGTGTCGTATTATCCATTATTTTTCCATTAAAAACCACAGTCCCATATAAGTGTTAACATTTTCGTGAAGCACCCCCCTGTACATTTTGAGTCCGAGAAAATAGTCGCCCAGACCCAGGCCTTGTAAGTTGGTGACACGGCCATTGTGAACCCCATGGTAGAGAGAGGGCCACCCCGGTGGCTAGGAGATGTTAGATCCCTCGCCTGGTGTGCAGGAGGTCGTGGGTTCGATTCCGACCCTGATGATGCTCGCTGTATTTGGAGTCTGCGTCTCTCTCTCATTATTATCATGGTGGCTAGGAAATGTTATCTCCCTCGCCCGGTATGCAGGAGGTCGTGGCTTCAATCCCGACCCCTAGACGATGCCCACTGTGTATGTGTAGTCTGTGTGTCTCTCTGTCTCCCCGTGGTGGTCACGTGGACTTTCCTCTGGGCCTTCCGGCTTTTTCTTTCCTGAAAATAGAATCGACGTCACGCGTTTAGCGTTATTTGCCTGCTGCGATAAATTTCCACACTGTGATCATATCAGCCACTTCGTTGTGATAGCCACGTCGCTTCTGAAAAAAGAGCTACGTAGCAGGTCAGTGGGGGCTTACACCTGGTAACAATAACAAAATAGTTTATAGTGTTGGTTTCCACCCTCGCTCGTGTTCCTGTGAGCAGGCTTCAGGCCTGACGCGGTGGCACTGTCACTAAAGCGTGAGCACGAGGAGGACGAGGAGGACGAGGAGGACGAGGAGGAGGGGGAGGAGGGGGAGGATGAAGAGGAGGAGCCCGGCCATGATGCCTGGCCTCAGGTGAAGGTGAAGCAGGAAGACTCCGCAAACGGTACGGCCTCGCGTCACCCACACACGCCCACACACGCCCACACACACACAAACACGCCCACACACCCAAAACAACAACAACAACCGCCATTCGCCACTAAGTGGCGGTGACATCACCACGACGCTTGTGCCAGCCCATGTGCACCTTGAGGCCACGTGAAGTGTCGAACGCCCACCGGCAGGAGGTCACGGGGCAGACCCAGCAGGTGCCAGGGGTCGACTGACTGAGATGAGTGGCCGATGCACCACCTGTGCCGCCTACTGTTCCGCCTACTGTTCCAACCTGCTGTGCTTTAGCCACCCGGCGCTCCGCTCGTTGTTGTGAGCGTCGCTCCTCCGCCCTCCGTTGTTGTTGGAGGGGGCGACTGCCTCCAACTGCCCAGTATCGTCCTTCACGAGCCTCCTCCACAGAGGCCGATCTTGACACCGCTGGTACCGGTCATCGGCAAGTCCACACAGCTCCACGTCCTCCTGTACCACGTCACTCCATCTCTTCTCTAGCCCGTGCCGCTCCCATTTAGCCCCCTCGATCCGGCCCCCGTTTGGCCGCTGTGGTGGCTACAAGCACCACGAAGGGGTTTAGCCGATTTTGAAATTGGCCTTCACTCTGTGACATTTCTCACATCCACCACGGCGTTACCGTCCGGCACCACACACACGTACACACGGCGCAAGGCATGCCCGGCGTCACCCGCGGTGTCGGCCAATCCAGGGGCCGAACTGGGAGGGGCACCGCATTCCCCCCGCGTTCCTCTCCGCCACCTGTGAGGTGCAGCACAGAGCTCCGCTATCCGGCATCCGTTGGGGCATGGAGGGCGCCGGTTAATCAAACGAGTGTGTGTGTGTGTAGAACGTCTTTGTAATCGCACGTAGCTCAAGTGTGCTCATCGGAGGTGCGGGTATAATGTGACGTCATCCTGCTCTATCTAAGACCGGAAGCAGGTGTATTTATTCACTAGTCTGGCAAATCGCCCGATGATGCTGGTTGATGTGATTTCCAGCAAACCGTCACGGTACTCAAATTGTAAATGTTGTGGATTTGCTCTCCCAAACACATCGGTGAGCTGAAGAAGTCACTAATTGGTGCGTTTGTTTACGTGACAAACCTTACTGGCCGTGTTGGGTGGTGGAGGGTTACGACACAACATTTATTTTTTTATTTAAAACTTTCGTGACTGCAGTTATTCATATTCTTAGCTCTTTCGGTAAAGTCACATTGAAGGGAAACAATAAAATAATAAAATATATATAAAACAATAAAAATTCTCACGACGTTTCGACCACAACGGTCATCATCAGGTTTTCACACTTGTTGATGACCGTTTGTGTTATGGTCGAAACGTCTTGAGAATTTGTATTGTTTTATATATATTTTATTATTTTATTGTTTCCCTTCAACGTGACTTTACCGAAAGAGCTAAGAATACAACATTTATTCTCATGGCGATCGAACCCAAAAGCCTTTATTATGAATCATATTGGTCGTGAAAGCCTGCTAAGTGTAAAACTAAATCAAAGCTTCTTTGGTTCTTTCGGTAAAGTCACGTAGAATGAGAATAAAATAATAAATTGATAAAATAAAATAACACAATAATATTCTCACGACGTTTCGGCCACAACAAAGGCGGCCTTCATCAGGTGAAGGGACGAGACTGTCTGGTAGGACAGCGCTGGAGTGAAAGAGCCACGTTCAGATCACGACCTTTAAGCTGTGTGAGAGGAAACAAAGCGCCTTGACAAAGGAATTAGCATATAATTTAGCATTGAAATGGCTGAGTGATTAGCTTGTGACTGGTCACAGAAATAGCTATGTTAAAACATACACATCCGCAGAGGCACCCCTTGACAAAGGAATTAGCATAGAATTTAGCATTGAAATAGCTAAGTTAAAGCATACACATCCGCAGAGGCACCCCTTGACAAAGGAATTAGCATAGAATTTAGCATTGAATAGCTGAGTGATTATTTGCTGCTGCTACCGCTGCTGCCACTGCTCGTTGTTGCGGTCGTGGTCGCGCTGCGTGGCGACAGCGAGCCCGCGGAGCGAGGACGACGAGACGGGGGGTGCCGGGGGGGGTGGGGGGAGGGGCCTCGTCGTCGTCTCCGGAGGGGGCGGCCGACAGGACGGCTGCCGAGGTGGAGGTGGAGCTGAGCGACGAGGACGGCGGCGGCGGCGGCGGCAGTGGCGGAGAGACGGGAGCCGCTCACTCGCGTGAGTGTCACACCCCCCCCCCACCTCCTCGGTGATTGTGGTGGTAGTGGTGGTGGTGGATACCGGACAGTGACGCTGTCATGGCTGTGGTGGTGGTGGTTGCCAGAAGGTGAAGCTGTGGTGGCGTCTGTGGCGTCTGTGGTGGTGGTGATTTCCGGACGCTAACCCTGCTGATTCTAGTCCGCTGTTCCCCTCGTGGCGCTCGTAGCCACCACATCGACCAATGGGGGGGGGGGGCTTTGCTGTACGGGCGAGAGGTGGTTGGTGGCACCTCCACTTTCATTTCATTTCCCACTAAACCACGTATTAAATATCTAACTAAGCTTGTACCGGAGGCCTCAGGGTGATGGGCATCCATGACGTCCCCTGGCCAAACTTTGTTTGGTGGAGCCAGGACACTGAACTCATATCCTTGGCGTTCCTGTAGAAACTGCAAAAAGATATTGAGAGTGGCCACGTGTAAAGTTCGAACGCTCACTGCGGAGGAGAGGCTGCCACCCCTCTGTCGGGAGCTGGACCGGTACCGCCTGGATCTCTGTGGCATTCAGGAGGTCCGGTGGACCGGTTCTGGCTTCTGCCACCATGAGGGGTGGACAGTCCTCCACTCGGGGCAGGAAGAAAAGAATGAAGGGGGTGTGGGAGCGTAATGATGAGGTGTGGAAAGCTGTAACCCCCAGGCTACTGTGGGCGCACTTTGCCATCGACCAGAGGTGATGAGTGGTGGTGGTGGTTACTTATGCCCCCACCGAAGATGAGCATCAGTGGAGGGATGCAGGAAAAGCCGATGAGTCAGATTCCTTCTATGACCTCCTGTCACAAGTGCTAGCTAAAGTGACCCCTCGAGATAGTCATCCTGTTGGGTAAGATTAATGCCCGAGTGGGTCATGATGCTGGTACTGGGGCTAGGGTGATTGGAAGGCATAAGCGGCTGAAACACAGCAAGTTGGCACAGTGAGGGCCACATCTGGTGCATCTGCCAGTCGTCTCGGTCAGTAAACCCATGGCACCAGCTGGGTCTGTCCCATGACCTCATGACAGCGGGTGTTCGATATTTCACACGGCCTTAAAGTGCACCTGGCCTGGCACAGGCACCATGGTGACTTCACTGTCACTTAGTGGCGAATGGCGGGTATTGGTGGTGTTTGTGGTGGTGGTTATGGTGGAGGCTGAGTCGACCTAGTGGAGCCCAGGACCGGTTCAGATTATTGTCACTGGTGTTAGCCGTGAACGGGAATCGAACTCGGGTCGCTGGGTTCGTAGCGCATCACGCTAACCGCGACGCTACCGCTCCACTCAAAGTACACAACAACAACCGCCATTCGCCACTAAGTGGCGGTGACGTCACCACGACGCTTGTGCCAGGCCATGTGCACCTTGAGGCCACGTGAAGTGTCGAACGCCCGCGGGCAGGAGGTCACGGGGCAGACCCAGGTGCCACGGGTCGACTGACTGAAATGACTGGCTGATGCACCACCTGTGCCCCCTAGTGTGCCAACCTGCTGTGCTTTAGCCACCCAGCACGTACATACACACACGTACATACACACACATACACACACGTACATACACACACGTACATATAAAGATCCCCCATATAGCCTTAACAGACTGTAGAGGCAAGTGCTGTTAGCGAACACCTATGAAGGCCAGAACGGTACACGAGGGGATGGGTGGCCAGCACCACGCCCGGCCGCCTTTGTCTCCCCAGTGGCGATGTTTACTACACACCTCACCAGGTACTCATTTGAGGCTGAGTCGACCTAGAGGAGGCCCGGGACCGGTTCAGATAATCGTCACTGGTGTTGGCCATCAGCGGGAATCGAAACCCGTGTCGCCGGGTTCATAGCGCAGCGCACTAACCGCTACACTACCGCTCCCCACATACACACGTACACACACGTAAACACACGTACACACACGTACACACCCACACGTACATATACTCGTACACACACGTAAACACACGTACACACACGTCCACACACGTCCACACACGTACACACCCACACATACATATACTCGTACACACACGTAAACACACGTACATACACACACGTACACACCCACACGTACATATACTCGTACACCCACGTACACACACGTACACACCCACACGTACATATACTCATACACACACGTACACACACGTACTCACACACACGTACATATACTCGTACACACACTTACACACCCACACGTACATATACTCATACACACACGTAAATTCACGTACGTGCATACACGTACATATACACGAACGCACACATAAACACACGTACATATACACGAACACACACATAAACACATGTACATACACACACGTACATACGTACACACACGTATGTGCACACACGTACATACACACACGTACGTGCACACACGTACATACACACACGTACGTGCACACACGTACACACACACGTACACACACATACGTACACACACGTACACACATGTACGTACACACATGTACACACACACGTACACACACGTACATACACACACGTACATACGTACATACACACACGTACGTGCACACACGTACATACACACGTACATACATACGTACACACACATACGTACATACGTACACACACGTACATACACACGTACACACACGTACATACACACACGTACGTACACACACGTACATACACACACGTACGTGCACACACGTACATACACACACGTACGTGTACACACGTACATACACACACGTACACACACGTACACACACACGTACGTACACACACACGTACATACACACACACATACGTACACACACGTACACACACATACGTACATACGTACACACACACGTACACACACACGTACATACACACACGTACACAGGAGGCGGCGCCGCCGCCGCTGCTGCTGCTGCCGGCGCGGGCGACGCCGAGCAGCTGCCGCGGTGCCGTCACTGCGGCAAGGCGGCGCCGGACGCGGCGTCCCTGCGGCGGCACGAGCGCTCGCACACGGTGGAGCGCCCGCACGTGTGCGGCGAGTGCGGCCGCGGCTTCCCGAGCCGGCGCAACCTGCGGCGCCACCAGAGCACGCACGCGGGCCAGCGCGCGTTCCCCTGCGCCGACTGCGGCCGCGTCTTCACGCAGCCCTCCAGCCTCAAGATGCACTCGCGCACGCACGCCGGTGAGTGGGCGGGAGTGCGGTGGGCGCCCTGGCCACCCGCTTAGTCACCCTGGCTAGCCACCAACTGGCCACCCCGCTAGCCACCCTGCGAGCCATCTCGCGAGGCACCCGCTTAGTCACCCCAGCTAGCCACCAACTGGCCACCCCACTAGCCACCCTGCGAGCCATCTCGCGAGCCACCCGCTTAGTCACCCCGTCTAGCCACCAACTGGCCACCCCGCTTAGTCACCCCGCGAGCCATCTCGCGAGCCACCCGCTTAGTCATCCCCTAGCCGCCCGCTAGGCATCCTGCTAGCCGCCCCCTAGCCACCCCCTAGCCACCCCTCTTATTTCGTATGGATTAATAGCAGCAGATTCAAGATGTGAATGCGGCTTTGTTATCCCCTCAGTTGTCTGTTCAGAAGCAGCGTGGATCTCGTCCGTTCCTCCGTTAGAGGAGTGAAGACGATGGCAGCGGCAGCAGCGGCGGAGTGTTTACGATCGCGGTCGATGGTTTTGGGATTCGTGGCCACACTCTCGCAGGACGCGGAATCTTTCACGGCGCCATTTGTGCATTCGGGAGGCCGCATCGGCCGCATCGGCCGCATGGCCCCGGTTCGGGTTCGGTTGATGGTCGACCCGTTGGCGGGCATTGGAAGGTTGAAACCGGGAGGTTCGACGGGTCAGGGTCGCCGTACGAGATGTTGATCCTCGACGTCGGCCGCAGTCCAGAGGCTCGCCTCCGCCTCTTGCCTTCGCTTGTATTCGTGGCGTGGAGCGAGGCTGCTGCTGTCGTCCGCAAGGGGAGTGGCGTGGGCAGGCGGCGCCGGGTTTATGGTCCCGATGTACCGGAAGGTTTCCGGGTTGACGGGAATGTTTTGGTTCTCCCGGACGGCCGCCACTTTCACGACGGTTTTGAGGCGGAGCGATGTCGGGGTGACCATCGGGAGCCAATGGTGGGGGTGGGGGGGGGGGGGAGAGTCGGCGTCGACCTCGGCGTACCTCAGATGGCCACGCATCGCGATGTTGGGTTGCGTACCGATAGCTCGAGGCGTGCGAGCGCCGTGTCCCCACGCAGGTGAGCGATGCTCTCCCGTCGCATACACGAGGGGGGCGAGCGTGGCGATCCGCTCGCGCATCACAGCCACCAAACTGGTTCCTGCCAGTTTCTGGATGATTTTCGCGCGTGTCTTTTTTATCCCGTTGCTCAGCTGCTTAATTTGTTGCATTAAAGTGAGAATTCGATCGAGCACCACTCGATGGGAGTGGGTCCGCGGGTGACGGTTTAACCTCAAAACTCCGCGATCTTCAGCGCACTTTTTGGAATGCCGAGGACGCTGCCTCGGTTTGGGTTTGGCTTAAATCGCCTGGGGTAGAAATAAGCCGCCTGCTCTCAGGTGGTACGGTGGCTTGCAAGAGAGGGGAGAGTCGGGCTATAGCCAGACTCTCTCAAGTAGCTTGTCGTAGGCTTTACAAATAAGAGATATTGGCCTGTAGCTGTGCGGGTCATCAGCAGGGTTTTCCTGGATTGAGGAGAGCAATGACTTTTGCTTTTCTCCAAGGTCTTGGTAATCTGCTGGTGGCGATGATTTTTTTTTTATTTTGAAGTTTCTCCGGCCAGCTTCTTCCTTTGCTGCCAAGGTGTTTTAGGAATTCCGGGTAAATCCCATCTATCTCTGGGGCTTTACTTGCCTTTCTTACCGCCAGTGTGGAGGCATCTGCTCCTTCTGGAAGTACAGCTGCAGACAGAGGAGAGGTTTTTTTTTGTCGCAGGTTGCGACTGAAATCTTTTGAGGCTTGATTTTTTTTTTACCGTGCTTTTTTTGTTTTCGACTTCTGATTGTGCACCGCTATTCCATTGTCAGTCGCCCCGGGGTGTTTGAGGGAGCCACTCCACCCAGCTTCCACAGTAACCCCCCCACCACATGGTCTGCCGCTGGAGTGCATGAAGTCAACAGACTGTCGACGCTACCTCGTCTGGCAGAATCTAGCGACTGCAGAAGGGCTGTTGCGATCTCTGGGTCACCACCCGCTAGCCACCCCCTAGCCACCCCTAGCCACCTCCTAGCCACCCGCTATCCACCCCTTAGCCACCCGCTAGCCACCCCCTCGCTACCCCCTAGCTATGCCCTCGCTACCCCCTCGCCACCCACTAGCCACCCCCTAGCCACCCGCTAGCCACCCCCTAGCCACCCGCTAGCCACCCCCTAGCCACCCCCTAGCCACCCACTAGCCACCCGCTAGCCACCTGCTAGGCACCCGCTAGGCACTCCCTATACACACGTTCGCTACCCTCTACCCACCTGCTAGCCACCCGCTAGCCACCCACTAGCCACCCCCTAGCCACCTCCTAGCCACCTCCTAGCCACCTCCTAGCCACCCGCCAGCCACCCCCTAGCCACCCACTCGCCACCCACTAGCCACCCGCTAGCCACCCACTAGCCACCCGCTAGCCACCCACTAGCCACCCGCTAGCCACCCGCTAGGCACCCGCTAGGCACTCCCTCGCCACCCGCTAGCCACCCGCTAGGCACTCCCTCGCCACCCGCTAGCCACCCGCTAGGCACTCCCTATCCACCCGCTACCCAACCCACACTCACTTAAACCCCCGCGGAACTGGCGAGGAAGATTCACTCACAGCCCCCTGCCGCCACCACGCTCTGAGCGCCGCTCTCCCTCCCTCCCTCCCTCCCCCCCCCCCGCCCCCGCCCTTGCGCAGCGGGAGGCAGCGCGGGCCGCTCGGGCATCCACGAGTGCGCCGAGTGCGGCAAGCGCCTGTCGGACGCGCGCAGCCTCAAGCGGCACGCGCGCACCCACACGGGCGAGCGCCCGTACGTGTGCGCCGAGTGCGGCAGCGACTTCCCGCACGCGTCCAGCCTCAAGGCCCACGCGCGCACCCACACGGGCGAGCGCCCCCACTGCTGCCCGCTGTGCGGCAAGCGCTTCGCCCACCTGCACAGCCTCAAGTCGCACGCCCGCGCCCACCTCGGCGAGCGGCCGCACGCCTGCAAGATCTGCCGCAAGGCCTTCCGCAACAAGTGGAACCTCAAGCGCCACCTGAGCACGCACTCGGGCGAGAAGCCGTACGCCTGCGCCGAGTGCGGCCGCGGCTTCCTGCAGTTCTCCAACCTGCGCACGCACGCGCGCGTCCACTCGGGCGAGCGGCCGCACGCCTGCGCCGAGTGCGGCAAGGGCTTCGCCCAGCTCTCGGGCCTCAAGATCCACGCCAAGACGCACACGGGCGAGCGGCCGCACGCCTGCGCCGAGTGCGGCAAGGGCTTCCTGCACCGCTCCAGCCTCAAGGTGCACGAGCGCGTCCACTCGGGCGAGCGGCCGCACGCCTGCGCCGAGTGCGGCAAGGGCTTCTCGCAGCTGTCGAGCCTCAAGATCCACGCCAAGACGCACACGGGCGAGCGGCCGCACGTGTGCGAGCAGTGCGGCCGCGGCTTCCCCAACGGACGCAACCTCAAGCGCCACCTGGCGACGCACACGGGCGAGAGGCCGCACGCCTGCCCCGAGTGCGGCAAGGGCTTCCTGCACCTCTCCAACCTCAAGATCCACGGGCGCATCCACACGGGCGAGCGGCCGCACGCCTGCGGCGAGTGCGGCCGCCGCTTCTCCAACCTGTCCGACATGAAGAAGCACTACCGCACGCACACGGGCGAGAGGCCGCACGTCTGCGGCGAGTGCGGCCGCGGCTTCACCAGCGTGTGCAACCTGCGGCGCCACCACGTGCTGCACACGCGCGACCACCCGCACGAGTGCGCCGAGTGCGGCAAGCGCTTCTCCTTGCTCTCCACGCTCAGGAACCACCTGCGACGCCACCGCCAGAGGGGCCCGCCGGGGCCAGTCCGGCAGGGCCCGGGGCCGGGGCTGGGGGGGCTGCCGGCGGAGTGGCCGGCGGAGGGCCTGCCGGGGCCCGCGGGGTTGGAGGAGGAGGAGGAGGAGGTGGAGGAGGAGGAGGAGGGGGAGCCGCGCAGTGGAGACGGCCGGCCCTGATTGAAGGCTGCCGGAGCGAGCGCCCGCAAGTGCTGCTTAACTCTTCTTAACTTTGGTTGAAACGTCAGTGTTCTAGTTTAGTTTTTGTTGTTGCTCACAGTACTTGACTAAGGGATGGGCCGTGGTGGCTCAGAAGTTCCCCGGACACCGAACCGGCACCCCCATCTGGGAACCCTGGGTTGGAATTATGGGATTTGGCCGTCCAACCTGCGGAGATTAGACTGGTGGGCTGTAAAGTGTAGCTAGCTGGTGGTCTCAGCCCGGTCACCAACGAGATCTATAGACTCGCACAGAGACTCGTAGACTCGCACAGAGATCTGTAGACTCACATCGAGATCTAGCGACTCGTATAGAGATCTGTAGACTCGCATAGAGACACGCAAACTCGCATAGAGATCTGTAGACTTGCATAGATGTCTATAGACTCGCAGAGATCCGTAGACTCACACAGAGACTCGTAGACTCGCACAGAGATCTGTAGACTCACATCGAGATCTAGCGACTCGTATAGAGATCTGTAGACTCGCATAGAGACACGCAAACTCGCATAGAGATCTGTAGACTTGCATAGATGTCTATAGACTCGCAGAGATCCGTAGACTCACACAGAGACTCGTAGACTCGCACAGAGATCTGTAGACTCACATCGAGATCTAGCGACTCGTATAGAGATCTGTAGACTCGCATAGAGACACGCAAACTCGCATAGAGATCTGTAGACTTGCATAGATGTCTATAGACTCGCAGAGATCCGTAGACTCACACAGAGACTCGTAGACTCGCACAGAGATCTGTAGACTTGCATTAAGATCTATAGACTTGCATAGAGATTTATAGACATATAGAGACATATAGACTCATATAGAGATGTATAGACTCCCATAGAGACCCGTAGACTCACGTAGACTGAGTTATGATGAACCCGGGTTCTCAAGTGTGGTCTCATAAAAAACCCGTAATCGTTTTTATGTTTTAACTTTGGTTAAATTCTGAACGAACTTTTCTCATTTCTGGTCCCCAGCGCGCTCCGTTAGCGCGTAGGAACGAGCGGTAACAGGTGTGTGGAGGGCCCTCAGAAGGACTTCCATGATGCCTCCCTCTGCGGGCCATTCCGACACTCCGCTCTGTGAGAGTTCCACATTCGACTACGCACAACGGATACGGTAGCACAACTTTTTGTACATGTATATCAAATTCGCAGTGTATTCCGAGTCTCGCACATTTCAAGAGATTTTTTTTAGCCGGACGGGCGGCGGGTGTGGCAATCCGTATGCCCCTCCCTCCCTCGGGTGTTGTGTTCGCCACGGACGATTCACCAGCTCGCTCAGCGTCTCTGTAGCGCCTTAGCAAGGGAGAGCTTCTTGAGTTTGTTAATGGCGACGCCGCCGCAGCCTCGTGCAGCCTCGCGATCTTTTTCGCAATCGTGAGTGGCCGACCCACTGACGCTTCCCTGCCCCGAGAGGGGGGGGGGGGGGGGAGGGGGGCTCTCGTTTTAAAACGCCCTGGCAAACGGAGGGACGACGGAACGGGGCCAGGCCAAGTGACGAGAGGGAACGTTTCGTGTAAATCGACCGACCGGTTGGGTTTTTTGTTTTTTGTTTGTACCTACCGTGGCCTTCACAAGATCGTCGGCACGGATCACGCACTTAATGGAGGGATACGCCACCCACACGCAGCGTTCACGGACAGATGGACGAATCGTAATCGTGCGCTATTTTCCCACCCAAGAAATTATCGGTGAGTCTGCATACTTAGGAGTGTGCTGCTATGTTTCGGATGGGTTCGGTTAATTTTATTAACGAGGAGGTTTTGGCTTCCGTGTGGGAGGAAACGCTGATGAGCAGGGGTTGTCTCCGCACGGCGTGTAAGAAGTTCAACGTCTGTATGTTACGTACAAGCTAGGTAACCCGGAGAGCAACTCAACCCTGGGCAAGGCGGCTTAGCTCCCAGCAACTCGCAACCCCACCTCCTACAACACTTGGCAAGCCACGGTGGTCACCAACCCAAGCACTGACCAAGGTCACAATCGCTCGTACGGTCACCTCTGGGGAGAGGAGGGGCCGATCGTTCAGAGTGATCTGGTCAGAGGCCTTGGGCCAAATGTCAAAGTCTCCCTCCATCTGCTCCCCTCCCCCAGACGAAATGGCTGTAACAAAGCGACCACCCGCTCTGCTCTTCGGTCAGACAAATGCGCGCACGTTGACTCCTCGAACGCTTTTGGAGATGTTCAAGCTCCGACGACTCTATTGCCACCCTTCAGCGGATGCTTCATCTGGCGTCGCATGACCTCTGAACCCCCAGCAGGAAGACGATTTCACACTTCCCCTCTCTCTCTCACGAGCCTCGCGAGGTCCGTCTCGGGGACGTGGCCATCGGCATTACTGACCGATGTGCGCGGGAAGCTCAATTCACTTGACACGCACACACGTACCCGTACACACACGTACCCGTACACACACGTACCCGTACACACACGTACCCGTACACACACGTACCCGCACACACACGTACCCATACACACACCTAACCGCACACACACGTACCCGCACACACACGTACCCGCACACACACGTACCCGCACACACGCATGCGTACCCGTGCGCGCGGCAGAATGTGGGATGACCTCTCCTGGGTCGGGTCGCCGTGTTGTGGGTACAGGGTCCCCTCCCCAGCTGTGGTAGCGGGCTGTGTGCACGCTCACGGGGGTCTAGGGGGCTGTGTGCACACTCACGTGGGTCTAGGGGGCTGTGTGCACGCTCACGGAGGTCTAGGGGGCTGTGTGCACACTCACGGGGTCTGTAGGGGGCTGTGTGCACGCTCATGGGGGTCTAGGGGGCTGTGTGCACACTCACGTGGGTCTAGGGGGCTGTGTGCACACTCACGGAGGTCTAGGGGGCTGTGTGCACGCTAATGGGGGTCTAGGGGGTTGTGTGCACACTCACGGGGTCTGTAGGGGGCTGTGTGCACACTCATGGGGGTCTAGGGGGCTGTGTGCACACTCACGGAGGTCTAGGGGGCTGTGTGCACACTCACGGGGGTCTAGGGGGCTGTGTGCACACTCACGGAGGTCTAGGGGGCTGTGTGCACACTCACGGGGGTCTAGGGGGCTGTGTGCACACTCACGGAGGTCTAGGGGGCTGTGTGCACACTCACGGAGGTCTAGGGGGCTGTGTGCACACTCACGTGGGTCTAGGGGGCTGTGTGCACACTCACGTGGGTCTAGGGGGCTGTGTGCACACTCACGGAGGTCTAGGGGGCTGTGTGCACGCTAATGGGGGTCTAGGGGGTTGTGTGCACACTCACGGGGTCTGTAGGGGGCTGTGTGCATACTCATGGGGGTCTCGGGGGCTGTGTGCACACTCACGTGGGTCTAGGGGGCTGTGTGCACACTCACGTGGGTCTAGGGGGCTGTGTGCACACTCACGTGGGTCTAGGGGGCTGTGTGCACACTCACGGAGGTCTAGGAGGCTGTGTGCACACTCACGGGGGTCTAGGGGGCTGTGTGCACACTCACGGAGGTCTAGGGGGCTGTGTGCACTCTCACGGAGGTCTAGGGGGCTGTGTGCACACTCACGTGGTTCTAGGGGGCTGTGTGCACACTCACGTGGGTCTAGGGGGCTGTGTGCACACTCACGGAGGTCTAGGGGGCTGTGTGCACGCTAATGGGGGTCTAGGGGGTTGTGTGCACACTCACGGGGTCTGTAGGGGGCTGTGTGCACACTCATGGGGGTCTCGGGGGCTGTGTGCACACTCACGTGGGTCTAGGGGGCTGTGTGCACACTCACGTGGGTCTCGGGGGCTGTGTGCACACTCACGTGGGTCTAGGGGGCTGTGTGCACACTCACGGAGGTCTAGGAGGCTGTGTGCACACTCACGGGGGTCTAGGGGGCTGTGTGCACACTCACGGAGGTCTAGGGGGCTGTGTGCACACTCACGGAGGTCTAGGGGGCTGTGTGCACACTCACGTGGGTCTAGGGGGCTGTGTGCACACTCACGTGGGTCTAGGGGGCTGTGTGCACACTCACGGAGGTCTAGGGGGCTGTGTGCACGCTAATGGGGGTCTAGGGGGTTGTGTGCACACTCACGGGGTCTGTAGGGGGCTGTGTGCACACTCATGGGGGTCTCGGGGGCTGTGTGCACACTCACGTGGGTCTAGGGGGCTGTGTGCACACTCACGTGGGTCTACGGGGCTGTGTGCACACTCACGGAGGTCTAGGAGGCTGTGTGCACACTCACGGGGGTCTAGGGGGCTGTGTGCACACTCACGTGGGTCTAGGGGGCTGTGTGCACACTGACGTGGGTCTAGGGGGCTGTGTGCACACTCACGTGGGTCTAGGGGGCTGTGTGCACACTCACGTGGGTCTAGGGGGCTGTGTGCACACTCACGTGGGTCTAGGGGGCTGTGTGCACACTCACGTGGGTCTAGGGGGCTGTGTGCACACTCACGTGGGTCTAGGGGGCTGTGTGCACGCTCACGTGGGTCTAGGGGGCTGTGTGCACGCTCACGTGGGTCTAGGGGGCTGTGTGCACACTCACGTGGGTCTAGGGGGCTGTGTGCACACTCACGTGGGTCTAGGGGGCAATCTTGGACCGTGACGCCATTGGCGCCCACGGTAGCCGACGCGGTCCCGAACGACGTCGCGTGATCTTGAACGTCGGCCGCCAGCGGTGGGTCGTTATTGTTGCGGGTGACGCCACAGCATTAACCCCCCTCCAGTTCCGATGACGTCTGGCAAGTCGCAGGGTGGGTGTGGGGTGGGTTTGTCCCGTTCACCGCCCAATCTGGGAACACGCGGGTGGCTCGGCATTTAATTTTATATAGACGAAGGCGTAGCAGCAGCGCCGTTGTTTTTATAAAGACGTCGGTACTCACCGCAGAGAACCGTAGCGGCATGACCGCCGGAAACTCTACGATTGCCGGCGCCAAAATCTGCGCCACACGCCGCTCCGCGCATGGCCCTGTGGGAGCCTCGACGTACCGATAAAGTTACTTCGGTGTTTCTTCTTTTTTTTCTTCTTCCGGTTCCGGAATCGGAACAAAAACCGATGTACGTACGTTGACGTACGTCATCAAAACGCCTAAGTACGCCAGCGCCACCAAGCGGCCAACAAGCGGTTAATGAGTGCCCGCCGTTGTTGACGCAAGCGGCACTCGAGCCAAGCCCGGACGGTGGGCCCACACTGGCCCGAGAGACTCGATTGGCCGATGAGAGAATGGAGGCGGCTCCGAACCAACTCCCAAACTCGTGGCTTTCTTAAGAGGAGGAGGAGGAGGAGGAGGCGGTGGAGGAGGAGAGGCCTGGCTGTGTGAACCCTTGCCCTGCCCGATGGCCGGGACTTGCTTCGTCGCCACCGACTGCGCGCTTGAGCGCGCGCGTGGAGGACGAGGCTCGTGAAGGCCGCTGCTGGGCACCCGCCAGGCGAGGTGCACGTTGGGGACTGCTGCTACTGTGGCAGTTGGGAGGCGGTCGCCCTTCAAATAACGACGGGATGGTGGAGGAGCGACGCTCATGATGACGAGCGGAGCACCGGGGCGGTTACAACGCAGCCAGTCGGCGCATTGGGGTGCGCGGCTGGTGGTGCATCTGCCATTCGTCTCAAGTCAGTCAACCCATGGCATCTGCTGGGTCTATCCGTGACCTCCTGCCAGCCGGCCTCAAGTGATGGCCTCAAAGTGCACCTAGCCTGGCATGAGCGTCGTGGTGACGTCGCCGCCACTTAGTGGCGAATGCCGGTTGTTGTTGTTGTTGCGTGGCCACCTCTGCGGTAGTGCAGTGGTTTGCGCTGCACAGCGCTACAAAGCTGGCTTCCTGAGTTCGATTCCCGCTCAAGGCCAACATTTGTGTAAAAAAAATATGAACTGGTTCTGGGCCTCCCCGAGGTCGACTCAGCCTTAAATGAGTACCTGGTGCGGTGCGTAGTAAACATCGCAACTGGGGGAGACAAAGGCGGCCGGGGGTAGTGCTGGCCACCCACCCCCTCGTGTGCCGTGGCAGCCTTCATAGGTGCTGCTACTCGCTAACAGCACTTACCCCAACCAGTCTGTTACAGGCTACACGGCGGGACCTTTGTCTTGATTTTTTTGTAAGCACCTTGAATATGAACCACATGAAATCAACAACGGGTTAACGGCAGTAACCTGGGATAAGCGTGGACGTGGATAAAGCTGCAGCGCGGGCATTGGCGACACAATGACGCCTGAACGTTCAAAGAGATATGGTTTAGGTGGCTTGGAGGTCACAGTGCTGGACCGGCATCTCTGGGACCGTGGGCTCGAATCCAGGCCGCAGCCGCGTGCGCATGATCAAGACGGTGGTTTCTAATGTTGAAGGCAACGCATTCTCCCGGCCTGCCATCAACCTGGAACCGATGCAGAACTTGAGACCCAAGCGCCACCAACGTCGGTGGCAGAGGCGTCGATCAATATCCATTCTATTCCATTCTATTTTATTTCGTATTTATATAAGTGCCCTTTCCAGGGTGCTTTAAGATGCAATCCGACGGCGTTCAGTGAGGAAGGTGATGGAATGGACGGACAGGGGCTTGGAATGGAGATGATGTTGAAGGGGTAGGTAAGGCAGAATAAGGTGGAATGTGATGGTGAGTGATGGTGCCTGATGGGTGGTGCAGCGTGGATGAGAAGTAGTGGGGTATGGGAGTTGTGAATTGCGCGTGGATGAGGATAGGTGGAGGGTGGTAGGGGCAGAGGTCTGGTGGCCGGAGAGTTGAGCCGATGGAGGAGTGCACCGTCGGGCTGGGGGAGAGATGTGGCCAGACGTCGGAGCCAGGTCAGGAATTAGGGGCTGGGAGCGGGTTCAAGGCGGGCGAAGCAAACGAGAATAGACGGGACCTGAGCGGCGAGCGAAAGGTGGAACGCGAGGGTGACAGTCTTGACGTGGAGTAGGAATTTGTTCCATGGTACAACGGGGCAAGAAGAGAGAAGGAACGGAAGCGAGACTGGGTACAAATAAAGCCATGCTCGGAAAGATGGGAAAGCTCAGCTTTCAGACGTCCACACGTCCACACGTCCATTCTCAAATCGTGCTCGGACGTTGTTTGCGCCGCCGACTGCCCGCCCGGCAAGTCTCCCGTTCGGCGAGGGGCGGTTTCCCGGACCGGTTCAAAATGGTGCAGGTAACACCGCCCCTGAAACAAAGTTTGCCTTGAGCCTAAAGTGACCCCGCAAACTGTCGCCCGACCTAAAACCCGAGTAGGATTTCAAAGGCCGCGGAGCGCCAGTGTCTCTGAAGCGGTCGCGACTTCCCCGCGTCACTGCGATTGGGCAAAATTCAACTCATTGCGGCCGGCATTCCGGAAGTTCCACAGCACTGTGATGGCTCGACCTGAGGATCACGGACGACCTCTACGAGGTCACGGACGACCTCTACGAGGTCACGGACGACCGGAGCGCCGCAGCAATTGGTTTGGCCTCGACCTCTCAAGCGGTCTTCGACAGCACCGATCGCGAGATGCGCATCGGGTGGCCAAGGTCAAAGTTCGCCGTATCGGGTACGGCTCTGGGGTGGATTGCATCGTACAGCCCCCCCCCATAGGGGCCGTCCATAAATGACGTCACGCACCTAGGGAGGGGCGGGGTCAGACATTTGTGACGAGGAGGAGGGGGGGTTTGAGAAATAAATGCTTTCTCCTACAACATCAGAGTGCAGCGCCACGTTAAATACGCAACTACAATGACAACAATAGTTTAAAGCGATTTGAAGCGTGTTTTATTTATGGAGGTGGGGGGGGGGGCAGAGCTTTGTGACGTCATTTGAGGGGGGTGTCTGACTTTTTGTGACGCTGGTGTAACGAGGGGGGGGGGGCAAAAATCGTCCAAAATCGCGTGACGTCATTTATGGCCGGCCCCATACCGGAAGGGCTGCGTCCACGGGCTCCATCGCCGTGGGATCAGTCCGGGGCGATGTTGAAGCGCCCTGCACTTGGAACACAAAACCCGCGTCCGGACAGAAAACCTCGCCCGCTTTGCCAAGCGACTCGACCACTCCCACGGAGGAGCGGATGCGCCCTGAAGACGCTGGAACTCTCTCCAGCCCTGCGAGGTTTACACAAACCCCGGCGGAGTCTTCGTCGTCGTCGTCGTCGCTGTAGTGATGCTGGTGGTGTTTTGGGTGCTTCACAGCTGCGGTTCTTTAACCGTGGTGGAATTTCAGAGCGCTTCGTACTCGCAACGTGTACGGTGCCCGCACGTTCGCACCGTACGTAGCCAACCGCGCTGATCGGAGGTGCGGGGGGAAGGACAACAAGCTAAACAACAACAACGAGAAGCGGTTCTAGATCAGTGAGATTGTCAACATAGAGGATGCATCACAGCTCCCAATGGCTTCCTAATTATCGGAAGGAAGAGCGTTCCAGACGGCCGCACGTCACCGTAGCGGCGTGGGAACGGGGAAAACCGAGGCTTTGCCAGTTTTAAATAAGCGGAAGGGTGATATTAACGATAAGGTAAGCACAGGTCTAACGGCCAGTTTGCCCTGAAATTTGCTCGATCTGGTCGTATTGTGGAAATCTAAGCAGGGTTGAACCTGGATAGCCCTTAAAAGGTGGTGGAGCTCCTGGGAACATCCAGGGGTTGTGGACTCGAGCATGCGAGGTGGCCAGGAGACACCATTACAAGGGATGGATTTGTGGGTACGTCGGTTAGGACCTTTCGCTCGATGCTCGCCGACTGGACCGGCGGAGATTCTCATCGCCGCGCGGTACAGTATATATTGTGCGGTGTAATGCACGTGGTGAAACTCGCCGTCCCGCTTGGTTTCCTCGTTTGTAATCTTCATGTTGCTGACACAGACGCAACGAAGCATCGTTCCCGTGTAGCCATCGAGAGGCATCGCGGTTCTGAATAAAATATCTCCCATGACCCCAAGGCGAGGTGCTTTGCTTTTGTCGCTTTTGTGATAACCGCGGCTAAGGGGCCGTCCATAAATGACGTCATGCACCTGGGGGGGGGGGGCGGGGTCAGACGTTTGTGACGATGTGTGACGAGGGGGGTGGGGGTGGGTTTGAGAAATGTGACGTCACATCAAAATGCGCAACTTTAAATATAGACAACACGTTCTACTTAATTAAATGTACTTTTTAATGTTTTCTCCTACAACATCAGAGTGCAGCGTCACATTAAATACGCAACTACAATGACAATAGTTTAAAGCGATTTGAAGCATGATTTATTTTCAAAATGGAAATATGGTTTGGGGGGGGCAGAGCTTTGTGACGTCATTTGAGGGGGGTCTGACTTTTTGTGACGAGAGGGGGGGGTCAAGTCCCAAATCGCGTGACGTCATTTATGGACGGCCCCTAAATCGGATTCCTCCGATCCTCGACGCAGATTCTCCTTCACGAGTCGCCCACCGAAACCCACAACCAACAGAACGCGGCCACACCGCCCCCATCTCTTGCAGGGCCTCCTTACGAGAGTCTTGGCTCGCATCTAGCTGCTTTGTTTGGGGGGGGGGGTAGGCGGAATTCATGGTTTAGGGCCCCGCAACGCGCAAGGTTGGCTCCCACATCTAGCTGCTCAATCGACTAGGGGGGGATGGGACTATTCATGGTGCAGGGCCGTCCACGAGAGTCTCGCACCAAGCTGTTCAGTTGGCGCGGGTTATAGTTCAGGGTTATGGCCTAGAATTTTGGTTCGCATCTAGCTGCCCAATCGGAAAGGGGGGGGTTATTCATAGTTCAGGGCCACGCACGCGAGTCTTGGTTCGCATCTAGCTGCTTGGTCAACACGGGGGTAGGGGGCGGGGTTATTCATGGCTCGGGGCCCCCGCATTCGAGTGACGTCACCGCTGTGATCGTCAGTGCAGCAATGAGCACGGGCGCCCCGTGACTGCAGGCGCAGGAGAAGTCACGCCAGGCGCCAGGTCCAGGCTCTCTCCACTGCTGCCGAGGCGTGGACGTGGGGAGGGTGGAGGAGGCGGTGACGACGACGATGGAGGAGGAGGGGGGGAGGAGCCCGCACAGAGGAGGTGCCGCTCGCAGCCCCCCCCTCTCACCCCCCCCCTCATCCCTCCCCTCTGACCCACAGAAAACCAGACCCACAGTGACACACAGCACACTACACACATCACACTACACACAGCACACTACACTACACACACCACACACAGCACACTACACACACCACACACACACATCACACACACTACACACACACACACCACACACACACTACACACACCACACACACACCACACACACACCACACACACGCACCACACACGCACCACACACGCACCACACACACCACACACACCACACACTACACACACCACACACACTACACACACCACACACACACCACACACTACACACACCACACACACACACCACACACACTACACACACCACACACACTACACACACCACACACACGCACCACACACACCACACACACATCACACACACTACACACACACCACACACACACCACACACACACCACACACAACACACACACCACACACACAGCACACACCTCACACACACACCACACTACACACACCACACGCACATAGCACACATACACACCTCACACACACCACACACACAGCACACACCACACACACCACACACACACACCACACACACACCATAAACCATACCCCACACACAGCACACACTACACACACACTACAGGGCATCCTTCCAATCCTGCGGAACTCGTCCAGTGGTCCAGGCTTATTTTGATGTCATATAGGGCAGTCTGTGCACAAACGCCACCCTCCCTCAGCACTTCGCTTGGGAGATCATCTCTGCCCGGTTATTTTTTTGATCTCAGACTCTGGATCGCCTTCAGTACTTCCTCAACAGATGGCACCTCAGCCAGCCACTCACAGGGGGTGACTTCTACTTCCAATATTTGAGGCACCGCAGCCTCAGCAGGGTCATCCCCACTTTGTCCCATAATGTTTTCCAGACTGAGGAATTTCCCTTCCCCCAAGACCTCACAGAAATGCTCATCAAATCTTCAAACCTGTTCCTGGGGGTCGGAGATTGGATCACTGTTCTTTCCCCTAATGATGGTGATAGGTGAGGCACTGCAAGTTACTTTTTTGATGGAGTTAGTGATTTGTGATTGCGAGCCACTGAGGCAGACTCCATCTCCTCAGCAACCCGCGACCACCACCCATCCTTGCAATGCCTCACGGCTCTCCGAACCTCCGAGCGAAGGCTGCGGTAAGCCTCCTCATTCCCTGACGTGGGATGCTGTAGACAGTGAGAGTGGGCCTGTCGCTTTTTCTCAGCCAGCACGAACACCTCTTCTGTCAGCCAGGGTCTCTGGGGAGGTTTGGACCATGTACCAAAAGCAACCATTGCAGCTGCATTAGCCAGTCGTTAACCTCGCCCATTTACATTCGACATCAGGAGTAGGGGACGATGCTCACCCCAGCTGCAAGCGATGATTAAATTCTCCCTTGCAATTTTCATCAGCTAGCTGAGACCAGGCCACTGTGGGTGTGAATGGGTCTTGGGTGTACACCGACCACCAGAGTGAAAGAATGGCAGGCACATCTTACAGATGACAAGTCGATGGTCAGTGGGCAGATCAGCTCCACGGTAGGTCCTGGTGTCAAGGATATGGGCCCGCATCCGCTGATCCATCACAATGTAGTCCAGATTGTCTTGCTTGGACGACCCAGCATGCATCCACGATGTTGTGTTTATGAGCCGATGCCGGAACAGCGTGTTGGTAATTATAAGCCCATGAGCTGCACAAAAATGTTGCAGCCACCTACCGTTATTGAGCTGATCTGGCCCATGCCTCCCAATCACTCCAGACCAGGTGCCAGCATCATAACCAACTGAGGGACTAAAGTCACCCAACAAGATGCCTCTATCCTGAGGGGCCACTTTAGCTAGCACCTGTGACAGGTCATAGAAGGCATCTAACTCATTGACCTTGCCTGCTTCCCTCCACTGATGTTCATCTTCGGTGGGGGCATAACCACAACCACCACTCCTTGCCTCTAGTTTATAGGAAGGCGAGCCCAAAGTAGCCTGGGGCTTACAGCTTCCCACACCTCACCGCTACGCTCCCATGCCCCCTTAATTATTTTATTCGGAAGAAGAGCCACTCTCTATTGTTTGGCCATCTCCTGTCCCTAGTAGAGGACTGTCCACCCCTCATGGTGGCAGGAGCCAGAGCCGGTCCACCGCACCTCCTGAATACCGCAGAGATACAGGCGGTACCGGTCCAGCTCCCGACAGAGGAGTGGCAGCCTCTCCTCCGCAATGAGCATTCCAACATTCCACGTGGCCACCCACAGTGGCTTTTTGCTGTTTCTGGAGAAACCCCGAGGGTAGATATTCAATCTCCTGGCTCCGCCAAATGGGGCTTGGCCAGGAGACTTCATGGACGCCTGTCCCCCCGGGGCCTCCGGCACAAGCTTTGGTGGATTTGTTTTCATGGTTTAGTGGTAATTAATTGAAGGTGCAGAGGTTACCAGCCCCTCGCACCCGTCCAGAGCCCCTTTTGGCCGCTGTGGTGGCTACAATCGCCATGAGGGGAATGGCCAATCGGAATTGGCCCTCCCCCCATGGCACTGCTCACCACAACCAGACACACAGAGACCCACAGACACAGAGACCCACAGACACCCAGAGACCCAAAGACACCCAGAGACCCAAAGACACCCAGACCCACTGACACCCGTAGAGACCCACAGAGACACTCATAGAGACCCACAGACACCCAGACCCATTGACACCCACAGAGACCCACAGAGACACCCATAGAGACACTCATAGAGACCCACAGACACCCAGACCCATTGACACCCACAGAGACCCACAGAGACACCCATAGACACTCATAGAGACCCACAGACCCACAGACACCCAGACCCATTGACACCCACAGAGACCCACAGAGACACCCATAGAGACACTCATAGAAACCCAGAGACCCACAGACACCCAGACCCATTGACACCCACAGAGACACCCATAGAGACCCACAGAGACCAACAGATTAGCATGATTGGCTATGTGCGGTGTGAAATAAGTTCAACATACAAACACATACCTAGAGACTCAGACACTCAGACCCATTGAGACCAACAGAGACCAATAAAACCCCATAGAGATACCTACATAGACCCACAGACACCCAGACCCATGGATACACCCATAGAGTCCCACAGAGACACACAGATCAGCATGGTTGGCTACGTTCGGTACGAAAGAAGTTCAACATTCACAGAGTGCCTGAGACTTAAACGCGCTGTTACACGGTGGGTACGTGAGCATGGTGCTGGCTGGTGAGTTGTGTGCCTTATTCTCCCTCTGTCTCTCTCTCTGTCTCTCAGTCTCTCTGTCTCTCACTCTCTCTGTCTCACTCCATCTGTCTCACTCCCTCTGTCTCACTCTCTCTGTCTCACTCTGTCTCACTCTCTCTGTCTCTCACTCTCTCTGTCTCTCTCTGTCTCTCACTCTCTCTGTCTCTCACTCCCTCTGTCTCTCTCTGTCTCTCACTCTGTCTCTCACTCTCTCTGTCTCACTGTCTTTCTCTGTCTCTCACTTTGTCTCACTCTCTCTGTCTCTCTCTGTCTCTCACTCTCTCTGTCTCACTCCTTCTGTCTCACTCCCTCTGTCTCACTCCTTCTGTCTCACTCTCTCTGTCTCTCACTCTCTGTCTCTCACTCCCTCTGTCTCACTCCCTCTGTCTCACTCTCTCTGTCTCTCACTCTCTCTGTCTCTCACTCTGTCTCTCACTCTGTCTCACTGTCTCTCTCTGTCTCTCACTCTGTCTCACTCTCTCTGTCTCTCTCTGTCTCTCACTCTCTCTGTCTCACTCCCTCTGTCTCACTCCCTCTGTCTCACTCTCTTTGTCTCTCACTCTCTCTGTCTCTCACTCCCTCTGTCTCTCTCTGTCTCTCACTCTCTCTGTCTCACTGTCTTTCTCTGTCTCTCACTCTGTCTCACTCTCTCTGTCTCTCTCTGTCTCTCACTCTCTCTGTCTCACTCCCTCTGTCTCACTCCCTCTGTCTCACTCCTTCTGTCTCACTCTCTCTGTCTCTCACTCTCTGTCTCTCACTCCCTCTGTCTCACTCCCTCTGTCTCACTCTCTCTGTCTCTCACTCTCTCTGTCTCTCACTCTGTCTCTCACTCTCTGTCTCACTGTCTCTCTCTGTCTCTCACTCTGTCTCACTCTCTCTGTCTCTCGCTGTCTCTCACTCTCTCTGTCTCACTTCCTTTGTCTCACTCCCTCTATCTCACTCCCTCTGTCTAACTCCCTCTGTCTCACTCTCTCTGTCTCACTCCCTCTGTCTCACTCTCTGTCTCACTCCCTCTGTCTCACTCTCTGTCTCTCACTCTCTCTGTCTCACTCCCACGGTCTCACTCCCTCTGTCTCACTCCCTTTGTCTCACTCCCTCTGTCTCACTCTCTCTGTCTCTCTCTCTGTCTCTCACTCTCTCTGTCTGTCTCTGTGGTTCCATCAGACGTGGGTGCGGGTGGGTAGGGTGCTGGCTCGCGAGTTATGTAGGCCATGCTCTCTCTGTCTCTATCTCTCTCTGTCTCTATCTCTCTCTGTCTCTCTCTGTATCTCACTCTCTCTGTCTCTGTGGTTCCATCAGACGTGGGTGAGGCTGACCGTGGTGCATCAGGACTGAGGGGTGCCGCTTCCCGGAGCCCGGCCCAGGTGGAGGTTGCCTTGGAGGAGGACGACGACAGCGGAGATGACGACGACGACGATGACGACGACCATGATCAGAGCGGTGAGAGGCGGTCCCCGACTTTGCGACTCGTTCACGACGCTCGGCTCATCGGCCAGGAGGAATCTCCCGCGACAAGAACGCCGCGTTCGTGAGCTCACGGCGAGTCCTCACGTCACGCGCGAGGAGCAGTAGGAGATGATGCTTGCACTCACGTTGAACTTCTTTCGCACCGTACGTAGCGAACCGTGCTAATCCGTGGGTCTCTATGGGTGTCTCTATGGGTCTGGGTGTCTGTGGATCTCGGTGTGTGTGTGTGTGTGTACACTGAACTTCTTTCGCACCGTACGTAGCTAACCGTGCTAATCCGTGGGTCTCTATGGATGTCTCTATGGGTCTGGGTGTCTGTGGGTCTCTGTGTGTGTGTGTGTACACTGAACTTCTTTCGCACCGTACGTAGCTAACCGTGCTAATCCGTGGGTCTCTATGGATGTCTCTATGGGTCTGGGTGTCTGTGGGTCTCTGTGTATGTGTGTACGCTGAACTTCTTTCGCACCGTACGTAGCTAACCGTGCTAATCCGTGGGTCTCTATGGGTGTCTCTATGGGTCTGGGTGTCTGTGGGTCTCTGTGTGTGTGTGTACGCTGAACTTCTTTCGCACCGTACGTAGCTAACCGTGCTAATCCGTGGGTCTCTATGGGTGTCTCTATGGGTCTGGGTGTCTGTTGGTCTCTGTGTGTGTGTGTGTGTGTACGCTGAACTTCTTTTGCACTGTACGTAGCGAACCGTGCTAATCGGAGGTATGGGCGGGGGAAGGATGACAAACTGAACACAGCAACAACAACAAGAAGCAGTTCTAAACAAATGAGTTTGTCAATCCAGACGATTTAAAGTTGGCGAAGCTCTCAGTGGCTTCCTGATGTCAGAAGGAAGAGACCTACAGAGACCAACAGATCATCTTAGAGACTCATAGAGACCCACACTCGTGTGTGTGTGTGTGTGTACGTTGAACGTCTTTTGCACCGCTGTACGGAGCCAAAACGCTAATCGGAGGTGCGGGGGAAGGACAAGAAACAAAACACAACGACAAGAAGCAGTTCTCAAGAATTTAGTTTGTCAATCTAGATCATGATTTAAAAGTGGCAAAGCTCTCTGTGGCTCCGGGAATAATCATCATCGGTATAATCGGATCATTATAATCGGATCGTTATAATCGGGATCGTTTTAATCAGATCGTTATAATCGACATCGCTATAATCGGATCGTTATAATCGACGTCGCTATAATTGGATTGTTATATTCGACATCGCTATAATCGGATCGTTATAATCGACATCGCTATAATCGGATCGTTATAATCGACATCGCTATAATCGGATCGTTATATAATCGACAACCATCATCATCAGAAGCATCATCGGCAAGGCCGCGCACTCTCTTCGCTGATGCGGCTGGACGTGGAGTCGTGGGAGTCGTTGACGGAGCGACTTCGCTCGGAGCTCCTCAACTTCCACAACCTCCCAGAGTCCGCCTGGAGCCCAGCGGCACTCCACAGAGAGGAGGCCGCGATGGCGTGGAGGAGGCCGTGATGACGTGGAGGAGGCCGTGATGGCGTGGAGGAGGCCGTAATGGCGTGGAGGAGGCCGCGATGACGTGGAGGAGGCCGTGATGGCGTGGAGGAGGCCGTGATGGCGGGGAGGAGGCCACGATGGCGTGGAGGAGGCCGTGATGGCGGGGAGGAGGCCGTGATGGCGTGGAGGAGGCCGTGATGGCGTGGAGGAGGCCGCGATGGTGGGGAGGAGGCCACGATGGCGTGGAGGAGGCCGTGATGGCGTGGAGGAGGCCACGATGGCGTGGAGGAGGCCGTGATGGCGTGGAGGAGGCCACGATGGCGTGGAGGAGGCCGTGATGGCGGGGAGGAGGCCGTGATGGCGTGGAGGAGGCCGTGATGGTGGGGAGGAGGCCGCGATGGCGGGGAGGAGGCCGCGATGACGTGGAGGAGGCCGTGATGGCGTGGAGGAGGCCGTGATGGCGTGGAGGAGGCCGTGATGGCGTGGAGGAGGCCGTGATGGCGTGGAGGAGGCCGTGATGGTGGGGAGGAGGCCGCGATGGCGGGGAGGAGGCCGCGATGACGTGGAGGAGGCCGTGATGGCGTGGAGGAGGCCGTGATGGCGTGGAGGAGGCCGTGATGGCGTGGAGGAGGCCGTGATGGCGTGGAGGAGGCCGTGATGGCGTGGAGGAGGCCGTGATGGCGTGGAGGAGGCCGTGATGGCGTGGAGGAGGCCGCGATGACGTGGAGGAGGCCGTGATGGCGTGGAGGAGGCCGCGATGGCGTGGAGGAGGCCGTGATGGCGTGGAGGAGGCCGTGATACACTCACTCATCTTACACTGACTCACTCACACATCATACACTCACACAACCACTGACTCACTCACACATCATACACTCACTACCATTGACTCACTCACACATCATACACTCACTACCATTGATTCACTCACACATCATACACTCACTACCATTGACTCACTCACACATCATACACTCACTACCATTGATTCACTCACACATCATACACGGGGAGTGTCATGCTGACAGGAATGGCTGCAAGTTTGTTCGTACATGTTATGTATATAGTTTATTGTTAAATTTGAATCAAAGTTCCTGTGATTACTGTTGTTACATTGTATTTTATAGCTTTATTTTGGTGATTTCTAAAACATATGGTTAAGCCATGTTTCTTGCGGAAGTGCGGAGTTGGCCTGATAACTTGAATCTAAATTGTCTTATGGTTGTTATTGTTTGTCTTGCATCACACTGGGATTTTTGCACACAGCTTTGTATTACGTTGTTTTTTTTTTCTAGAAGAGTTGCTGGTTTATCCCAGGATGGTTCTGTTGCGCATCGTCGCTTTAAGATGTTTCTCTGTTCATATTTTGTTTGTTGCGGTTGCACCCGACTCAAGAGCCACATGGCTCACAGGGCTGTACCTAATAAATGAAACTTGACATCGCTATAATCGGATCGTTATAATCGACATCGCTATAATCGGATTGTTATAATCGACATCGTTCTGACCGACATCGCAGATGCCGGGAGGCCGCCGGGCCCGGCGCTCCGACCCACACGGCGACGGGGATGGCCACGCCGGGGGGCCGCATCCAGCCAGGCGTCCAGCCAGGCGTCCAGCCAGGCGTCCAGCCAGGCGTCCGGTCCGGCGTCCAGCCAGGCGTCTGGTGGGTGCCGCCGCTCGTCCCTGCGGGCTCGCCCCTACGCGGCGAGGAGACGCCACGACGACTCCTCCTGCTCCTCCTGCTCCTCCTGCTCCTCCTCCTCCTCGTCGTCGTCTTCGTCGTGGTCCGCCAGCAGCAACGAGGACTTTGTGTGCGAGGAGTGTGGGATGTGCTTCGGGGATCCCCTCTTCCTCGACCGGCACCGGCGGCTCCACGGGCGATCGGGGAGCGGCACGGAGCCGCCGCCGCCGGGGCCGGGCGGCGGCGACGGCGGCGGCGGCGGCGGCGGCCGTCCCCCGGGAGACGGAGCCGCCCCCATCGGAGTCTCCCAAGCGGAGCAGAATTCCAGGGGGACCGCCGGGAACGAGCCGGAGCCACCGCCGCCGCCGCCGCCGCCGCATCGTCGTCATCGTCGTCGTCGGCGTGATCCTCGACGTCGGCACGACCGCCGCCGTCTTCGTCAGCAGCGGCGGCAGCGGCAGCGGCAGCGGCAGCAGCAGCAGCCGAGGGCGGCAGTGGAGTGGCTGTGGCAGTGCAACGAGTGCAAGCGCGGATTCCCCACCATCGCCGTGCTCAAGCGCCACCTGCGGGCGCACGAAGGCACCGGCGGCGGGCGGGGCGAGGCGCAGCAGGCGCACTTCACCATGATCGCCTACGCCGGACACGGGCAGCTGTGGGCGCCGGGGGTCGGCACGGACGCCGGGGCGGCGACGCGGGGACGGGGGCCGGGCGGTGGCGGCGGTGGAGCGAGAGACGGAGGGCCGGAGGCGCCACCGGCCCTGGTGAAGCTGGAGGGCGTGGAAGGGGAGGACCGAGGTACACTCGGGGAACCCTGGGGGTGTACTGGGGGTGTACTGGGGGTGTACTGGGGGTTTGCTGGGGGTGTACTGGGGGTGTGCTGGGGGTGTGCTGGGGGTGTGCTGGGGGTGTGCTGGGGGTACGCTGGGGGTACGCTGGGGGTGTACTGGGGGTGTTCTGGGGGTGTAGTGGGGGTGTACTGGGGGTGTACTGGAGGTGTACTGGGGGTGTACTGGGGGTACGCTGGGAGTAACACCGGGGATATATGAATCTGTTTACCCGGGCGGTGATGAGGCATGGCGGTAACACAACCGCCACCCAGCGGACTGCCCTCCGGTCTAACGGCTACCCCCCCTACTCCCCTACCCCCCCTACCCCCCCTACCCCCCCTACTCCCCTACCCCCCCTACCCCCCTACCTCTCGCGTGCCCCCCCCCCAGTTCAGCAGGAGACCCCCCGCACCCCCGGGGCCCCGGAGCACCCCTCGGAGACAGGGCCCCCCCCACGGGGAGTGGGGGAGGGGCCGGTGGTGGGGGGTGGCTGGGACCCACAGCCGGCGCCGGGAGTCAGCAGGAGCGGTGAGATCCACTCCTCTACTCTTCGGTTATTTCGGTAAAGTCATCACGGAGGTAGAAATCAAATAAAATAAATCACGACGTTTCGATCGCAACACAAGCAATCCTCATCAGGTGGAAACACCACAGCAAGAAAATATACTGAAGTGGGCGAGAGAGCTGTCGTGGCAAGAGGTTATTCATATAGCTCGTACATACAACAACAACCGCCATTCACCACTAAGTGTCGGTGACGTCACCACGACGCTTGTGCCAGGCTATGTGCACCCTGAGGCCACGTGAAGTGTCGAACGCCCGCTGGCAGGAGGTCACGGGGCAGACCCAGCAGGTGCCACGGGTCGACTGACTGAGATGACTGGCTGATGCACCACCTGTGCCCCCTACTGTGCCAACCTGCTGTGCTTTAGCCACCCGGCGCTCCGCTCGTTGTTGTGAGCGTTGCTCCTCCGCCCTCCGTTGTTGTTGGAGGGCGACTGCCTCCAACTGCCCAGTAGCGTCCTTCACGAGCCTCCTCCACAGAGGCCGATCTTGACACCGCTGGTACCGTTCATCGGTAAGTCCACTCAGCTCCACGTCCTCCCGTACCACATCACTCCATCTCTTCTCTAGCCCGTGCCGCGCCCGTTTAGCCCCCTCAATCCGGCCGAACAAAAGCTGTTTCGGCATGCGGTGGCTGGGCATGCGGGCTACATGACCCAGCCATCGCAGCCTTGCCCGCCGGAGGAGCTCACCGATGGGACCTTGCCCAGATCTTTCAATGATTTGTGAGCTCCTCACACAATCCAGTCTGGTTAAACCCAGGATGGATCGTAGGCAGGCCAGCCTAAATGTTTCTAACCGGCGAAGATGTTCCATTAGGGGGGTCCACGTTTCGCAAGCGTAGAGAAGGGAGGGAATGACCGTGGCCGAGAAGACCTGAAGCTTAGTGCGGAGTGACAGACCAGGTAGCTTCCACACAGCGTTACGCAACCGATGAAAAGATATTGCCGCTCGATTGATTCGGAGTGAGACCTCTGCTGTTAAACTGGAGCCGGTCATAAGCACACTGCCCAGTTATGGGAAACTCTCCACTCGCTCCAAAACTGCCCCATCACCGATTGGGAGTTGTGGGGGTGGAGTGTCCAATGGTACAAAATACCCAGGCAGGTGCTTAGTTTTGGTGGGGCTGATGGTAAGGCCCCACCTCTTAGTGGCACGCTCCAGTCTCAGCAGCAGCGTCTCCAACTCCTCCTCTGAATGAGCAGCTATTACCAAATCATCGGCATACATAACGTGGTTGAGCAATAGGGAGCCATCCCTTGACCGCACCCGGGCATCGATCAGCTTCCCATTATATCTGTACCATATGGAGATTCCCCCGGTACAGCTATTGAAGGCTTCACAAACTACGTGGTCAAAATAGATGTTAAATAATGTGGGAGCCAGAGGACATCCCTGTCGCACCCCAAGGTGTACAGGGAATGGCTCTGACTCCCGGCTACATAGTTTTACCCGGGCCCGCTCACCATCATGAAGGTCCTTAATGATCGTGAGCAGAGGGTCAGGGACTCCAAAAGCACGAAGAACAACCCAGAGCCTAGGCCTACTGATGGTATCATAGGCCTTGACCAGGTCAATAAAGCAGAGATGTAGGTCTTGTTGGAATTCCCTACCCCTCTGCTGTAGCAGACGGACAGAAAATACGGCATCTGTGCAGGACCGCCCTTTCCTGAAACCGCATTGGGGCTCCGCAAGCCTCTCCTCAGCGTGCCTGGCAAGGCAATGCTGAATAATCCTTGCCAGGACCTTTCCCGGCACACTGAGGAGTGAGATGCCCCTGTAGTTACAGTCTGTGCGGTCCCCCTTCTTAAAAAAAGGGGGACCACCAGGGCATCCTTCCAATCCTGCGGAACCCGTCCAGTGGTCCAGACTGTTGTTATGATGTCATATAGGGCAATCTGTGCACAAACGCCACCCTCCCTCAGCATTTCGCTTGGGAGATCATCTGTGCCCGCTGCCTTTCCTGGTCTCAGACTCCGGATCGCCTTCAGTACTTCCTCAACAGATGGCACCTCAGCCAGCCACTCACAGGGGGTGACTTCTTTGAGGCATCGCAGCCTCAGCAGGGTCATCCCCACTTTGTGCCACGATGTTTTCCTGGCTGAGGGATTTTCCCTCCCCCAAGACCTCAGAAATGCTCAGCAAGTCTGCGAACCTGTTCCTGGGGGTCAGAGATTGGATCACCGTTTTTTCCCCTAATGATGGTAATAGGTGTGGCGCTGCAGGTTACTTTTTTGATGGAGTTAAATAGAGATTTGTGGTCGCGGGCCACTGAGACAGACTCCATCTCCTCAGCAACCCGCGACCACCACCCATCCTTGCAGCGCCTCACGGCTCTCCGAACCTCCGAGCGAAGGCTGTGGTAAGCCTCCTCATTCTCTGACGTGAAATTCTGTAGCTGATGACAGTGGGCCTGTCGCTTTTTCTCAACCATCCTGAACACCTCCTCTGTCAGCCAGGGTCTCTGGGGAGGTCTGGACCACATACCCAAAGCAGCCATTGCAGCTGCATGAGTCACAGTCCTAAACCTCGCCCATTTACCCTCGACATCAGGAGGAGTGGGGGACGTTACCAACCCCAGCCGCAAGCGATTATGAAATTCTCGCTTGCAACTTTCGTCAGATAACTGAGACCAGGCCACTTTAGGTTGGAATGGGGTCCTGGGTGTACACTCACCACCGGAGTGGAAGAATGGCAGGCGCATCTTACAGATGACTAGTCGATGGTCAGAGGGCAGGTCAGCTCCACGGTAGGTCCTGGTGTCAAGGACAGGGGCTCGCATCCGCCGGTCCGTCACTATGTAGTCCAGCAGATGTTCTTGCTTGGACCCGGCATGCATCCATGATGTTGTGTGGATGCGCCGATGCCGGAACAGCGTGTTGGTAATTACAAGCCCATGGGCTGCACAAAAATCTCGCAGCCTCCTACCGTTGTAATTGAGCTGATCTGGCCCATGCCCTCCAATCACTCCAGACCAGGTGCCAGCATCATAACCAACTCGGGCATTGAAGTCACCTAACAAGATGACTCTATCCCGAGGGGCCACTTTAGCCAGCACCTGTGACAGGAGGTCATAGAAGGCATCTGACTCATCGGCTTTGCCTGCATCCCTCCACGGATGTTCGTCTTCGGTGGGGGCATAAGTAACCACGACCACCACTCCTCGCCTTCGGTTGATGGTAAGGCGAGCCCAAAGTAGCCTGGGGCTTACAGCTTCCCACACCTCACCGCCACGCTCCCATGCCCCCTTCATTCTTTTGTTCAAAAGAAGAGTCACACCCTGTTGTTTGGCAGTCTGCTGCCCCGAGTAGAGGACTGTCCACCCCTCATGGTGGCAGGAGCCAGAACCGGTCCACCGGACCCCCTGAATGCCACAGAGATCCAGGCGTTACCGGTCCAGCTCCCGACAGAGGAGTGGCAGCCTCTCCTCCGCAGTGAGTGTTCGAACATTCCACGTGGCCAACCGTAGTGGCTTTTCGTTGTTTCTGGAAGAGCCCCGAGGGTAGAGATTCAATCTCCTGGCTCCACCAATTGGGGTTTGGCCAGGAGACATCATAGATGCCTGTCCCCCCGGGGCCTCCGGCACAAGCTTATTAGTTACATATTTCCGTCGTGGTTTAGTGGTAAATTTTTGAAGGTGGCGGGGTTACCAGCCCCTCGCACCCATCCAGAGCCCCTGTTTAGCCCTCCCCCCACAGCACTGTCCACGACAGAGTTGCCCGTCCGGCACCGCGAGGAGGTAGGGGGTTGTTTTGCCGACACACACACGCACACACGCACACACGCACACACACACAACAACAACAACCGCCATTCGCCACTAAGTGGCGGTGACGTCACCACGACGCTTGTGCCAGGCTATGTGCACCCTGAGGCCACGTGAAGTGTCGAACGCCCGCTGGCAGGAGGTCACGGGGCAGACCCAGGTGCCACGGGTCGACTGACTGAGATGACTGGCTGATGCACCACCTGTGCCCCCTACTGTGCCAACCTGCTGTGCTTTAGCCACCCGGCGCTCCGCTCGTTGTTCTGAGCGTCGCTCCTCCGTCCTCCGTTGTTGTTGGAGGGCGACTGCCTCCAACTGCCCAGTAGCATCCTTCACGAGCCTCCTCCACAGAGGCCGATCTTGACACCGCTGGTACCAGTCATCGGCAAGTCCACTCAGCTCCACGTCCTCCTGTACCACATCACTCCATCTCTTCTCTAGCCCGTGCCGCGCCCGCTTAGCCCCCTCAATCCGGCCAAACAAAAGCTGTTTCGGCATGCGGTGGCTGGGCATGCGGGCTACATGACCCAGCCATCGCAGCCTTGCCTGCCGGAGGAGCTCACCGATGGGACCCTGCCCAGATCTTTCAAGGATTTGTGAGCTCCTCACACAATCCAGTCTGGTTAAACCCAGGATGGATCGTAGGCAGGCCAGCCTAAATGTTTCTAACTGGCGAAGATGTTCCATTAGGGGGGTCCACGTTTCGCAAGCGTAGAGAAGGGAGGGAATGACCGTGGCCGAGAAGACCTGAAGCTTAGTGCGGAGCGACAGACCAGGTAGCTTCCACACAGCGTTACGCAACCGATGAAAAGATATTGCCGCTCGACTGATTCGGAGTGAGACCTCTGCTGTTAAACTGGAGCCAGTCATAAGCACACTGCCCAGGTATGGGAAACTCTCCACTCTCTCCACAACTGCCCCATCACCGATTGGGAGTTGTGGGGGTGGAGTGTCCGATGGTACAAAATCCCCAGGCAGGTGCTTAGTTTTGGTGGGGCTGATGGTAAGGCCCCACCTCTTAGTGGCACGCTCCAGTCTCAGCAGCAGCGTCTCCAACTCCTCCTCTGACTGAGCAGCTATTACCAAATCATCAGCGTACATTACGTGGTTGAGCAATAGGGAGCCATCCCTTGACCGCACCCGGGTACAGCTATTGAAGGCTTCACGAACTACGTGGTCAAAATAGATGTTAAATAATGTGGGAGCCAGAGGACATCCCTGTCGCACCCCAAGGTGTACAGGGAATGGCTCTGACTCCCGGCCACGTAGTTTTACCCGGGCCCGCTCACCATCATGAAGGTCCTTAATGATCGTGAGCAGAGGGTCAGGTACTCCAAAAGCACGAAGAACGACCCAGAGCCCAGGCCTACTGATGGTATCATAGGCCTTGACCAGGACACACACACACGCACACACACACACGCATGTACATACACACGCACACATGCACACACACACACGCTCGTACATACACACGCACACACACACACTCGTACATACACACGCACACACACACACGCCCGTACACATGCATGCACACACGCTCGCACACACACATGCTCGCACACACACACGCTCGTACATACGCTCGTACACACGCTCGTACACACGCATGCACACACACACACCCTCGTACACATGCACGCTCGCACACACACGCACGCTCGTACACACGCATGCACACACACACACCCTCGTACACACGCACGCTCACACACACACGCACGCTCGTACACACGCTCGCACACACACGCTCGCACGCACACGCACGCTCGCACACACACGTACACACACGCTCGCACGCACACGCACGCTCGCACACACACATACACACACGAACGAGTGAACCTAATTCCCCAAACCAAACCGGCCGATCTCCGGTCCCGCCGGCAGGCAGGCGACCGCCGATGGCGCTGACGCTGCCCCAGCGCCTGCAGATCATCGAGCTGCTCGACCGCAAGTGGTCGCAGGACTCCATCGCGCGTCTCTTCGGCACGTCGCAGTCGCGCGTCTCGCGCATCAACTGCGGCCGCCGCCTCATCCTCGACGCCGCCCGGGAGGAGGGGGGGAACACCGGGGGGAGAGACTCCACCGTCACCGTCACCGCCACCGCCGCCACCGCCGCCGCCGCCGTCCCGGGAGATCGGCCGACGGCGGCGAGGGATGGCGCCGGCGGCCGCCGCGGCTCGGCGTTCCCCACGCCGACCGAGCCGGGCCGGCGGCGGCACCGCGATGCCCGCGGCGGACGCTTCGCGCCGGTGGCGCACCTCAAGGCCCACCGGCACGCCCAGCACGGCGCTCGCCGGCGAGGGGGCCGGGGAGGCCACGGTGGCCGGGCGGCCGAGGGCCCGGCGGCTGCGGCGGCGGCGGTGATGGGCAAGGGGGATGCGGCTGGGGAGCGGCGGCAGCAGCAGGAGGGGAAGGAGGAGGGGGGGCGAGGAGGAGGAGGAGGAGGGGGGGGGAGGAGGAGGAGGAGGGGGGTGAGGAGGAGGAGGAGATGATGTCTACAGACAGCTCCTCCCCGAGAGGTTGGAATCCGAGCGGCGTGCTCACAGAGAGGGGACCCGGCAAAGTGAAGGAGGAGGTGGAAGAGGAGGTTCGCTCCATGCGGACGACGGTGGCGGTGAAGGTGGAGTGCCAGGATGACGGTTACGGTGAGTCTCCATCTCAAGCCACGGTGGCTACGAGATGTTGACTACCTCGCCTGGTGTGCAGGAGGACGAGAGGGACAGATGGACGGAGCAACGTGTGGTGGAGGTGGTGGTGGTGTTGGTGTAGGTGATGGTGCTACTGCTACTGGTAGTGCTGCTACTACTGCTGGTGCTGCTGCTACTGCTGCTGCTACTTCTGCTACTGCTGGTGGTGGTGCTGCTGCTACTGCTGGTGGAGCTACTGCTACTTCTCGTGCTGCTGCTACTGCTGGTGCTGCTGCTACTGCTGGTGGTGCTGCTGCTGGTGGTGCTACTGCTGGTGGTGCTGCTGCTGCTACTGCTGGTAGTGCTGCTACTGCTGGTAGTGCTGCTGCTACTGCTGGTGCTGCTGCTACTGCTGGTGCTGCTGCTACTGCTGGTGGTGCTGCTGCTGGTGGTGCTACTGCTGGTGGTGCTGCTGCTGGTGGTGCTGCTGCTGGTGGTGCTACTGCTGGTGGTGCTGCTGCTACTAATGCTGCTACTGCTGCCGCTATAGACGTGGGAGAGGCAGAGGCGATGGCGATGGTGGCGCTGGGTGGCGGCGGTGGCCTCCCGGTGAAGGAGGAGGAGGTGGTGGTGATGGAGGAGCAGAGGCCTGCGGAGGTGGTGGTGGAGGTGGAGGACACGAGGAAAGGTGAGTCCAGCTCCAAGGGAGCCTTGCCCCCCCCCCCCCACGTCCATAGCACCAGCAGTAGCAGCAGCAGTAGAAGTAGCAGCAGTTGACGTAGTAGAAGTAGCAGTAGCAGCAGTAGAAGTAGTAGTAGCAGTAGTAGTAGCAGCAGCAGCAGTAGTAGCAGTAGTAGTAGCAGTAGTAGCAGCAACAGCAGTAGCAGTAGCAGCAGTAGAAGTATTAGCAGCAGTAGTAGTAGCAGCAGCAGCAGTAGTAGCAGCAGCAGCAGTAGTAGCAGTAGTAGCAGCAGTAGTAGTAGTAGCAGCAGCAGCAGTAGTATTAGCAGCAGTAGAAGTAGCGACACCGGCACAGCCAAACGGCCGCCACATCCACTGCAGAGGCTGTGCCAGGCTCCGTTTACGAGAACACGTTAAGTCGGAGGCTTGGTACGAATGTTGACTATTAGACTTGCCGGAGGCACCGAATGTAGTACGGCCGGAACATCAAACGTCGCGCGAAGCTCGCCAGCTCGGCGTGCCGCCCCCGGACACCCCCCGACGACCCCCCCCCCCCCCCACCCCACCTCCCGCAGGCGCCGACGAGGCCCGCGGGAGGAGCGCCTCCTCGCCCCCCGGGGCCCGCCGCCGGTGCGACGACGCCGAGCGGTCGGGGGCCGGGGCGAGCGTCGTGGGCCGTCCGCGCCGGGCGTCGCGGGGGGGGCCGCGGTGCCGGCCCCTCGGGAACCTCGGGCCTCCGGCACCACGCGTCGTGACGGGGCGCCGCCAAGAACCGACGCCGCGCGTGCCCTTCCGGCGCTCGCCCGGGTCCACGTCGGCTTCCGGTTGCCGAAGGAATGCACGGCGGGCGTCGCGCGGTGCCACCCCCGACGCGCAAAGCGCTCGCCCACGAAAGGACCTCGACGCCTCGCCGCTGGTCTCATCGACGAGGAGCGCCGGGAAGCCTCGTCGCGCGAACCCCGCTCATCGTCCTCGCGGCAGCAGCACCGGCGGCTTGTGGCTAAGCCTTCGAACAAAGACGGCGGTCGACGGCATCGTCGCGCGGCGCTTTCAGATTGCGCTGCTTTTGCGGCCGTCCGGAACGCTCTTCCTTCCGATATGAGGAAGCCGCTGGGAGCTATGCACTTTAAAATCTTCACCTGGATTGACAAACTCATCTCTTCAGCATTTGTTGTTGTGTTTAGTTTGTTGTCCCCCCCCCATACCTCTGATTAGCACGGTTGGCTACGTAACGGCGCAAAATAAGTTCAGCGTACAGACATTGAGACCCATAGAGACCCACAGAGACCCACAGATTAGCAGGGTTGGCTACGTACGGTGGTGCGAAAGAAGTTCAATGGACATCTTGAAATTCGCAGCCACGGCCACAGCAGCAAGGAGAGATCGTTGGCCGAGTCGTCTTTCGCGACCGATGTTATTATTGTTGTTGTTGTTTTTGATGTTCTTCAGCGTAGTTGAACATTGGTGCTGTGGCGTTTCTGGACCGGCCGTAGCTCCCCTGAGATGTACCGCAGGGGCCGATGCAGACGGCAAGGATTGGACAAGTGGAGAATCCGGCGTGGACGTGACGGAAGGTCGCGGGGGGTCTCTTCCCTCTGAGCCTTTCTGGAGGTAAAGTTGTACATAAATATTTAAATATTCTTCTTTTTTTACTTTACTCTAAACCGAAAATGTATATAGTACGGTGTGCGGATAATGTCGCGGCAAAGGGAACGAGCATTTAAGCAAAACCCGCGTCCGATTCAAGCGCAGATTCGCGCGCTGTTCTCGAGCGCGCTTTGCGTGCGCGTCACGGCGTCGTGCGAGCGCGTAGCCGCGGTTTCGACGCGTTCGGTGCTGAACACGCGGGACGCTTCAATATTAAACGTCGGCGTGGTTACCTTGTTCGACACGCGTGTTCGGCCGTAACCCTTCTTTCAACGCGGAGGCGACGTCGAACGTGAATCGTTTGAGCGGTTATGAAAACAGTGGGTTTCTACCGCTTTCTGGTAATAAAACAAGAGTGTTAAGATGTTCAAACACCAACGCACACAGCTATTGCGAGGCATCATCAAGTCTGCATTAACCACACACAGCACTTGTGGCATAACATGCAAGTTTCAAGTTTTCAAGTTTCATTTATTAGGTACAGCCCTGTGAGCCATGCGGCTCTTGAGCAGGGTGCAACCGCAACAAACAAAATATGAACAGAGAACATCTTAAAGCGACGACGTGCAACAGAAACATCCTGGGATAAACCAGCAACTCTTCCAGAAAAAAAAAACACCGTAATACAAAGCTGTGTGCAAAAATCCCAGTGTGATGCAAGTCAATATGCAAACACGCTCTGATAAAAATACTGCCAATGCATTGTCTTTGAAACAAATATATTTGTGTGCATGTTTTGCCACAAGTACAACGTGTGATAAATGCAGACTGGATGATGCCTTGCAATAGCTGTGTGTGTGTTGTCTATTTGGTGTTTGAACATCTTATCACAATTCCTGTGTTATTGGCAGAAAGGGTAAACCCCCATGAAAAGTATGAAGAGGTGTTACCCTTTCTGGCAATGCAATAGGAGTTGTGTTAAGATGTTCAAACACCAAACATGAAACCTTTGGCAAGGAATCAAGTTTACTGCATTAATCACACAGTACTTATGGTGAACATGCAAACCAACATTGCTCTGATAATATTTACGCATTGTCCTTGAAACTACACCAGAGACAGCAGCCATCTTCATGGCCTAGTCTCACCACCAGTGTCAGCGAACCAGAGAACAAAACCAAAATGGTCGAACAGTGCACGGACAATGCCACTGTTGTGGGTATGAACGTGGAGCGAGACCTCTTGGAGGCAACGCGTTTATTTAAATAAACGATAACGCCATTAGCCGTAACACTTACAGCTATGGCCCCTGTAACACTACGGGGTACGGCCCCGTCACCCGATAACCTAAGGGTGGTACAGCCTCCCTTCTAGCGTGCCCTACACACTCCGGGCTACGCTCTCGCGGGTCCTCCGCTGCGGGGGCTAGGGGAGGCTAACCTGACCCGACCTAGCCAGGGTACGGGTCCCACCGCTGCTCCGCTGCAAACCGGCTCTGACAAGGCCCTCGGATGAGGGTTCCGGGGTGCTGGTCCGGTCTTCAAGTCTTCAGGCGTCTTCGGGTCTTGAGTGGACGAACACTGCCGGTCCCGTTGAGAGGGCCGGCTTTTATACACAAGTTGGGGCTTACCCCGCGCCTAACCACGCCTTCTCCAGAACCTTCCAGAAATCTCTGGAAGGGTCTGGAATGAAGCGTTGGCTCCTACCCCCCAGCCCCCACCCCTGGGGGGTCTGGGGTCTCTACCCCCCGGTCACGGGGTACCCGGGGGGGTGGGGGGGGGTTTACCCCAGGTTAACCACCACACTTCCCGCTCACTCTCTCGGCCGCCCCCTATCGGCCTGTGAGGGTGGTGACCACAAGAATACCCACAGCGCCTTGGTACGGCACAACACCACTATCAGAGTACTTATAGCGCGGGGTGAGCAGCTATATCAAGGGATACCTGTTTTGTTTGTTTTGTTTTGCCAGTATCGAAGTATGAACAATAAGAATCGTTTTTTTTATTGCCGGAAAGCTTGAAACCCGATGATTATTTTCCACACTTTGATGCTGGCAAAAAAGGAGTCCCATGACGTAGCGACGATTGGCTCGTCGCGGACTCAACTTGGCGGCACCCCGATCGCTCCTCGCCGCTTGAGACGCAAACCTCCTGGGCTGCTGTCGGCGGCGATGCCGCCGCTGTCGGCGTCTCCTCCACGAGTCCCAACGGCCATTCGATTTTTTTTTACTTCACACGATTTTTATTGTCGTCGTTGTTGTTGTAGCCTCAAATATTGTAACTGAATTTTAACCCGCTTCCCAATGTGGTATCGACTGCAAACTTGGTATACTTACATCATACTGATGACAACTATATTCTATCATAAAAAAATGTTTTTTAAACATTCTTTTTTATGTTATGTTTCGGCTTGGGTCGAATTGTCCACGCTTAACTCACGTTGGCTGTATAAATCACCACGGTTCCCTTTACGTTGTGGCGAGCTTCGGTGGCCACTTCCTGGAGTCGTGGAGTTCTGCCACCACTCGTACGGTACATTTCATTAAAGCGTGCTTTTAAAAAAGTATTTTTTTAAAATATTACTTTTTTTTATCGATCAGACCACGGTGGGTGGGTGGTGGTGTACAACTTCCGCGACAGGTGAGTGGTGCGTAGTGGGATAGACGGCTCAGACAACCAACACGGACGTGTAGGACCGTTGTGCGGTACGTGGTGCGTCAGATCCCTTTTCTTTGGGGAATGGGGAAAGATGACGTGATGGGGAGAAGTCAGTCTCATTTCAAGTTCAGTCAGTTGAACTCGGGGTCTCTGGAATGGCATTCACGAGGGGGCCTCAGATCTGGGTGAACTCCTCATCCCTATTCCTCAGTTTGAGAATCAGGTGTACTAAAGGTGCCAGGGCATATAGGGAGTTATACCAGAGGGTGAATGAGGGGGCCCCATGATTCCTCCAGGAGCTCAGGATGGTCTTTCTAATCGAAATGTTAAATGTTTGGAGGTTATGGGGTAGAGAAGTCTCAAGTAGGAATTTCTCTTTGTCGGGGCTCGATGGAAGGTCTTGACCGGTACAGGTTTCTGTAGAAGCTCTTCTCATTAACCTCAGCTGCCCTCGTCCTGAGCGGCCTATCGGCATCCCTGATCCCAACAACGTGGTTACGAGTTTGTTTGCGCTTGACCAGCCGGGCTGAGAGCTTGTTCGTGAAGGGAGAGGAGTCGTGAAATGTAATCTTGGCCCTCATAGAGTGGAGGGAGGTTTGGTCATTCAACACCGTGTCTAGTTCCAGCTTTAGTCTATTGGCCTCCCATTGGACCGCACGAGATTGGGTTGTCTTGAATAGGCGATGTTTTTCCTCCAGCTTGAGGATGGTTTGGGCCCTTTATTCCTTCCTCCAGGCCCCTTCTGTAGCTTTAAGGGCATCCCAGACCACCAGGGGGGAGGGTGATCTAGAGTTTGTTTCCATGAAACTAGTCGCCTCATTTCTGATTCTCATCAATAGGCCCGCATCCTTCAATAATTTGGTGTCCAGGGACCATGCGCTATGGGATTCTTCAGTGGGGTCCAGAATGAATTGCGTAAGAACAGGACAGTGGTCAAAACGCTGTTGGTCAAGTATCCTTACTTTTGAGACCGATGGGAGGAGGGCCTTGGAGATTAAGAAGTAATCGATTCTAAACAGGCTCCTGTAGGCCCGAGATATATGAATAATCCCTTTGCAGGGGATTAAGGGTCCGCCAGGGGTCTATGAGGTGGAGATTGATAATTTCTCCAATAACCAGTCGTGATGATGCTACGCCATCCCTCTTGGGGGAGATGGATCTGTCCAGAGCTGGGTCAAGCGTGATATTACAGTCCCCTTCCACAATTATCTCAATTGTCTCAGTGTGTAGACTATTCAGAGTGCGGGGCACAGCCCCAATTCAGATATTGGGTTGGACTCAGCGCTGAGAGACTCAACTGTGTGACGTGGATGGTGATGTCAGGGCGTGCCTGGTCGTGATTGCGGGCACGCGAACCTCCTCGGATTATTGCCAGAGAGGGTAAATCCTATTCTTAAAGGTATGAAGCCTATTTTCTAACTCGGCGGTGGCTAGGAGATGTTAACTACATCGCGCGGTATGCTGGAGGTCGTGGGTTCGATCCCGACGCCTGCTGCTGTATATTTGGAGTTTGCGTGTCTCTCTCTCCTCGTGGTCGCGTGGAATATTCTGCGGGTCCTTTTTTTTTTCCCTCCCGCCGTGCGACTCGATCAACAACAACAAAAACCCACAGCACAGTGTACCACGGGGGGTGGCATGGGAGGCGGCGTTTATCACTAACATCACACGAACACAGCTACTCCAAACATCGCGGTTATAATCATTTCTACCGTATATGCTAACGCAGCGGCGGTGACGACGACGATAATAACGAGCTCCAAGCAAAGCCCAACGGGGAATGGCTGGTGGCTATTTCACAAAAAAAACTCTCCTAGTGTAAGACGAGGGAGACATGAATATAAAACCATCACACAATTTAAGCCCGTGGTGCTAAAGCCGGGCAATCGTGCACGACATCGCGAATAAGCAACTCCAGCCTGCGTTTCTCCTACGTCACGCCAAGTGGTGGTGGTTGTTTTCATAACGCGAATCCGATATCTGCAGTAACGCGATGAATGTTGTATTAGGGAACGCGTTTTTTGAATAACACGGATTGGATGTAGAGATTGTAACGCGATCGAGCGAATGGAGCTACGTCGCGCGCGAGTAGGAATAACCGGTGGTTGTCACGGGCATCGTCGTCATGAACACGCGAGGCATTGGAATGCTGCTGGATGCTTCTAGACGCTACCCACGTGCCTCGGCCTTTGTTTGGCCCGCGTACGCATCGCACGTGTTATCGCGGACGACGCTTAACCCCCTGTATTTTATGTATTATTACAACGCGATTTCCACATCACGCGGTGTTCTTCAGCAACGCAACAACCGCCACGCTACAGCAGAACCAGACCCAGAACAGCAGCGGCCTGGCTCCGTCGCCTCTCCGCGCGATGGCTGCACCGTCTCGTGTTGGATCGACGCGTGGCAGCTATGGCGGCTTACTTCCTTCACCACGCGGTTTCAATGGGAAAAAGTCGCGCCACCTACCTACCTACCTATCGACCAACTGAGAAAGCGACGAACTGCGAGATGCTCGTCACGTAACCAACCGCGTGGGCCCAGTGTGGGCACGCAGTGATACCCCGATTTACGTCGCCCCCTCCCCCCCTCCCCTCTCCTTTCGACATCGTTCCGCAAATACGTCGTCACTCTGTTACTAACGCCGCGGGCCGATTAGCGTCGCCTCGACCCCACGCGCTCACATCGCCGCCAGCGTCGCCCCTTCCGTTCTCGGTATCCATCGCCTCTTAAGCTTTCGCCTCCACCACCCACGACTACCTTGTACGTTTGCTCTGATTGACGTTGTTCCGATATCCGTCATCCCGCCTTTCAGGTGGGCATTTATACGTCCACGTGATGACCAAGCCACTCCTGTCGAGCTATTATTTGTGATGGCCAGGGGGCCTTAGCTGGTTACGTAAAAGAGTACTTAAATATTCTTAGTTCTTTCGGTAAAGTCACGTATAAGGGAAACAATGAAATAATAAAAATATAAAACACCAAATAGTTTGCTTACACAGGGAGGTAAAGGCGTTATACACCAAGCTGCTCCTGACGCCATCGAACAGATTAGCAGACATCATCATCACGACGCATGGGCAGACAGCACTGCAGTAGGTGTCCACTGCACATTCGGTAATTTGTTCTTTCCACTTTACTCTCTCTGTCTTGTAATGCCAATATGCTCAAGTAGTGCCACATCATAGCGATGTACAGCAGTGTGTAGTGTAGTGTATAGTGTAGTGTATGGTAGTGTATAGTGTAGTGTATAGTATAGTGTACAGAAGTGTATAGGGTAGTGTATAGTATAGTGTAATGTATAGTAGTATATAGTGTAGAGTATAGTGTAGTGTATAGTGTAGTGCATAGTAGTAGTGTATAGTGTAGTGCATAGTGTAGAGTGTAGTGTTGTGTATAGTGTAGTGTATAGTTTAGTACAGTGTGTAATGTACTGTGTAGTGTATAGTGTAGTGTACAGTAGTGTATAGTGTAGTGTACAGTAGTGTATAGTGTAGTGTACAGTGTACTGTATAGTAGTGTATAGTGTAGTGTACAGTACTGTATAGTGTAGTGTATAGTAGTATATAGTGTAGTGTATAGTGTAGTGTATAGTAGTATATAGTGTAGTGTATAGAAGTATATAATGTAGTGTATAGTAGTGTATAGTAGTATATAGTGTAGTGTATAGTATTGTATAGTGTTGTGTATAGTGTAGTATATAGTGTAGTATAAATCACAAGAGATCATTCTATAAATCACAAGAGATTATTCTATAAATCACAAGAGATCATTCTATAAATCACAAAAGATTATTCTATAAATCACAAGAGATTATTTTATAAATCACAAGAGATTATTCTATAAATCGCAGGAGATCATTCTATAAATCACAATAGATTATTCTATAGATCACAAGAGATGATTCTATAAATCACAAGAGATTATTCTATAAATCACAAGAGATTATTCTATGAATCACAAGAGATTATTCTATAAATCACAAGAGATTATTCTATAAATCACAAGAGATTCTTCTATAAATCACAAGAGATTCTTCTATAAATCACAAGAGATTACTCTATAAATCACAATAGATTATTCTATAAATCACAAGAGGTTATTCTATAAATCACAAGAGATTCTTCTATAAATCACAAGAGATTCTTCTATAAATCACAAGAGATTACTCTATAAATCACAATAGATTATTCTATAAATCACAAGAGGTTATTCTATAAATCACAAGAGATTATTCTATAAATCACAAGAGATTATTCTATAAATCACAAGAGATTATCACAAGAGATTATTCTATGAATCACGAGATTATTCTATAAATCACAAGAGATTACTCTATAAATCACAAGAGATTATTCTATAAATCACAAGAGATTACTCTATAAATCACAAGAGATTATTCTATAAATCACAAGAGATTACTCTATAAATCACAAGAGATTATTCTATAAATCACAAGAGATTATTCTATGAATCACGAGATTATTATATAAATCACAAGAGATTACTCTATAAATCACAAGAGATTATTCTATAAATCACAAAAGATTCTATAATTCACAAGAGATTATTCTATGAATCACAAGATATTATTCTATAAATCAAAAGAGATTATTCTATAAATCACAAGAGATTAATCTATAAATCACAAGAGATTATTCTATAAATCACAAGAGATTACTCTATAAATCACAAGAGATTATTCTATAAATCACAAGAGATTACTCTATAAATCACAAGAGATTATTCTATAAATCACAAAAGATTATTCTATAGATCACAAGAGATTATTCTATAAATCACAAGAGAATATTCTATAAATCACAAGATATTATTCTATAAATCGCAAGAGATTATTCTATACATCACAAGAGATTATTCTATAAATCACATGAGAGTATTCTATATATCACAAGAGATTACTCTATAAATCACAAGAGATTATTCTATAAATCACAAGAGATTATTCTATAAATCACAAGAGATTATTCTATAAATCACAAGAGATTATTCTATAAATCACAAGAGATTATTCTATATATCACAAGAGATTACTCTATAAATCACAAGAGATTATTCTATAAATCACAAGAGATTATTCTATAATTCACAAGAGATTATTCTATAAATCACAAGAGATTATTCTATAAATCACAAGAGATTACTCTATAAATCACAAAAGATTAATCTATAAATCACAAGAGATTACTCTATAAATCACAAGAGATTATTATATAAATCACAAGAGATTATTCTATGAATCACAATATATTATTCTATAAATCACAAGAGATTATTCTATAAATCACAAGACATTAATCTATAAATCACAAGAGATTATTCTATAAATCACAAGAGATTACTCTATAAATCACAAGAGATTATTCTATAAATCACAAGAGATTACTCTATAAATCACAAGAGATTATTCTATAAATCACAAGAGATTATTCTATAGATCACAAGAGATTATTCTATAAATCACAAGAGATTATTCTATAAATCACAAGAGATTATTCTATAAATCACAAGAGATTATTCTATAAATCACAAGAGATTACTCTATAAATCACAAGAGATCATTCTATAAATCACAAGAGATTATTCTATAAATCACAAGAGATTATTCTATAATTCACAAGAGATTATTCTTTAAATCACAAGAGATTATTCTATAAATCACAAGAGATTACTCTATAAATCACAAGAGATTACTCTATAAATCACAATAGATTATTCTATAAATCACAAGAGATTACTCTATAAATCACAAGAGATTATTCTATAAATCACAAGAGATTATTCTATAAATCACAAGAGATTATTCTATAATTCACAAGAGATTATTCTTTAAATCACAAGAGATTATTCTATAAATCACAAGAGATTACTCTATAAATCACAAGAGATTAATCTATAAATCACAAGAGATTATTCTATAAATCACAAGAGATTACTCTATAAATCACAAGAGATTACTCTATAAATCACGAGAGATTATTCTATAAATCACAAGAGATTATTCTATAAATCACAAGAGATTACTCTATAGATCACAAGAGATTATTCTATAAATCACAAAATATTATTCTATTAATCACAAGAGATTATTCTATAGATCACAAGAGATTATTCTATAAATCACAATTGATTATTCTATAAATCACAATTGATTATTTTATAAATCACAAGAGATTATTCTATAAATCACAAGAGATTATTCTATAGATTACAAGAGATTATTCTATAAATCACAAGAGATTATTCTATAAATCACAAGAGATTATTCTATAAATCACAAGAGATTATTCTATAAATCACAAGATTACCTTATAAATCACAAGAGATTACTCTATAAATCACAAGAGATTAATCTATAAATCACAAGAGATTATTCTATAAATCACAAAATAGTATTCTATAAATCACAAGAGATTACTCTATAGATCACAAGAGATTATTCTATAAATCACAAAAGATTATTCTATAAATCACAAGAGATTATTCTATAGATCACAAGAGATTATTCTATAAATCACAAGAGATTATTCTATAAATCAGAATTGATTATTTTATAAATCACAAGAGATTATTCTATAAATCACAAGAGATTATTCTATAGATCACAAGAGATTATTCTATAAATCACAAGAGATTATTCTATACATCACAAGAGATTATTCTATAAATCACAAGAGATTACTCTATAAGTCACAAGAGATTATTCTATTTTTTTCTAGCTACGTGACTTTACCGAAAGAACCAAAGAATATGGATCCCTGCAGTCACGAAAGCTTCAAATGAACACTTTCAATGTTCCTGTTGTGGCCCATCCTACGACATGCGCGTGTCAACATCGTGCCCAGTGTCCTCGTCGCTGCCTGCATCGCCATCAGGTCGTCTTCTTCCGTGGTGCAACCTGTTCCTTCGCTCGACGTTGGTCACTCTTTGAGTCCAATTGAAATGCGGCAGTACATCTGATCTCCGTCAGTCTTCAGTCGGTGTCCAGATCTCGCAGGCGGACAAAGCTGTGCCCGAACACACGCGCTCTTAAGACGTCCAGTTCGGGCTCGTAGCAGATTTGCCTGCTTCTACAGATGTTACTGAATCCTGCCAACACTCCACCCCCCCCCCCCTCCCCCCTCCGTTGCCTTCGCGATCTTTGCCCCTCTCCCCTCTCGTGCGGTCGCCGTCCCATGCCAGTGGACTTCCCAAACACGCGCGGTCGCGATCCTCGTCGTCGTCGCTGGTCGGTTGCATTTTCGAATGCCGTACGAAGACTCGGCGGGCTGTGCTGGGAATGTCCCCCCCCCCCCCTCCCCCCGCACCTCCCCCCGTTGTGGACGTGACACCTCACGGTTAAGACGGCAAGTCACGTAGCAAGAGACGCGACGTGAACCCTGAGGAGCTATTGCGCACGTGCAGATCATGCCCCACGATGAACAATGCCTCCGATCCCCCCTTCCCGTACTGTGACCGCTCGTCTTCCTACTGCGTTGTTGTCTGCCTGACGCGAGCAACGCTCATTTGCCGACGGGACCAGCGTGCCTCCACATTATTTTGTATTTATTCATTACTTTATTCATTCAACTGGTGAACTTTCTAGGTTTCGAAAACTTACTTCCTCAGAACTGCTTGCTGTTGTGATTATAGCAAGGTTAGGCTACGTACGGTGGTGCGAAAAAAGTTCAACGTACACAAAGACAAAGATCCCCCAGTAAAGCCTGTAACAGACTGTAGGGGCAAGTGCTGTTAGCGAGCACCTCTGAAGGCCGGAACGGCACACGAGGGGGTGGGTGGCCAGCACCACGCCCGACCGCCTTTGTCTCCCCAGTGGCAATGTTTACACACCGCACCAGGTACTCATTTTGAGGCTGAGTCGACCTAGGGGAGGCCCAGGACCGGTTTCAGATATTCGTCACCGGTGTTGGCCGTGAGCGGGAATCGAACTGGGGTCGCCGGGGTCGTAGCGCAGCGGAGCGCTGACCACTACACCCACCGCTCCCCACACAACAACAACAACAACAACCGCCGTTCCACCACTAAGCGGCGGTGGCATCACCACACACACAGCCACGCGTAGCGATCGCCAACTTCTACCCCGCCATTGCCGGCGGCGTGTTTTGGCGTTCACTCGCGGCCGGCTTCGATGGCCGCTCCCAGCGCCGGCGCTCCCGGCGCCCCCTCTCCCGCGTGCTTCCTGGTGTGCACCTTGAGGTACTCCCGGCGGGAGAAGCGTTTGCCGCAGTCGGCGCAGACGTACGGCTTCTCGCCCGTGTGCGTGCGCCGGTGCACCTTGAGGTACTCCCGGCGGGAGAAGCGCTTGCCGCACTCGTCGCAGGCGTGCGGCCTCTCGCCCGTGTGCGTGCGCCGGTGCTCCACCAGGTCGTAGCTCTGCGTGAATCCCCGGCCGCACTCGGCGCAGACGTGCGGCCGCTCGCCCGAGTGCGTCCGGTAGTGCATCTGCAGCACGGAGCTCTTGGCGAAGCGCTTGCCGCACTGCTCGCAGGCGTAGGGCCGCTCCCCCGTGTGCGACCGCCGGTGCTTCTTGAGGTTGCTGCGGTGGGAGAACGCCCGGCCGCACTCGGGGCACGCGTGAGGCCGCTCGCCCGTGTGGGTCCGCGAGTGAACCTCCAGGCCGGAGCGCTCGGCGAACGCCTTGCCGCAGTCGGCGCAGGCGTGCGGCCGCTCGCCCGTGTGGGTGCGCGCGTGCACCGCCAGGCTGTAGCGGTAGGAGAAGCTCTTGCCGCACTCGGGGCACGCGTGAGGCTGCTCCCCCGTGTGCGTGATGGCGTGCCGCGCCAGGCTGAAGTTGCTCGAGAACGCCTTGCCGCACTCGCCGCACTCGTGCGCCCTCTCGGCGCCGGCGGTGCCGCCGCCGCCGGCGCCGCCGCCTCCTCGCTTCCTCCCCCTCCTCCTCCGCTCGCCGCCGCCGCCGCCGCCGCCGCCGCCGGGCGACGCCGAATCTCCGAGCCGCTCGCCGCACCGCGCGCACCCGCGACGTGCCGGGTCGGCGCTCGCGTCCTCGCCGCGGTCCTCGCCGCAGCCCCGGCAGCGCCGCCCGCCGTCGTCGCCGCCTTGGCCCGCCGGCGCCGGTTTCCGTGAGACACAGAAATAGACGGCGGAGGTGAACGTGCGCCGGGAGCGACGCCGATCCATTAGCTGCCGGGAGTGGCGCGACGGCGGCTGGGAGATGTTAACCGCCTCGTGTGGCCCGTGCCGGACCGTGGCCTCGATGGTTCTCTTGGCCCCGTGACCGATGACGCGCGGGGAGGGGTGGTGGTCATCAACAAACGCTCCTGCGTCCTTCTCCTTAGCTCCACTGCGTGATCATCCCCCCCACCCCCTCTCTCCCAACACCGGCCACGCACGATCACAACCACAACCACAACAACAACAAGAAGCACTTTCTGAGGAGGGGGAAGCGACGAGGTTTACAAAGCAGAATTTGTTTAGTTGTACGGCTCCAAAGACAAAGGTCCCCGGTTTAGCCTGTAACAGACTGTAGGGGCAAGTGCTGTGAGCGAGCAGCACCTGTGAAGGCCGGAACGGCACACGAGGGGGTGGGTGGCCAGCACCATGCCCGGCCGCCTTTGTCTCCCCAGTGGCGATGTTTACTATACACCGCACTAGGCACTCATTTGAGGCTGAGTCGACCTAGGGGAGGCCCAGGACCGGTTCAGATATTCGTCACAGGTGTTGGCCGTGAGCGGGAATCGAACTCGGGTCTCCGGGTTCGTAGCGCAGCGTAGCGCTGACCACTACACCACCGCTCCAGCAACAACAACCGCCATTCACCACTAAGTGGCGGTGACGTCACCACGATGCTTGTGCCAGGCTATGTGCACCCTGAGGCCACGTGAAGTGTCGAACGCCCGCTGGCAGGAGGTCACGGGGCAGACCCAGGTGCCACGGGTCGACTGACTGAGATGACTGGCTAATGCACCACCTGTGCCCCCTACTGTGCCAACCTGCTGTGCTTTAGCCACCCGGCGCTCCGCTCATTGTTGTGAGCGTCGTTCCTCCGCCCTCCATTGTTGTTGGAGGGCGACTACCTCCAACTGCCCAGTAGCGTCCTTCACGAGCCTCCTCCACAGAGGCCGATCTTGACACTGCTGGTACCAGTCATCGGCAAGTCCACTCACCTCCACGTCCTCCTGTACCACATCACTCCATCTCTTCTCTAGCCCGTGCCCGTTTAGCCCCCTCAATCCGGCCGAACAAAAGCTGTTTCGGCATGCGGTGGCTGGGCATGCAGGCTACATGACCAAGCCATCGCAGCCTTGCCCGCCGGAGGAGCTCACCGATGTGACCTTGCCCAGATCTTTCAAGGATTTGTGAGCTCCTCACACAATCCAGTCTGGTTAAACCCAGGATGGATCGTAGGCAGGCCAGCCTAAATGTTTCTAACCGGCGAAGATGTTCCATTAGGGGGGTCCACGTTTCGCAAGCGTAGAGAAGGGAGGGAATGACCGTGGCCGAGAAGACCTGAAGCTTAGTGCGGAGCGACAGACCAGGTAGCTTCCACACAGCGTTATGCAACCGATGAAAAGATATTGCCGCTCGACTGATTCGGAGTGAGACCTCTGCTGTTAAACTGGAGCCGGTCATAAGCACACTGCCCAGGTATGGGAAACTCTCCACTCGCTCCAAAACTGCCCCATCACCGATTGGGAGTTGTGGGGGTGTAGTGTCCGATGGTACAAAATACCCAGGCAGGTGCTTAGTTTTGGTGGGGCTGATGGTAAGGCCCCACCTCTTAGTGGCACGCTCCAGTCTCAGCAGCAGCGTCTCCAACTCCTCCTCTGAATGAGCAGCTATTACCAAATCATCAGCATACATAACGTGGTTGAGCAATAGGGAGCCATCCCTTGACCGCACCCGGGCATCGATCAGCCTCCCATTATATCTGTACCATATGGAGATTCCCCCGGTACAGCAATTGAAGGCTTCACGAACTACGTGGTCAAAATAGATGTTAAATAATGTGAGAGCCAGAGGACATCACTGTCGCACCCCAAGGTGCACAGGGAATGGCTCTGACTCCCGGCCACGTAGTTTTACCCGGGCCCGCTCACCATCATGAAGGTCCTTAATGATCGTGAGCAGAGGGTCAGGTACTCCAAAAGCACGAAGAACAACCCAGAGCCCAGGCCTACTGATGGTATCATAGGCCTTGACCAGGTCAATAAAGCAGAGATGTAGGGCTTTTTGGAATTCCCTACACCTCTGCTGTAGCAGACGGACAGAAAATATGGCATCTGTGCAGGACCACCCTTTCCTGAAACCGTATTGGGGCTCCGCAAGCCTCTCCTCAGCGTGCCTGGCAAAGCGATGCTGAATAATCCTTGCCAGGACCTTTCCCGGCACACTGAGGAGTGAAATGCCCCTGTAGTTGTTACAGTCTGTGCGGTCCCCCTTCTTAAAAAGGGGGACCACCAGGGCATCCTTCCAATCCTGCGGAACCCGTCCAGTGGTCCAGACTGTTGTTATGATGTCATATAGGGCAGTCTGTGCACAAACGCCACCCTCCCTCAGCATTTCACTTGGGAGATCATCTGTGCCCGCTGCCTTTCCTGGTCTCAGACTCCGGATCGCTCTCAGTACTTCCTCAACAGATGGCACCTCAGCCAGCCACTCACAGGGGGTGACTTCTTCAAATATTTGAGGCACCACAACCTCAGCAGGGTCATCCTCACTTTGTGCCATGATGTTTTCCTGGCTGAGGGATTTTCCCTCCAGGACCTCACAGAAATGCTTAGCAAATCTGCAAACCTGTTCCTGGGGGTCGGAGATTGGATCACCGTTTTTTCCCCTAATGATGGTAATAGGTGTGGCACTGCAGGTTACTTTTTTGATGGAGTTAAATAGAGATTTGTGATCATGGGCCACTGAGGCAGACTCCATCTCCTCAGCAACCCGTGACCACCACCCATCCTTGCAGCGCCTCACGGCTCTCCGAACCTCCGAGTGAAGGCTGCGGTAAGCCTCCTCATTCTCTGAAGTGGGATTCTGTAGCCGATGACAGTGGGCCTGTCGCTTTTTCTCAACCATCCTGAACACCTCCTCTGTCAGCCAGGGTCTCTGGGGAGGTCTGGACCGCATACCCAAAGCAGCCATTGCAGCTGCATGAGTCGCAGTCCTAAACCTCGCCCATTTACCCTCGACGTCAGGAGGAGTCGGGGACGATGCCAATCCCAGCCGCAAGCGATGATGAAATTCTCGTTTGCAACTTTCATCAGATAACTGAGACCAGGCCACTTTAGGTTGGAATGGGGTCCTGGGTGTATACCCACCAACGGAGTGGAAGAATGGCAGGCGCATCTTACAGATGACTAGTCGATGGTCAGAGGGCAGATAAGCTCCACGGTAGGTCCTGGTGTCAAGGACATGGACTCGCATCCGCTGGTCCGTCACTATGTAGTCCAGCAGATGTTCTTGCTTGGACCCGGCATGCATCCATGATGTTGTGTGGATGCGCCGATGCCGGAACAGCGTGTTGGTAATTACAAGCCCATGGGCTGCACAAAAATCTAGCAGCCTCCTACTGTTGTTATTGAGCTGATCTGGCCCATGCCCTCCAATCACTCCAGACCAGGTGCCAGCATCATGACCGACTCGGGCATTGAAGTCACCCAACATGATGACTCTATCCCGAGGGGCCACTTTAGCCAGCACCTGTGACAGGAGGTCATAGAAGGCATCTGACTCATCGGCTTTGCCTGCATCCCTCCACGGATATTCATCTTCAGTGGGGGCATAAGTAACCACGACCACCATTCCTCGCCTCCGGTTGATGGGAAGGCGAGCCCAAAGTAGCCTGGGGCTTACAGCTTCCCACACCTCACCGCCACGCTCCCACGCCCCCTTCATTCTTTTGTTCAAAAGAAGAGCCACACCCTGTTGTTTGGCAGTCTGCTGCCCCGAGTAGAGGATTGTCCACCCCTCATGGTGGCAGGAGCCAGAACCGGTCCACCGGACCTCCTGAATGCCACATAGATCCAGGCGGTACCGGTCCAGCTCCCGACAGAGGAGTAGCAGCCTCTCCTCCGCAGTGAGCGTTTGAACATTCCACGTGGCCACCCGTAGTGGTTTTTCGTTGTTTCTGGAGGAGCCCCGAGGGTAGATATTCAATCTCCTGGCTCCGCCAATTGGGGTTTGGCCAGGAGACGTCATAGACGCCTGGCCCCCCGGGGCCTCCGGCACAAGCTTATTCGTTAGCCCCTGTGGTGGACACAGACGCCATGAGGGGAGGAGCCAATCGAAATTGGACTTCCCCCCACAGCACTGTCCACGACAGAGTTGCCCGTCCGGCACCGCGAGGAGGTAGGGGGTTGTTTTGCCACTCCAGCACACACACACGCACACATATACAAAGACAAACACGTATATGCACACGCATACACACACAGAGGGTACCCCAACGGCGTCACCCACTGGCCTCAGGACGGACCTCCCTTTCGTCAATATCCCTTATCCAGCGTTTCACGTGACTCTGGCGCGTGCCCGCCTGACGTGCGTACGACAAAGGGCGTGGCCCTAACGGCACCGCACATCTATCCTGAGCCAATCGTGATTCGGCAACATTCACAAGGCAGCAGACATCGTGCTGCTCGCAGCAGACACTGCGGCTATCGCGATTGTCACCTGAAGACGGGCGCTTGTGTTGCGTCCGAAACGTCGTGATTTATTTTGTTTTATTTCTACCTACGTGACTTTACCGAAAGAACCACAAGGTTCAACAGCCGCTCATTGCGCCCTCTCTAACACTGTAGTTGTGAATATATGCAGCATTTATTAGTAACACGACCACACTGGTTACACTCGCCGAGTGTGCAGGTCGTGGGTTCGATCCCGACCCTAACTATGCCTGCTGCTGTAGATTTGGAGTCTGTCTCTCTCTCATCATCATCATCATCACGGTGGCTAGGAGATGTTAACTACCTCGCCTGGGACACAGGAGGTTGTGGGTTCCATCCCGATCCTGAAGATGCCTGCTGTAGATTTGGAGTCTGTGTCTCTCTCATCATCACCACGGTGGCTAGGAGATGTTAAATACCTCGCCTGGTACGCAGGAGGTTGTGGGTTCGATCCCGACCCTGACGATGCCTGCTGCTGTAGATTTGGATTCTGCGTGTCTCTCATCATCATCACGGTGGTTAGGAGATGTTAACTACCTCGCCTGGTACACAGGAGGTCGTGGGTTCAATCCTGACCCTGACGATGCCTGCTGCTGTAGATTTGGAGTCTGTGTGTCTCTCTCATCATCATCACGGTGACTAGGAGATATTAACTACCTCGCCTGGTGTGCAGGAGGTCGTGGGTTCAATCCTGATGCTGACGACGCCTGCTGCTGTATATTTGGAGTCTGCGTCTCTCTCCCCGTGGCCGCGTGGATTTTTCTCCGGGTCCTCCGGTTTTTCCCCTCCACATTTAGAATCAACGTCGCCGTGCGTTTCGAGTATTTCGCTGCTGCTATGAAGTTCCACGTGACGATGATGATGATGGGCCACTTGGTTGAGTGACCAATTGTGATGGTGAGGTCACTTCTGCAAATGAGCCACACAGCAGCTCAGTGGGTCTTACCTGGTAAAATAAGTAGTTTAGTTTAATAGTTTAGTTTAATAGTTAGTTTAATAGTTTAGTTTAATAGTTTAGTTTAATAGCTTACTTTAATAGTTTAGTTTAATAGTTAGTTTAATAGTTTAGTTTAATAGTTTAGTTTAATAGTTTAGTTTAATAGTTTAGTTTAATAGCTTACTTTAATAGTTTCGTTTAACAGTTTACTTTGATAGTTTAGTTTAATAGCTTAGTTTAATAGTTTAGTTTAATAGTTTAGTTTAATAGTTTAGTTTAATAGCTTACTTTAATAGTTTAGTTTAATAGTTTAGTTTAATAGTTTAGTTTAATAGTTTAGTTTAATAGCTTAGTTGAATAGCTTAATTTAATAGTTTACTTTAATAGTATAGTTTAATAGGTTAGTTTAATAGCTTACTTTAATAGTTTAGTTTAATAGTTTAGTTTAATAGTTTAGTTTAATAGTTTAGTTTAATAGTTTAGTTTAATAGTTTAGTTTAATAGTTTAGCTTAATAGTTTAGTTTAATAGTTTAGTTTAATAGCTTACTTTAATAGTTTACTTTAATAGTTTACTTTAATAGCTTAGTTTAATAGCTTAGTTTAATAGTTTAGTTTAATAGTTTAGTTTAATAGTTTAGTAGTTTAGTTTAATAGTTTAGTTTAATAGTTTAGTTTAATAGCTTACTTTAATAGTTTAGCTTAATAGTTTAGTTTAATAGTTTAGTTTAATAGTTTACTTTAATAGTTTACTTTAATAGTTTACTTTAATAGCTTAGTTTAATAGCTTAGTTTAATAGCTTAGTTTCATAGTTTAGTTTAATAGTTTAGTTTAATAGTTTATCTTCTTTGGTTCTTTCGGTAAAGTCACGTGACTTTACCGAAAGAACCAAAGAAGATGGATTCTTGCAATCACGAAAGCTTTAAATCGAGATTTAATAGTTTAGTTTAATAGTTTAGTTTAATAGTTTAGTATAGTTTAGTTTAATAACTTAGTTTAATAGTTTACTTGAATAGTTTAGTTTAATAGCTTAGTTTAATAGTTTAGTTTAATAGCTTAGTTTAATAGTTTAGTTTAATAGCTTAGTTTAATAGTTTAGTTTAATAGCTTAGTTTAATAGTTTAGTTTAATAGTTTAGTTTAATAGTTTACTTTAATAGTTTACTTTAATAGCTTAGTTTAATAGTTTACTTTCATGGCTTAGTTTGATCATGAGAGTGAGTCAATCAATGGGACTCACCATGACCCATGGCCCCCCCCTCCTCCTCCTCCTCGAGTTCCACCTCGATGAAGTTCCGGTCTGCGGTCTCCGCGTCTCCTCTCTCCTCCGGCCTCTCCACTTTGACGATGCTCAGATCGGGACCTGGAGCTCAGGGGCAGGGGAATGGATTGTTAGCGGTGGCTCAGTGTCCGGGACGCTGCTGCTACTGCTGCTACTGCTGCTACTGCTGCTGAACTGCTCCTGCTGCTACTGCTGCTGCTACTGGTGCTACTGCTGCTGTTGCTGTTGGTACTGCTGCTGCTACTGCTGCTGCTACTGCTGCTGCTACTGGTGCTACTGCTGCTGTTGGTACTGCTGCTGCTACTGCTGCTGCTACTGCTGCTGGTACTGCTGCTGCTACTGCTACTACTGCTGCTGCTACTGGTGCTACTGCTGCTGTTTCTGTTGGTACTGCTGCTGCTACTGCTGCTGCTACTGCTGCTGCTCCTGCTACTGCTGCTGCTGTTGGTACTGCTACTGCTGCTGCTGCTACTGCTGCTGCTACTGCTGCTGCTGTTGGTTCTGCTGCTGCTACTGCTGCTGCTGCTACTGCTGCTGCTACTGCTGCTGCTACTGCTGCTGTTGGTGCTGCTGCTGCTGCTGGTGCTACTGCTGCTGTTGCTGTTGGTACTGCTGCTGCTACTGCTACTGGTGCTGCTACTGCTACTGGTGCTGCTGCTGCTACTGCTGCTGCTGTTGGTACTGCTGCTGGTGCTTCTGCTGGTACTGCTGCTGCTGCTACTGCTGCTGCTGGTGCTGCTGTTGCTGCTGGTGGAAGGCGCTTCATAGCAAAAAGATTGTTGTTGTTGTTGTTAAACCCTCAACCGCCACGGCAGATGGAACCGGTCAAATGGAGTTGATACGCGGCCAAATACACCGATCGGTTGGGATTCGTCGGCGAAAAGAAACGATTTTTGAAAAGCAAGGAATGAATTTTGCAATGAGCGGCGTCCCCGCAGAGAGACCACGCGCATCGAGGTGGGCACAGCAGCTCCACTGTCGGCATAACACACAGAGACCCACAGACACCCAGACACATAGAGACCCACACACACCCAGACACACAGAGACCCACAGACACCCAGATCCATAGAGACCCACAGACACCCAGATACACAGAGACCCACAGACACCCAGATACACAGAGACCCACAGACACCCAGACCCATAGAGACCCACAGACACCCAGACCCATAGAAACCCACAGACACCCAGGCACACAGAGACCCACAGACACCCAGATCGATAGAGACCCACAGACACCCAGACACACAGAGACCCACAGACACCTAGATCGATAGAGACCCACAGACACCCAGACACACAGAGACCCACAGACACCCAGACCCATAGAGACCCACAGACACCCAGACCCATAGAGACCCACAGACACCCAGACCTATAGAGACCCACAGACACCCAGACCCATAGAGACCCACACACACCCAGATACATAGAGACCCACAGACACCCAGACACACAGAGACCCACAGCCACCCAGACCCATAGAGACCCACAGACACCCAGACCCATAGAGACCCACACACACCCAGACACACAGAGACCCACAGACACCCAGATCCATAGAGACCCACAGACACCCAGACACACAGAGACCCACAGACACCCAGACCCATAGAGACCCACAGACACCCAGACCCATAGAGACCCACACACACCCAGATCCATAGAGACCCACAGACACCCAGACACACAAAGACCCACAGACACCCAGACACACAGAGACCCACACACACCCAGATCCATAGAGACCCACAGACACCCAGACACACAGAGACCCACACACACACACAGATCCATAGAGACCCACAGACATCCAGACCCATAGAGACCCACACACACCCAGACCCACAGAGACCCACAGACACCCAGACACACAAAGACCCACAGACACCCAGACACACAGAGACCCACAGACACCCAGACCCATAGAGACCCACAGACACCCAGACACACAGAGACCCACAGACACCCAGACACACAGAGACCCACAGCCACCCAGACCCATAGAGACCCACAGACACCCAGACCCATAGAGACCCACATACACCCAAAGACACATAGATCCACAGACACGCAGAGACACAGAGACCCAGACCCATAGAGACCCACAGACACCCAGACACATAGAAACCCACAGACACCCAGACCCATAGAGACCCGCAGAGACCCACAGATTAGCACGGTTGGCTGCGTACGGTGCAAAAGAAGTTCAACCTACGTACAAACATACGTTTTTACCTGTTTTCACGAACCCACAATTCTTACAAACGCGACCATATTCGTGTTTATTGTGACAGCTGCAGGAGCAGCGGTGATGATGGCAGGGCCCTCGTTCACCGATTGACCGAGGGGCATCGCGGCGACACCGACACCACTCACTGCAATCGACGCCTTCCCTGTCGCCCATCGCCCCAGAGCTGGTGCCGTCCCAGAGGCTGAGTCTGCGTTCCCGTTTGACGGACTCCATCTGCGCATCTGCGGAGAGGAGGAACAGCGATAACGGGGGAAGGGGGGTGGGGGACAGGTCAACACAACAAATTTGTGTTTGTTTTTTTACCGGCTAAGGCCCCCTCCACTGAGCTCTCACGTGGCTCTTTTTCAGACGCGACCTGGAAACAAAATTATAATTACAGCTATCACAACAAATTATAATTACAGCTGTCACAACAAACTATAATTACAGTTATCACAACAAACTATAATTACAGCTGTCACAACAAACTATAATGACAGCTGTCACAACAAACTATAATTACAGATGTCACAACAATCTATAATTACAGCTGTCACAACAAACTATAATTACAATTATCACAACAAACTATAATTACAGTTATCACAACAAACTATAATTACAGTTATCACAACAAATTATAATTACAGTTATCACAACAAACTATAATTAGATATCACAACAAACTATAATTACAGCTGTCACAACAAACTATAATTACAGCTGTCACAACAAACTATAACTACAGTTATCACAACAAACTATAACTACAGTTATCACAACAAACTATAATGACAGCTGTCACAACAAACTATAATTACAGTTATCACAACAAACTATAATTACAGTTATCACAACAAACTATAATTACAGATGTCACAACAAACTATAATTACAGCTGTCACAACAAACTATAATTACAGTTATCACAACAAACTATAATTACAGTTATCACAACAAACTATAATTACAGCTGTCACAACAAACTATAATTACAGTTATCACAACAAATTATAATTACAGTTATCACAACAAATTACAGCTCAACTTGATTTGGTGCTTTCGTGACTGCAGGAATTACTCTTTGGTTTTTTTTCGGTAAAGTCACGTAGAAATAAGAAATAATAATAAAATTAAATTACATAATAGCATACGACGTTTCGATTGCAACGCAAGCAATCATCATCAGGTATAGAAGAGCTCAATTTAAGAGAGAGAGGAAACAGAGAGATGGAGAAGCACATCAAATTGAACAAGATTTAGTAAAATTTGGAAACAATATAATGCAGCACAGAAGGTCGGTCAAAACACAATTAACGCATGGTCTGGCTGATTACGCTATTTCAAAGATTGCTAAATTATAGGTTAAGAGTGCTAGAGTACAGAGACACACAGAGAGAGACACACACATGGGACACAGTGAAACAATGCTTCTATTTAAGGCTTCGACATAGTGCTGCAGCCTCCCTTCTATAAACGCCGCGTCTTGTTATGCTCATAACGCGAATTGGACGAGATAACGCGACTGAATGTATTGGGGAACACGTTTTTAATATGTACAGTAAAACCTTGGATTGCGAGTAACTTGGTCTGCGAGTGTTTTGCAAGACGAAAAAAAAAATTTGCAAGTAAATATGAATTTGATAAACGAGCGAGGGTCTTAGCAACACGAGCGGTGTACGTGTCTACGCTTTGTCTGCCGAGCGTCACGTGATCACAACTTTATATATATTACGAGTGCTTTGATATACGAGTGCTTTGGATTAACAAACACGTTTCGGGAAGGAATTATGCTCGCAATCCAATATTTTTATATCTATCACGCAGATGCGAACTGGACGTACGACGCGGTCGAGTGCCCGTTACAACTACGTCGCAGCGAGGAGGAATAAGCGGCGGTCGTACGGCCGTCTCGGCGGGGCGCGAGGCATTGGCATGCTGCTGGGTACTCCTGGACGCCACCCCACCACGCATCTCGGTCTTCGTGCTGCCCGCGTCCGCATCTCGCGCCCCATTGGGGCGGGACCGAGCTTTGCCCCAGATTATTACGACGGCGATTTTTCCCCGCGGTGCCGTCGTTCGTCAGGAACGTAGCTAGTCGCGCGCGCGCACAGCGCAGCCTTGCGTTCGACGGCGCAAAACCACCCAGGCAGACGCCGCGCTTTTTTGTGGGGCCCATTGGCAAGGCCCTCTACCTCTTAAAGAGCGGCACGCTCCCGGGTTCAGTGGTAGTCTTGGAACTCCTCAAGAGCGAGCGGAAAATTACCGGACCATCAGCACGGTCGACCAATACAGGGCGCTTAAAGAAAATGTTAACGCTTACATGGGACTATCGTTTTTAATGGAAAAGGAGCTGGATAATAACTCGCTGTAACATCTTCATGGTTCTTTCGGTAAAGTCACGTAGAATGGAAATAAAATATTTTTATTCTATTATTTTATTTGTATTATTTTATTTCCATTCTACGTGACTTTGCCGAAAGAACCAAGAAGATGAATCCCTGCAGTCACGAAAGCTTTACATCGCTGTAACATGATAGCAAATGTCATGTTAAGAGCTGCAAAAAGTCAAAGAGCCCTTCTCGTTGTCAATGCGTGCCTGGAATCAGAAGTTGTTCACATTTTTTTCCAAAGCACCCTCTGCAGAGCCATCAATCGACCGCACCCGGGCATCGGTCAGCCTCCCATTGCGGCCGCACCAGACGGGAGGTTCCTCCGGTACGGCCACGGGAAAGCGATTTCAACCGCGCGCCGAAAAAGACATTAACCAGATTCGAAGCTTTCGCGACTGCAGGAATTACCCTTTGCTTCTTTCGGTAAAGTGACGTATGAAGAAATTAAATCAATGAAATACTAATAGAATACGACGTTTCGATTGCAACCATAGTCAGGTACGAATGAATGAGAAAACAAAATAGCAAATTTTGATTTAAAGCTTTTATTATGTTGTTTCCCTTCTACGTGACTTTACCGAAAGAACCAAGAATATGAAACATAGCAAACTTAGAAATATAATGCAATACGACCCAGAGAGTCGAAACGTCGTATTCTATGATTATTTAAGTTATTTTCTAACTACATAACTTTAATAATATGGTTTTTCCCCTTTTTTTCTGGCAACAAAACTGAAACCTTTTAACGAGGATTCATGCCACTGCATTAACCAACATACCTGCAGTCAAAATGCAAACACAAAACATACTGTGATAATATATTCGCATTGTCCTTGCAACTGATTGGTCCACACCAAGGGACGGCTTTCTTTTGAGCCTCGACCCAATTGGTGCTCGACCAGATGACGCCAAAAGGCGTCACACAGCTCAAAGACAATGCCACTATCAAAGTAATGAGGGCTCGGGGTGAGCATCTACACATCATTAGACCTCCTTTGCCAGCACCAAAATGTAATAATCGGGGGAAAAAACACTGGCAAAGGAGGTCTAATGATACGCGACTTTACCCAAAGAACGGTCGCAACACAAGCGGTCGTCGACAGGCAAAGGAGTCGGCCTCTAAAGGCTGCCTGAAGACGACCGCTCGTGTTGCAATCGGAACGCCGTGACGTGTTTTAGTTTATGTCTAACTACAGTAAAACCTTGGATTGCGCAGCATGATTCGTTCCGGAAGCGTGCTTGTAATCCAAAGCACTCGTAGTATATCAGGTGTGATCACGTGACGCTCGGCAAAGCGTAGACACGTACCACACCAATTAAATGCTAATTTTTTATGCTAATTCCTTTGTCAAGGCGCTCCGTTTCTTCTCACACAGCTTAAAGGTCGCGGTCTGAGCTTGGCTGTGTTCGCTCCAGCGCTGTCCTCCAGACAGTCTCGTCCCTTCACCTGATGAAGGCCGCTTGTGTTGTGGCCGAAACGTCGTGAGAATTTTATTGTGTTATTTTATTTTATCAATTTATTATTTTATTCTCATTCTACGTGACTTTACCCAAAGAACCAATGAAGACGTACCGCACCGCTCGCATTGCAAGACCCTCGCTCGTTCATCAAATTAATATTCATTAAAGAAAATTGCTCGTCTTGCAAAACACTCGCAGACCAAGTTACCGGCAATCCAAGGTTTTACTCTGTACGCGACTTTACCAAAAAGAACCACAGCGTATGGATTGCTGCAGTCACGAAAGCTTCAAATCGAGATTGAACCAGAGAAACATTAACTAACGCAGGAGTCAAAAAGGACTTCCGTTTCGCGTGCGACAGCGAAAGGCTCCGACCTGGGCCTGCCGCCCACCAACGCGAAGCCCTGAGCTGATTTAGGAGCAGGCAGTCAGGGACACCCCCAATATCACGAAGAACAAACCCAGAGCCCAGGCCTACTGATTGGTATCATAGGCATTGACCAGGTCAGTAAAGCAGAGGTGTGAGGCCCTCTTGGAATCCCCTACACCTCTGCTGTAGCAGGCGGACAGAATAGAACGTCGGACCACGAGCAGAGTTCTTGAGGGTCAGAGATCGGATCACCGTTCTTTCCGTTAAGGATGGTGATAGGTGAGGTGTTGCAAGTTACCAATTTTGATGGAATTAAATAGATTCACTCACCACCCACTCAACACCCACTCACTCACTACCCACTCACTCAACACTCACTCACCACCCACTCAACACTCACCACCCACTCAACGCTCACCACCCACCCACTCACCACCCACCCACTCAACACTCACCACCCACCCACTCACCACCCACTCACCACCAACTCACCACTCACTCGCCACCCACTCACTCACCACCCACTCAACACTCACTCACCACCCACTCACTCACCACCCACTCACCCAACACTCACTCACCACCCACCCACTCACCACCCACTCACCCACTCACCAACCACCCACTCACCACCCACTCACTCACCACTCACCACCCACTCACTCACTCATCACTCACTCACCACTCACCACCCACTCACTCACCACTCACTCAACACCCACTCACCACTCACCCACTCTCCCACTCACCACCCACCCACTCACTACCCACTCACTAAACACTCACCACCCACTCACTCACCACCCACTCACTCAACACTCACCACCCACCCACTCACCAATCACTCACCAACCACTCACCCACTCACCACTCACTACCCACTCACTCAACACTCACCACCCACCCACTCACCACTCACCCACTCACTCACAACCCACTCACTCACCACCCACTCACTCACCACCCACTCACCACCCACTCACTCAACACTCACCACCCACCCACTCACCAACCACTCACCCACTCACTCAACACTCACCACCCACCCACCCACTCACCACCCACTCACCACTCACTCACCACTCACCCACTCTCCCACTCACCATCCACCCACACACTCAACTCACCACTCAATCACTCACCACCCACTCACTAACCACTCACTCAACACCCACTCACCACTCACCCACTCTCCCTCTCACCATCCACCCACTCACCACCCACTCACTCACCACCCACTCACTCAACACTCACCACCCACTCACTCAACACCCACTCACCACCCACTCACCACCCACCCACTCACCACCCACCCACTCACCACCCACTTACTCAATACTCACCACCCACTCACTCAACACCCACTCACCACCCACTCACCACCTACTCACCACCAACTCACTCACCACCCACTCACTCACCACCCACTCACTCACCACTCACTCATTCACCACTCGCTAACTCACTCTCCCACTTACCACCCACTCACTCACCACTCACTCACTCAACCACTCACTCACTCACCACCCACTCATTCACCACTCACACACCACTCAATCACCACTCACCCACTCACCACCCACTCACCACTCACCCCGCTCTCTGTCACAAGCGCCTTCACCTCAAGATGGAGGGATCGAAACGCGCACAGCGACAAGATGCAGGTCAAGACGTCTTGAGTCTACACCGTGATGCAGGTCAAGACGTCTTGAGTCTACACCGTGTACACTCAAGACGTCTTGAGTCTACACCGTGATGCAGGTCAAGACGTCTTGAGTCTACACCGTGTACACTCAAGACGTCTTGAGTCTACACCGTGATGCAGGTCAAGACGTCTTGAGTCTACACCGTGTACACTCAAGACGTCTTGAGTCTACACCGTGATGCAGGTCAAGACGTCTTGAGTCTACACCGTGATGCAGGTTAAGACGTCTTGAGTCTACACCGTGTACACTCAAGACGTCTTGAGTCTACACCGTGATGCAGGTCAAGACGTCTTGAGTGTACACCGTGTACACTCAAGACGTCTTGAGTGTACACCGTGATGCAGGTCAAGACGTCTTGAGTGTACACCGTGTACACTCAAGACGTCTTGAGTCTACACCGTGTACACTCAAGACGTCTTGAGTCTACACCGTGATGCAGGTCAAGACGTCTTGAGTGTACACCGTGTACACTCAAGACGTCTTGAGTGTACACCGTGATGCAGGTCAAGACGTCTTGAGTGTACACCGTGTACACTCAAGACGTCTTGAGTCTACACCGTGTACACTCAAGACGTCTTGAGTCTACACCGTGATGCAGGTCAAGACGTCTTGAGTCTACACCGTGATGGAGGTCAAGACGTATTGAGTCTACACCGTGATGCAGGTCAAGACGTCTTGAGTCTACACCGTGATGCAGGTCAAGACGTCTTGAGTCTACACCGTGTACACTCAAGACGTCTTGAGTCTACACCGTGATGCAGGTCAAGACGTCTTGAGTCTACACCGTGATGCAGGTCAAGACGTCTTGAGTCTACACCGTGTACACTCAAGACGTCTTGAGTGTACACCGTGATGCGGGTCAAGACTTCAAGACTCAATACCACATCTTGGGTACACAGCCGTCGTAAAAAAAACTTTAAACCAATGTGTGAATGACGTCACGCACCTAGGGGGAGGGTCAGACATTTGTGACGATGTGTGCCGAGGGGGGGAGGGGTTTGAGTAATGTGACGTCACACATCAAAATGCGCAACTTTAATTCAATATAGACAACACGTTCTACTTAATTAAATAGACTTTGTAATAAATCGGCCACTCATCTCGGTCAGTCGACCCGTGGCACCTGCTGGGTCTGTCCCGTGACCTCCTGCCGGCATGTGTGAGACTTTGACACTTCACGTGGCCTCCAAGTGCACGGGGCCTGGCACGGGCGCCGTGGTGACGTGACCACCACGTGATGGTGAATGGCGGCTGTTGTTGGAGCGCTTTGTGTGCATTTACTTCGCACGAAAAACCAAACGCAAAGTAGTTGTAAAAATAAATCGGCTTGTCAATCCTAGATTTAAAAAAATGCACGGACCACCTTTGTCTCTCCAGAGTTCATGTCTTTACACTGCACCCCAGGTACTAAATTTGAGGCCGAGCCGACCTAGGTGATGGCCCCTGGGTATTTTGGTTCGGTTAATGGTTGGTGGTGGTGTTGACCGAGAGCCGTAATGGAGATCTCGCGGCAACTCTCACGGGTGGAGGCTCGTGCCGATGGTGGAGTCAGTGGATCCGAATCTCTTAGACTCCGGAGAAGTCCTGAGCTTGTGAAGAATTCTTTTTAAACTTCCAGATTCCCCCTTCGCCCAGGTAAGCAGGCGGCCTGCAGGGCAGCGCATTTTTAGCTTCTTCCCCCACCCCCCACCATCTCCCCCCGCAGAAAAGGCGGTGGAGGAGAGGGAGATGGCGGAGCGGCAGCTGCGTCTGGAGGAGAAAAGTCGGGAGCAGGAGCTGCACATCTCCAACCTGAGACACAAGCTGGAGGTGAGGGGGAAGAGGTGGAAGGGTTCGAGGGGGTAGTGGAGAAGGGGGATGTGGGGGAGATGCAGGTCAAAGTGTGGCTGCTGAAATCGTTGCTAGCCGACAGCAACTTGCACCCCCCTCCAGCCAGCCCGTGGCGGCTACCTGGGGGACCTCCTCTGTCTCATAGTAATTCATACTAAAGTTTTTGGTTTAGATCGCGTTATTTATAAATGTGTCATAACCCTCCACCACCCGACACGGCCAATCAGCAAAAAAAGTGTGTCACGTTGACAAAAGACAAAAATAGTTCACTACTTTAGCCCGTCACCGGTGTGCTGAAGAGTGAATCCACAACATTTACAATTTTTGAGTAAGACGTTTCGCTGGTAATTGCATCCAGCATCATCGGGCGAATTGCCCGGTGATGCTAGGGACAACAATAGCGTACCGGTGTAATCCACCGTCCCAGTGCATGAGCATCCCGCCCCGGCAGGACAACCAAGGTGCCTCACCGACGGCCTCTCTGACTCGCCGTCGTAATTTAAGCAAGGACGCATCTTCCGCCTGCAAGCGCCCCCACACCTCGTAGTCCAACCCTATTACCGCATCCCGCGCGTCCGGGATGTCGCCCGGCCCGCCCATCGTGTCGGCGGCGGACGCAACGAGATGGGGGGTTGGGGGGGGAGGTTGACTCGGCTGGTCTACAACGACCGGCACCCGAAAACCATGCGTACCCGCCGTCCGCGGGCGATCGCGACAGGGCATCAGAGTTGGTGTGACGAGAACCTTTGCGATACTTAACACGGAACGACAAATCCTGCAGGATCTCAAGCCAGCGTGACGATTGGCCCGAGTGCTGATCCACACGCAGCACGTATTGGACCGCTGCGTGCTCGGAGTGCACCTCGAAATGTCTGCCGTACAGATAAAGCCGGTGTTGATGCACCAAATACCACAATGGCCAACAATTCCCGGGGCGCAACGCAGTACCGCTGCTCGGCCGGGGACAGCACCCTGCTCCCATAAGCGACCACGTGCTCCACGCCGTTGACAACTTGAGATAATACCGCTCCAATACCGGTACCACTGGCGTCCGTATCCAAAACGAACGGTAGTGAAAAATCGGGATAACGCAGGGGAGGGGTGTTGACCAGCCCATCGCGAATGGAGCGGAACGCGGCTTCCTCCTCCTCCACCCCGCAATGAAATTTTTGCCCCTTAGCAGTCAAGGCGTGGAGAGGCTTAGCAATGGACGTGAAGCCGGCGACAAATTGGTGAAACTACGATGCAAAGCCGATAAAACTGCACAACTCACTCGTCGCGGTGGGTATCGGCCATATTCGGACACACGCCGTCTTCTCCGGGTCCGTAGCGATACCCGATTCGGTCACTATGTGACCCAAATATCGAACCGATTTTTGGGGGAGGTTGACACTTATGTCGTTTAAATTTCAGGTCGGCCGCACGCATCTTAAGGAAAACAGCCCGCAGGCGATTCAAATGTTCATCGGACATACGTCCGAAGACAATAACGTCGTCCAAATATATTAGGCACGAATCCCACTGGAGGCCCGCTAAAACCAGCTCCATCAGCCTCTGAAACGTGGCCGGTGCGGAGCGGAGTCCCATGGGGAGCCGGTTAAATTCGAACAACCCTTACGGCGTACGAAAAGCCGTCTTGGCCTTGGAAGCCTCATCGAGTGGCAACTGCCAAAATCCCCATAGAGTATAGAAGGTCAAGGGTGGAAAAGAACTGTTCCCTCCGCCAGGGCGTCCAGGGAATCGTCCATACGCGGCAAGGGGTATGCATCCGCGACGGAAACCTTATTGAGCTTGTGGAAATCAACACAAAACCGCAAGCTGCCGTCGTGCTTCTTGACAAGGACGATCGGGGCACCCCATGGACTGGTGGATGGTGAGATGATGTCCGTGGCCATCATCTCATCAACCGCCACATGAACATGTTTCTTCTCGGCCGGGCTCAAGCGGTAGGGATTTGGCCGAATCGGGGCAGCATCGCCCGTGTCAATATGGTGGCTCAAAAGGGACGTGCGGCCAATATCAAATTTACTTTTACTCAAAACGTCAGAAAATTCACGCAAGAGAGCACGCAGCTTCCCCCTTTGTCCCGTAGATAAATCGACGCACTCAGAGCAAAGTTTATCAATCCATCCCTCGTCCACATTCCGGAACCCTCGAGCCTGAGCACCAACCCTGACACTTCCCATAACGTCCCTTTTTGGACGCGCCGACGAAGCATGTGCCAGCACGGTACCCTCCTGGATGACCGTTGTGTCTGGCCCGGAATTAAGAACCTGAATGAAAGGCTCTTGGGACACCAATATCTGGGCTGCCACGAGCGACATACCACGATTGAGTTTATTGGAGGACCCCAAAACAACACCCTCATCCGCAGTGCGCACTTTGAGCGGTTATCGCAACTGGAGGGGCACTAACATTTGTGCACCAGGCGGAATCCGCACTGTTCAGCACGCAATAGCCTGCACCGTCGTGTTAGCGGAAGGCATATGAGTCGGTGACGGAAGAAATGCCCTACACCGTCCCGATGGCAAATCCAGACAGCCCTGATCAACACAAATCTTCAGGGGCATCTTGCCCAGAAAATCGGTCCCGAGCAAACACGGGATGGCTAGGGCCGTAGAAACCAAAATGTGGCCCCACAATTTGACATTGGCGATACGCAACTTTGCCGTTATCCTTCCGATTAATGGTCAAAGAAGCGCCGGTATCAACGAGCATATGGATTTCCACTCCCTCAATAAACCCGAGCACAGCCGACGAACCCGCGGCCGCCGCGACCACTCGATGGGCCAGCTCCAACCACTGATCCAGGCGGAGCGGGCGCGCGTCACGAACACGTCCCGACTCCCCCCATACCCGCGCGTGACCCCGACCCAAACCGGACTCCCCCGATGGGTGAAGTGAACCCTGGGGCCGAGTGTGGGGTGTGCCGCGACTCGTCTTATGAAGCAGGGAGTCGTAGGAAGGGGGACTGTCCGGGGGCTGCCGTTGAGGAACCCGACAGCCCCACTGGACGTGCCCCGGCAGGCCGCAGTTGTAGCAGACGACCTGGCCACTCCTAGACTGGGATGATGAAGACCTCGCCCATCGCCGGTCGTCCCCCCGCTTTTCCTCAGCACCCTGATGGACGCCACCCCGCTGGTGCAGCGAGCATGCAGGAACAGGCTCGGTCTCCGCGCAGGCCTCCGGCTCAGTGGAAGATGTGGCGCACGCCACCAACACCCTGTCGCAATGCAGGGTCTGCTGCGCCTGGATGCACCTGGTGACATGCAGGTAAGCTTACGCCGGTTACGTTCACCCTCCAGAATCGCACTATTTGTGGCACTCCCATCCAAAAAAAACATTCTGGAAAGTGGTTATCAGTCTCCTATGAAGGAAATTGTCACAACTTTCCACTACAACACCAGAACGAGATGACCCAGCATCTAGACCTCAAAGTATACCTCAAGACTCTGCGTCCATATGCTACAGTGCACAATATTACTAGTGTAGTGGATCAATAACTAGAGGAGTCTCTCTGAGGCCACACGTATTTTTATTAACAAATAATCCCTAACACAAAGGGGTAATGGCCCCTTACACTAATACGCCTCTCACTGGCTATTCTAACGCTTCTTGAGTGAAGCTTTGTCTTCACTGGTCTATAAGCTGGAGCCGACCCTTGCCAGGGGTACGACTCTGCCCATTGGGCTCTTCTCTTCAGGAGGCTCTTGACAATGACTGCCGGGACTGTTCAGAGGTCCGGCTTTTATACAGGTCCCAGGCTCGCTCTGCCCCGGCCACACCTTCCTTCCAGAACCTTCCACCAGGTCTTGGGAGGGTGACGTCATCCCCCAGCCCCCTCCTGGGGTCTGCGTCTCTGGATCCGCTATCCCATAGGGGTGACCGTTGGTCCCTTGGGCCATAGTCCTTGGACACTGGGCTGCCGCATCAGCAATTGCGAGTAGTCCTCTGGACAGTCCGGTCCCTTCACCTGATGAAGGCCACTTGTGTAGTGGCCGAAACGTCGTGATTTTTGTTATTTTATTTTTACCATCGTGACTTTACCAAATAGAACCAAAGAGTACTGTGGGTGTCTGTTCGTCCTCACGGGTCTGAGTGTCTGTGGGTCTAATGTGCGTACGTACTGTTTCACGGACGTGCGGTCAGGGGAGGCAGAGCGTCACCTCTCATACTCCAAGGAAAATAGCTGTTACAAAAAAAAACAATATAATGAAATATTAAGATTTTTCCACTGATCTGTGTTATAAATGTCATTTCTGTACGAGTCCAATCATTTTTTCCTCAAAAATCGCCAAATTTGCGGAGCCCTGCTGCAAATACAGGAAGAGACGAGAGGTGAGGCAGCGACGAGCTCAGCCTCCCCTCTGATTGCGCAACCCCTCAGTAACTGGATGGAGCGCGGCAATAAGCGCGTGCCTGTTACTATCTCTCTGTGTGTCACCAATGTAATGTTTGTAAAACCCTTCATTTTATGTCCTCGCCTTCCATACTCCAGGTAACTTATATCACGTATGTGTATAAAGATACTAGCGGTAAGTACCCGGCGTTGCCTGGGCAAAAAAGGCAGACACACACATGGATTTACACAGACATCGACCCACACACATAGAAGCACATCGACTTAGACGCGCACACACACATATTGTTAAACCCAGGATGGATCGTAGGCAGGCCAGCCTAAATGTTTCTAACCGGCGAAGATGTTCCATTAGGGGAGTGCACGTTTCGCAAGCGTAGAGAAGGGAGGGAATTACCGTGGCCGGGAAGACCTAGAGCTTCATGGGGAGCGAGAGACCAGGTAGCTTCCACACAGTGTTATGCAGCCGTTGAAAAGATGATGGCGCTCCACTGATTTGGAGTGAGACCTCTACTGTTAAACCGGAGCCGATCATGAGCGCACTGGCCAGGTATGGGAATCTCTCCAATCTCTCCACAACTGCCGCATCAGCAATTGCGAGTAGTGGGGGTGCATTGTCCGATAGTACAAAATACCCAGGCAGGTGCTTAGTTTTAATGGGGCTGATGGTAAGGCCCCACCTCTGAGTGGCAAGCTCCAGGTTCAGCAGCAGTGCCTCCAACTCCTCCTCTGAGTGAGCAGCAATCACCAGAGCATCGGCATACATAACGTGGTTGAGCAATAGGGAGCCATCCCTTGACCGCACCCGGGCATCGATCAGCCTCCCATTGTATCTGTACCATATGGTAATTCCTCCGGTACAGCCATTGAGGCTTCACGAACTACGTGGTCAAAAGATATTTTAAATAATGTGGGAGCAAGAGGACATCCCTGTCGCACCCCAAGGTGTACAGGGAATGGCTCTGACTCCCGGCCACGTAGTTTGACGCGGGGCCGCTCACCATCATGAAGGTCCTTAAGGATCGTGAGCAAAGGGTGAGAGACTCCGAAAGCACAAAGAACAACCCAGAGCCCAGGCCTACTGATGGTATCATAGGCCTTGACCAGGTCAATAAAGCAGACACATTCACTCACACGCACACATTGACCTAGAGACACGCAAAGAAATGGACTTACACTGACTCACATGGAGGCACGCACACAAAGCGACTGACACACACGCCCATGGACTGACAGACACAGACATATCGACTCACACAAACACACGCATGGACCTACACGCACACACACATTTGGACTCAAACACAAACACATCGACTCACACACACATCGACGTGCACAGCAATCCCCGATGATGGCATAGCTCTCAGTATCGCAGTACTACGTATGAGTAAATAGCGTGACGTGAGCAATGGAAACAATGGAAATGCATTGAAGAAATAAGCAGAAAGCAGTGTAAATTAAAGAGCAGAAATACGCACAGGTAAGTGGAGAAGCAGGCTACAGTTTAGATTATAGACTGCCAGTACGCCGACTCAATGACATAAGCATTGCTACAGTCGATATTAAAAGCTGGCAATACGGGCAGCAGCTGAAAAAGCTGAATACAGTGGACATGAATGGTTGTTTTGTGCACACAAACATTATCATTGTAATATCTGCCAACGTATTTGTTTAATAATGCTATCTAAGCGCTGTAATAACATGAATATTTACAGACTTTATAGCAGTAACTGCACGCATCGTGTTGGGGGGTGGGCGAGGAGGACATCACACTGTGAAGAAATATCCGCAGCTTTGTGTGTATATTTATTGCATGTTGTGTGTATATTTATTGCATGTTATTGCATGTTGTGTGTATATTTATTGCATGTTAAACGCGTCATACAAAGTGTCCCCCGTGAGCTCGACCGAACGGGCATCACTTGGCAGGGTCCCCCCTCCCCCCCCCACGCAATTGGCGTGAGTTGGTACGGTCGATGTCGCGCAATAAATCAAGAAATATATCTAAATCACCAAAAAAACGATAATTTAACTTATTTAAAGGTGACGGACGTGAAAAAGGAATAGCCTATAAGGGCCTGCCGGTTGGAAAAAAATTTTCGACAAAAACCCCGCCGTCAGAGAGCCAAATCCCTCGCAAGAGCGCGCGCGGAGACTTTTACAGATAAGAAAGAAGAAGAAATGTAGCAAGAAATGAAGATTAGGCTCGCTGGTCTCGTCATGAAACTGCAATAAAATGCACCAGGGGAGGCGACTATCACATCTGCCTCACTGAGGGGGACGTGTCTAACACGCCTCCCTCAGTGAGGACACGCCCCCTAAGTGAGACCACGCCCCTTCAGCGAGGCCACGCCCCCTCCGTGAGGCCACGTCCCCCAGTGAGGCCACGCCCCCTCAGTGTGTGAATCTGGCTCTGACACTAGCCAGTGCCTCCCCAGCCATTGACCTCACCGTCACCGACTTGTTTGGCACTGTATTTGGCCAACCGCGATAATCTGAAGCGCCGGGAAAGGGCGAACAAATTAAACAAAGTTCTAAAGTGAGTCGATCTCTATGAGGATTTCAAAGTGCACGGCTCCAGTGACTTCCTAACATCGGACGGGAAGAGCGTTCCAGACGGCCACAGAAGCGCTTCTGAAAGCGCGCGCACAGCCAACATCGGTGACAAACCTGAATCGGTCCTGGGCCTCCCCTAGATGGACTCAGCCCTCGGCACTTCTGTTTCGTAGACTTTCAGTGGTCACTCTCAAATGTTACTGCCCCATGTTAACTACCTCCACTGGTTTCACACGGCGCTTCGTCCAGCCGCTGGACAGACGTCGTTACTGCTGACACGGTCACTACTTTGTCTGTGCCACAATTCGATCGGAACGCGCTGTGTGCTGCAGATCAGCAGATTTTATTTGAAATTGAGAAAGAAAACGAGACCCCAGGACTGGCCTAGGACATGCTGGCGAGACTGTCGCTCGGCTGGCCTGGCAACGCCTGGGAATTCCCTATGGAGAGCAACAGTCTGTGTGTAGTCGTGTATAGTGTAGTAGTGTATAGTGTGGTAGTGTATAGTGTAGTCGTGTGGTAGTGTAAAGTCGTATAGTAGTTGTGGTAGTGTATAGTGTAGTAGTGTATCGTATAGTAGTTTGGTATTGTATAGTAATGTAGTGTACAGTGTATTGGTGTATAGTGTAGTAGCGTATACTAGTGTTTTAGTGTATAGTAATGTAGTAGTGTATAGTGTAGTCGTGTGGTAGTGTATAGTGGTATAGTAGTGTGGTAGTGTATAGTGTAGTCGTGTATAGTGTGGTAGTGTATAGTGTAGTCGTGTGGTAGTGTATAGTGGTATTGTAGTGTGGTAGTGTATAGTGTAGTCGTGTATAGTGTGGTAGTGTATAGTGTGGTAGTGTATAGTGTAGTCGTGTGGTAGTGTATAGTCGTATAGTAGTGTGGTAGTGTATAGTGTAGTAGTGTATCGTATAGTAGTGTTGTAGTGTATAGTGTAGTGAAAGCCTACGTGTTAAACTGTAGTCGTGTATAGTGTGATAGTGTAGTAATGTGTAGTGTATATTATAATGTTGTGTAGTAGTGTATCGTACAGTAGTGTGGTAGTTTATAGTAATGCAGTAGTGTATAGTGTAGTGGTGTATAGTGTAGTAGTGTTGTAGTGTATAGTAATGTAGTTGTGTGGTAGTTTAGTAATGTATAGTAGAGTGGTAGTGTATAGTCGTATAGTAGTGTAGTAGTGTATAGTGTAATAATGTGTAGTAGTGTATAGTGTAGTAATGTGTAGTAGTGTGGTAGTGTATAGTAATGTAGTGGTGTATAGTGCAGGAGTGTATAGTAATGTGGTAGTGTATAGTGTAGTAATGTGTAGTAATGTGGTAGTGTATAGTAGTGTGGTAGTGTATAGTAATGTAGTAGTGTATAGTCGTATAGTAGTGTATAGAGTAGTAATGTGTAGTAGTGTATAGTCGTGTAGTAGTGTATAGTGTAGTAATGTGTAGTAGTGTGGTAGTCGTACAGTAGTGTGGTAGTGTATAGTTGTGTAATAATGTGTAATAGTGTGGTAGTGTATAGTGATGTATAGTAGTGTATAGTAGTGTAGTAATGTATAGTAGTGTGTAGTGTATAGTAGTGTATAGTGTATAGTAATGTAGTATTGTAAAGTGTAAAGTAGTGTAGTAGTGTATAGTTGTGTATAGTGTATAGTAATGTAGTAGTGTATAGTAGTGTATAGTGTATAGTAATGTGGTAGTGTAGTAGTGTATAGTCGTGTAGTGGTGTATAGTAGTGTATAGTGTATAGCAATGTAGTAGTGTATAGTAATGTTGTGCTGGAGTCTGTCGCCAGGTGAATGGAGGTCTGGACTGCCCAACTCAACATGCTGCTGCCGTGACCCTCGCCAGGACAAGCGGATTGAGAAACGAGCAAATAAAAATCAAGGTAAGCCTACAAATATAATGATCTTAAATGTCTTCAACTACTTTGTGTTAAATTTTGATTTAAAGCTTTCGTGACTGCAGTAATTCATATTCTTAGCTCTTTCGGTAAAGTCACGTTGAAGGGAAACAAAATAAAATAATAAAAAATATATAAAACAATAACTATTCTCACGACGTTTCGACCATAACACAAACGGTCATCATCAGGTGTGAAAAACCAACGGCAAGAAACATTTGAAAGAAAACCGCCACTTCTTTCAAATGTTTCTTGCCGTTGGTTTTTCACACCTGATGACGACCGTTTGTGTTATGGTCGAAACGTCGTGAGAATTTTTATTGTTTAATATATTTTATTATTTTATTGTTTCCCTTCAACGTGACTTTACCGAAAGAGCTAAGAATACTTTGTGTTAGTTTGATTATCATATCGGATGAAGCAGCTTTAACAGGATGCCGTTCATTTTCAGCGATAACAAATTCAGTGTTCTGACGGGACAGACCGCATGGCGAGCGCCATGTTGCTTCAGTTTAAACTAAAAGTTTGTTTGACTCTTTAGGATCAATATGCTTCACACATAGAGTCAACGCATTGCTACCACCACAAAGAAATTGCCACAAGCAGCCAGCAAATTAAGTGGCAAGAATAATGAATGAGATTGTGCGAAAAACGCAATTTTTAGTTGTTATTGATACTTTTGCAATGAAAAAAAATCTCAACGTTCATCTCGAGTATTAATTTATCTCACAACTGATTAAAATAAACGATTAACATTGACACGACTCTGCCCCTTTGTATTTATCATTGCTATATAAATACATTCCAGAAGATATCTTCGTTACATTTTTTTTTATCGTACAAATAACAAAAACGTGGTCAACATTGGTTTCCGTAGGCCCTAGACACAGTGCCTATGACCTATTGGATAATACCATCCTGGTGGCTGGGTGATTGGGTAGCTGGGTGCGTGGTGGAGTGAGTGGGTGGGGGAGTGGGTGGCTGGGTGAGTGGGTGGCTGGGTGAGTGGGTGGCTGGGTAAGTGGATTGCTGGGTGAGTGGGTGGCTGGGTGGGTGGCTGGGTGAGTGGGTGGCTGGGCGAGTGGGTGGCTGGGCGAGTGGGTGGCTGGGCGAGTGGGTGGCTGGGCGAGTGGGTGGCTGGGCGAGTGGGCGGCTGGGTGAGTGGGTGGCTGGGTGAGTGAGTGGGTGGCTGGGTGAGTGGGTGGCTGGGTGAGTGGGTGCCTGGGTGAGTGGGTGGCTGGGTGAGTGGGTGGCTGGGTGAGTGAGTGGGTGGCTAGGTGGCTGGGTGAGTGGGTGGCTGGGTGAGTGAGTGGGTGGCTGGGTGAGTGAGTGGGTGGCTGGGTGAGTGAGTAGGCCCTGGTCACACTGCCTACTGTGGCTTATTGTATAATACGGCCCTGCGTTGATGACTAAATGTGGGGGGGGGGGGGGGAACCGGAGGACCCGGAGAAAAAATCCACGCGACCACGGGAAGAGAGAGAAGGACGTAGACTCCAAATATGCAGCAGCAGCAGGCGTCATCTGGGTCGCTATCGAACCCACGATCTCCAGGCCACCTCAGAGGTCACCGCTCTCCATGCGAGAGCGGTGACCCCGTTCCAAGGGGACAGCAGTTGACGCCCTGCCGCTACGCGTGCATTTCCCACGTAACCTCAGAAGAGGAACTAGAAAAGCCGATGGGGGGGGGGGGGGGGGGGCGTCCCAACCACTACGAATGATGCCGGCTGTCATTTAAGAGCCGGCGCCAACGGGAAGTGGTCCATTGCAACCCCTCTTGGTGACTCGCCATCACCAGCAGCATCAGTAGCATCAGTGGTCGCATCAGCATCGTCACGATCACCACCACCACCATGGCAGAAGAGAGTCGGCAGCCCGTCATGGTTCAGCACCTCATGAAATGTTGGGAGAAAATATCGAATAGCATTCCTCTGAGCAACGGCTTTGCTGCTCTGCTCATGACCGGACTTCAGGAGATCTACAACAAAATCACCAACTGCCCCTGCAACTTTGGCGTGGAGTTCGGCTGGGTCACCCTCCTGGGTCCCATCGTCATCTTCTTCGTGCTCCTCAGCATCATCGCCTCCGATGCGTGCAGAGCTCGCTGTGGCCACAGCAAGGGTAAGCGTCTATTGCGCTACAGCGCGCTCACGATCGTGGCCTCCGTGGCGTGGGGGTCCGTGGCGCTGCTCAACTCGGAGGCGGTCTGCTGCATCCAAGGCGGCTACCCCAGCGACTCGCCGTGCCTCGTGGGGAGAAACGCAACGGCCAACGCGGTGCGATACGAGGATTGTACCTCAGACTCTGAGGTACGGTGATCCCCGACGCACCGCCCCCGTTCCGATCATCAACCCCCCCCCCCCACGCTCCTCCAACTGAGATATCCCTGCAGTGTCTGTGCATCACCTGTGACTGTGTGTATCACCTGTGTCTGTGTGTATCACCTGTGTCTGTGTGTATCACCTGTGTCTGTGTGTATCATCTGTGTCTGTCTGTGTGCATCACCTGTGTCTGTGTGTATCACCTGTGTCTGTGTGTATCATCTGTGTCTGTCTGTGTGCATCACCTGTGTCTGTGTGTATCACCTGTGTCTGTGTGTATCACCTGTGTCTGTGTGTATCACCTGTGTCTGTGTGTATCACCTGTGTCTGTCTGTGTGCATCACCTGTGTCTGTGTGCATCACCTGTGACTGTGTGTATCACCTGTCTGTGTGTATCACCTGTGTCTGTCTGTGTGCATCACCTGTGACTGTGTGTATCACCTGTGTCTGTGTGTATCACCTGTGTCTGTGTGTATCATCTGTGACTGTGTGTATCACCTGTGTCTGTGTGTCTACATCACCTGTGTCTGTGAGTCTACATCACCTGTGTCTGTGTGTATCACCTGTGACTGTGTGTATCACCTGTGTCTGTGTGTCTACATCACCTGTGTCTGTGAGTCTACATCACCTGTGTCTGTGTGTATCACCTGTGTCTGTGTGCATCACCTGTGACTGTGTGTATCACCTGTGTCTATCTGTGTGCATCACCTGTGACTGTGTGTATCACCTGTGTCTGTGTGTATCACCTGTGTCTGTGTGTATCACCTGTGACTGTGTGTATCACCTGTGTCTGTGTGTCTACATCACCTGTGTCTGTGAGTCTACATCACCTGTGTCTGTGTGCATCACCTGTGTCTGTGTGCATCACCTGTGACTGTGTGTATCACCTGTGTCTGTGTGTATCACCTGTGTCTGTCTGTGTGTATCATCTGTGTCTGTCTGTGTGCATCACCTGTGTCTGCGTGTATCACCTGGGTCTGTCTGTGTGTATCACCTGTGTCTGTGTGCATCACTTGTGTCTGTGTGTATCACCTGTGGCTGTGTGTATCACCTGTGACTGTGTGTATCACCTGTGTCTGTGTGTCTACATCACCTGTGTCTGTGTGTCTACATCACCTGTGTCTGTGTGCATCACCTGTGTTTGTCTGTCTGTCGGAGTTGTCTGGGCACAACGAGGGAGGTGCAGAAGTGAATTTGCTGTTTGTGATCCCGGTCCTTTTGTTCCACAGGTCGCTGGAGTGCGCCTTCTGATGTATGGTGGCAGCATCTTCTCAGTCATCTTGGCGTTCATCGCAATCACATTCGGACTTAAATGGTTACTTAAAAAGCAAAATGTCCCTAATCAGTCAGAGGTTCCATAGAGTAATCGGGGACCATCACAATGACTACCGAGAGGTTGTCAGATCGACCCCTCAACGCCGCTAAATCTTCCTTCGAAAAAGTTATTGTCCTGAAGCGGAACATTGGTGCAGGATATAACCGCATTTACAGAATGTGATTTGTAACTCTTTGATCCTTATCGGCGTAATATCGACAGTTTCATGTCCCATTACATTGAGGGCCTACTACTGCTGTGTGTTGTTGTCTTGGTGTGGTCTGGGACTGTTTTTGTTGTCTTGGTGTGGTCTGGGACTGTTGTTGTTGTCTTGGTGTGGTCTGGGACAGTTGTTGTTGTCTGCTGGTACCTGTTGTGTGTGTTTGTGGTGTACAGGTAGCTCTGTGTGTAATGTGGCTCTCTCGAAATATTTTGGTCACAACAAAAAAAAGGATTCTGATTCTGGTTGAATGGGTGGTTAGGTGGGTGGGTAAGGAGAGGGCGCTGTGGTGGCTGGGAGATGTTTACTCTCTCGCATGGTATGCAGGAGGTCCTGGGCTCGATCCCGACCCTGACGACGCCCCTACTGTGTATTTGGAGTTGACATAGTTTCATTTAGTTTAGTTTCATTTATTTGGTGTAGCCCTGTGAGCCATTCGGCTCTTGAATCGGGTGCAACCGCAACAAACAAAAAACATGAACAAGAAAACATCTTAAAGTGATTTTGTATGACTGTGCAAACAGAAAAAACCAGGACATCTCTCTCTCTCCCTGTGGTTGCGTAGATTTTTTCTCCGGGTCCTCCTGTTTTTACCTCCACATTTAAAATCAACGTCACGCGGTTTAGAGTATTGGGCTGACATAAATGTCCACGTGATGATGATAAGCGACTTCGTTGAGCTCTCATTTGTGGCCACGTCGCTTCTGAAAAAGAGCTACATAGCTCGGTGGGCCTTACCTGGTAAAATAAAATATATTATTGTGTTGGGTAGGTAGCTGGGTGTGTTTATGTAGGTGGGTGGGTGAGTAGGTGGGTTAGTAGATAGATGTGTGAGTAGGTAGTTAGATGGGTGAGTAGGTAGGGGTGACAAGGTGGGTGGGTGAGTGGGGGGAGCGGGTAGGATCGGGGATCCAGCCCAGGCCTCTACCCTCACCAAGACTGCCAGCTGAAGCTTCTGTGCTGACCTTCCTGCTGAAGTTCAGTGCAGCAGATCTGCTGTGCAGACAACGCCTCTGTGGACTGGTTGTGTAGAGCCATCTGCGTGAGTCAAGTTCTCATTTTACACCACCTGCATAAGGCTGTTATGCAGGGTGCTTCAAACAAATGTTAACGCGTCTGAGAATTTGCAACAGGCACGTGTTGTTGACAATGATGGCGAAAAAGTGGAGACTGACTTTTTGAAGCTATTAACATTATATTTGTTATCACGTTACAGTGTATCATTTTCCGTTCTGTTTTTCCATTAAAGACGATAGTCCCATATAAGCGTTAACATTGTTTTGAAGCACACTGTATTTCTCAGAGGGGAGGGGGGTTACGTTATCTGAGGTGATGCTCGCATCTCCCTTGTGTGCTCGTCGTTCTTTGTTTGGGCAGTGGCTCTTCGTGATCCGTTGACCAAATAATAAAAGTGCGCCGACTCCGTTTATGTTTCCAGAAATTAGCTTAACCTCGGATGTCCACGTGGTTCATCACCCACAGGGCCAAGGTGAAGGCGGAGTAGGACACCGCAACAATGTAAAGTGAATTGCGGCTATGATTAAAATCGGACATTGGCATAACATTGATTTATAAGTATAGAAAATAAATTGTGTTAAAAACTAGTGGAAAATCAATTATTTTGACTGCAGAAATTAATCAAATTTAATGTGCTGAATAAAAGTGGGTTAATTGCATGAAGTAAACATCGAAATGAAGCCAGCCATTTTATTCAGCAAATCAAATTGTATTAATTTCTGGGGTGAAAAGAATTGATATTCCACTTTAGAGTGCAAATAAAAGTGTGTGTATTCAAGGAGTTGATCTTTTTACATAATTTATTTTAACCGTGAAAACTTTTTTTTATATCTAACTGATTTCTTAATCAGGTAAGGCCCACGGGAGCTATGTAGCGCTTTTTCAGAACCGACCTGGCCACAAATGAGGCCAATGAAGTTGCATATCACATGGAAATGTATAGCAGCCAAAGACTCTAAACAACCATGTTTCAAATGTGGAGGGAAAAACCGGAGGAGCCGAAGAAAAATCCCCACAATCACGAGAAGAACACGCAAACTCCAAATATACAGGCTTGAGTGTCAGCATCGAACCCACGACCTCCTGTATACAAGGCGAGGTAGTTAACATCTGACCACCGCGAGATATTAACTGTTTAGAACAGCTTCACAATGACCCACAACCCCTATGAACAAATGACCGGGACTTGGAATGCGCCCGATCTGGTCGGACAAGCCAAGGCAGATGTGACCTTTGAGAGTGCCTGGATGGGTGCTGACCATGTACAAACTGGTTGTCATAGGGGCTCGTTGTGGTTATATCCAGTTGTACTGTAGGTCTATGCTACCCGCCTTTACCAATCCGCACTGGCCAGTAGGACGTGTGGAGGCCATCGTCCGGCAGTGCAGCACTCATCAAATTCCACTGGTGGAAATTCCACATTCCCATGGCTGGGAGCATCTTTAACAACCATTGATGATTTCGTACAAGGAGGTACATATTGCACGGCCCTGCAGAGATGACAACGATGGCTTTGCTTTTGTTAACCCTAGACCCTTCAATGAATGAAATCATGCGAATTGCAATACAACAGCAGTCTACGTAGCAAAAGGTTGATGGCACGCAGCACGGCTATTGGGAATAGAATAACGATCGCATCCCGATAGCGACGTCGTGAAATGACATTTAGAACAACACGATACATTTCAGGTGTTTAATTGTCGTATTTGCGATCATTGCGTACTGTGCTGTATGAAAGCCGGTAAGACATATATAGATTGCAACGTTATAATGTGCGCATATGCACAATTGTGCATATTGCGACACGGTATTCGAAGTGCACACATTTAGCGACTTAATTTAAAGCGTTTACATCAACAATCAAAATGAGAACGTTTTTCCAATGATAACAGGGGACAACATTTGGACATTTAATTGTGAATCACAGCTACGGCTCTAAGCCGCTCGCTCAACTTCAGCGGAGCCGTGCTGAGCTTAGCGCGTCGGAACGGGCGTGACAGAGCCAACGATGGTACTATTAATTAAGATTACAACTACGTCATTATTGTAGCGACGGTAGTAATCATTGTTGTTGTAATTGTTGGTCTCGCGCTAAGGAATGGGGGAACACAGCGGCCGCTCCGGCGCCATGACAAGCGGCGGTGTTTGGTAACCTCCCATTGGCCAGTTGCTTCCCCAACAACAGCGGCTCTGATTGGACGAGACATTTTCCCTTCGTGGCTGGGCGCGACTATTCAAGATTTAAAATAGGGGACAACATTTGGGTAATGACAATAGAGCCTACATGTGGTGTGAGGGGACTAGTGGCCACGGGAGGTAATGACAGGGGTATCAGTTGTGAGTGTGAAGGGACTGGTGGCCACGGGAGGTAATGACAGGGGTAACAGTTGTGAGGGTGAAGGGATTGGTGGCCACGGGAGGTAATGACAGGGGTATCAGTTGTGAGTGTGAAGGGACTGGTGGCCACGGGAGGTAATGACAGGGGTATCAGTTGTGAGTGTGAAGGGACTGGTGGCCACGTGAGGTAATGACAGGGGAGTCATTGAGAAAGGGGGCGTGGCCTCGTGTTGGTATAAAAGGGAGATGCGTGGGAGACTCGGGCTGTTGCGGTGGGGTCTCCGCCTGATGTCAGGTGAACGCGTCTTCAATAAAGTGCCATTTTAAGAGAAGTGTGTCAAATCGTCATTCATTGGTATTGATTAGTATTGATGAGTGAAATTAAGTTAATAAAACACAAGTAGGGCCAGGATCGGCGGGACCTGGACTGGTTCTTTAAATGAAATCGTGAATTGTCGCGCACAGCGAAGAGTCCATGCAGGGAACGCCACCTCGCAAGGCTTCGCAGATCTGACGATGTTGAGCGTCGATGATTCCCAAGAATAAAAACGGGGGACGGCTCAATAAAAAAAAGTGCCTCGGAAAATGTTCGGCTTTGGATCGATTCCCGGCTGTGGTGTCCTCTGGGTTGGGTGAATCGGTGGTGGTGTGGACTAAGATCCCCAACCCCCGTGTAGCCTGTAACAGACTGTAGAGGCAAGTTCTGGTAGTGAGTAGCACCTACAAAGACAAAGGTCCCCCGTGTAGCCTGTAACAGGCTGTAGAGGCAATTTCTGGAGTGAGTAGCACCTACAAAGACAAAGGTCCCCCGTGTAGCCTGTAACAGGCTGTAGAGGCAAGTTCTGGTAGTGAGTAGCACCTACAAAGACAAAGGTCCCCCGTGTAGCCTGTAACAGGCTGTAGAGGCAAGTTCTGGTAGTGAGTAGCACCTACAAAGACAAAGGTCCCCCGTGTAACCTGTAACAGACTGTAGTCAAGTGCTGGTCGCGAGTAGCACCTACAAAGACAAAGGTCCCCTGTGTAGCCTGTAACAGGCTGAAGAGGCAAGTTCTGGTAGTGAGTAGCACCTACAAAGACAAAGGTCCCCCGTGTAGCCTGTAACAGACTGTAGAGGCAAGTTCTGGTAGTGAGTAGCACCTACAAAGACAAAGGTCCCCCGTGTAACCTGTAACAGACTGTAGTCAAGTGCTGGTCGCAAGTAGCACCTACAAAGACAAAGGTCCCCTGTGTAGCCTGTAACAGGCTGAAGAGGCAAGTGCTGTTAGTGAGTAGCACCTACAAAGGTCCCCCGTGTAGCCTTAACGTGGCCGTCCATAATTGACGTCACGCACCTGGGGGGGGGGGGGGGTCAGACATTTGTGACAATGTGTGACGAGGGGAGGGGGGTGAGAAATGTGACGTCACATAAAAATGTGCAACTTTAAATAAATACAAATTTGTTAAAATAACACTAATTGTTATAAAACACTAATTGTTATAACAACACTAATTGTTATAACAACGCTAATAGTTATAACAACACTAATAGTTATAACAACACTCCTACAACATCAGTGCAGCGCCACATTAAACACGTACTACACTGACAATAGATTAAAGAGATTTGAAGCACGTGTTTTATATTTCAAATGGAAATGTGGTTTGGGGGGGGGGGGTGGCAGAGCTTTGTGACGTCATTTTTTAGGGGGTGGGTTCTGACTTTTTGTGACGCCGTGTGACGAGGGGGGGAGGGGTCAAAAATCGTCCAAAATCGCGAGACGTCATTTATGGACGGCCCCAAAGTCTGCAAAAGTTGCTGTGGCCAAACTGCCATCAGGCCGGATGGGCCAATCGGAGGTGGAGATGGCAGCGGCGGCTGCGTGCAATTGCCGTGGTGGCGTTGTTGCGTGACGGAGCA